CCAAGGCAAGGAACCCGAGGCAGATCTCTGGGGGGGTGAGGGGAGGGAGCGGGGGGAGGAGAGGGGGAGGAGGGCGGGAAGGCGTAGGGGCAAGGACCACCCCAGGAAAACAGACCTGGAGATGTGGGAGGCGCCTCCCAGGGAATGAATGGCTGGGCCTTGCCCAACCATTCTGCGATCAAGTCTACACACAGGGCTTCTTGCTAGGTTTTAGTGCCTCACTCTTAAATGTAAATGAATAAGCAAGATTTGCCAGACACGTGGGGAAAGTCTTTGGCATAGAAAGAAGATAGATAGAAGGCTTTGCAGGAAACTGAGACAGAGGAATCAGAAAAATGAAGACCTGTAACTCTTGGCCTCAAAGTGATAAAAAGCTGTTGCATTTACAAAGAAAGAATGAGATGTTTTTTAAAAGCCATGTTTACAAACAAAACAAAACAAAACAACAACCCCAAAAACAACAATCTGCCAAAGCCTGTTTGGCTCGGTGGATAGAGTGTCCGCCTGTGGACTGAAGGGTCCCAGGTTCAATTCCGGTCAAGGGCATGTACCTTGGTTGCGGGCACATCCCCAGTATGGGGTGTGCAGGAGGCAGCTGATCTATGTTTCTAGCTCTCTACCCCTCTCCCTTCTTCTTCTCTGTAAAAAATCAATAAAATATTAAAACAAAACAAAACAAAACAAACAAAAAGAACAAAACAATTAGGGATCATATAATAGCTATATGACTATAGGAATATTATTTAACCCCTGTGACTCTTTAATTTATTTTCCTATAAAGTGGGGATAACAATAGTAACTAATACATAGTTGTCACGAGCATTAAGTAATTTAGTACATGAAATAAGTACATAGTGCTACTGTTTCACTTGCTATTTTATTGTATTTTATAGCAGGGCAGATGTCACCTTGTTATTGAGTTTTAGTGGGTCAATAAGTTTATTTGAATAATTGCTACTTTTATTTTTTATTTTTCTGATTTCAGAAAGGAAGGGAGAGGGAAAGGGGGCGAAGAGAGAGAGAGGGAGAAGGAGAGAGAAACATCACTGATGAGAGTTCCATTGATCTTCTGCCTCCTGCACGCCCCACACTGGGGATTAAGCTCATGGCCCTAGCATATGCCCTGACCAGGGATTGAATCATGACCTCCTGATGATGCTTAACTCCTGAGCCACACTGGATGGGCAATAATTGCTACTTGTAAATTTATCACATTCTTAGAAAGAAAAATTTGGTTTACATAAGCAACATGAATAAACATGTTATCTAACTCAAAAGTACTTTTAAAATTAAATGAGAAGTAATTATTTTTAAGAAAAAAGAGGATATTGTCAACTTTTTAAAAAAGGTGTGTGTGTGTGTGTGTGTTTAATTCAGTGCAAAGCAACATGCCTGGCCCATCTCAACTCCTTCACTGCCTGTGGGGGGAAGGGAAGAGAGGGCGAGATGCGTCAGTTCCTCAGCCTTCTCCTTATCTGAGATGACCAAGTTATAAAAGTATCTGCTGCATTCAGCTTTAAACTTCACAATATTCTTATTTTTCTTAATGTCAACAGACTTGGCATCCTTTCGCTTGGCTACGAGCAGAAAGTCCTTGATTTCCTCAGTTTTGCGGGATGGCTACGAGGGGGAAGGAGAGTAACATGATCTACTGAGACATAATCTCCTACAAATGTTATGCTATGCTTATACAGACTGCACCTTATTGAGCTTGAAATTTAATTATTTTTTGATTTTGCATTCTTTTTTTTTTTTTTTTAAATATGCTGTTATTGATTTTTTAGAGAGAGAGGAAGGGAGAGAGAAGAGATAGAAATGTCAATGAGAGAGAAACATTGTTTGGCTGCCTCCTGCACGTTCACTAGTGGGGATCCAGCCCATAACCAGAGTATATGCCCTGATCAGAACATCCATCCATCATTTGGGGCTTCTCTTGGTTCAAGGGTGGACGCTCAATCACTGAGCCACACAGGCTGGTCTTTCGTGATTCATTTTCTGAATCCATGTTTGGAAATAAATCTGTATAGATTTATTCAGAATTATTCTATGTAGTGGAATTATTAGGGGATATGGCTAGATCTATATGAACCAAGATATAGTTTTTCTGGGTCAATGAGAAGGCAAACATTTCAGATTAATATGCCTGAAATACATTCTTTAGAGTATGTCAACTCATTAGTCAACAGAGCCAAATATCAACAGTACAATGATTGAAATTTCTTTTGAGAGCCAAATTTTTTAAACTTAAATTATATAGGTAGGTACATTGTTATTAACTTAGTTAGGGTACCCCTAAGCTGGCCTTTGCTAAAAACGTCCTCAGTCTGATTGAGGTACACCTAAGGGGCCAAAGAGCCACAGGTAGCTCGACTACTGCTTTAGTCATTAAATCAGGCTACAGTAGGTATAGCCTGTGCTGTGACTTTGTGCTTACTCATTGATGAGAAAGTTGTCCTTCACATTTAAAATTGTTTTTAAGCTATGCCCACTGTTTTGATTTTCCTGCCCTCCTTCTCATTATCTGCACTTCTTTCTCTGGTTATAAACAATGAAACAAATCAACAATCTAATATTTGCCTGGCCCTCAAGGACACATGGGATTCAGAGATTCAAAGCAAAAGGGCAACATTAAGATACATTATATCACTAGGGGCTGAACAGAACATAGATAATAACTGGAAAAATACCGTATCAAGAAATGTTAAAAGTCATGATGATTTTTGTGTGGCTCGGCCAGCACTTTTGAAACGTAGACCTTTGTTTCCTTGATTATAGTTCTGAGTTTTCTCTGTTCTTCTCTTGCTAGTCTAAATCATTTTTAACAGCCTCAGGGACAGAACCAAAACAATTCTCTTTGGTGTAATAGCTGGACACATATTGGGGCCCAAGTATTGCTAGGAATGCTTCCCCCCTCCCCCTCTTATTCATTAGGTATGAGAAACACCATCCCTTCCTTCAGAAACACTGACTTATTTCCACACTTTCTCTTAATTTTATGCAACCTTAACAAGATTTTTATCAGTTTTTTTTTTCTCTGAGTGCCAATTCCTCTGTTTCAAAGAAGCAAATAAAACGGCCTCCCACTCCGTGTTTATGGCAACATCGGGGCCTTCTGTTCTTCAAGGCAGAGTCTTTTCTTGGGACGCGTGGCTTTCCCCCACCTTACTGTCAAGGATGGGGGCAAAGGCACCCTTGCGTTTCAAGAGTGCCCACCTACACCGCCAGAGGCTCCAGGTCGGTTTAACTGGCAATTCCTCCAAGGGCCTGCGGCCTGAGCGATCGAGTGATCGAAATCACCTGTTCAAGGTCCGCACATGCAATGATTCCTGCTTGCCATCAGCGGGGCCCCACAGGACCCTGAGGGGCCTACGGCGGGCCGGCTCTTGGCTGCCTGCCGTCTCTACCTCGCGCCCCGAAACCTGCGCAAACGCGGGGAGACCGCGCCCTCTCGCGATCGCGGCCCCTCAGGGGATGGACCTGGAACCACCGCCTCCCACTCCCTCACCCTCCCCTCCCCCGCCCCCCCAGGCTGCGGCCGCGGCTGCGGCGGAGGCGCCAGAGGAGGAGGAGGAGGAGGAGGAGGAGGAGGAGAGGAGGAGAGGAGGAGGCCCCGGAGCGCACGGGCTGCGCGCGGGCGCGTGGGGGGAGGAGGGGGACGCGCCTACATAAGCCCCGCGCGGTCCGGCGCGCCGGCCCGGGAGGAGCGCGGAGTCGGGAGCGCCCGGCGCCGCACACGCCGCCGCTGCCCGGGAGCCGAGGGGAGGGAGCGGGTGGGAGACGCCGGGCGGGTGGCGCCGGGCCACCTACAGAGCGCTCCTGGCTCCCGCCCGTCTGCGAAGCCGGCCCGGGCTGCGGCACCGCAGCGGCCTGCGGAGGTGAAGCCGGGCTGCGGCGGCCCGAGGGGGCGCTGGCCGGGCGGGTGGGCAGGGTTGGGCGCTCCGGCCGGGGAGGTCCGGGCGGCTCGGCATCCCCGGTGGGGGTTGGGGGACCCTCTCGGCGGTGGTCCTGGGTTTTTCTCTGGGCGCTCCCCTTGTGGGGCGCCTGCAGCAGTGGCCGGGCTGGCGCCTGGGCGTCCCGAGAGCGGGGGGAGGGCGGGGGTCGGTGCGTCTCACGCGGGCCCCGCGGGGGTTTGGGGTGGCGCTGACATGCACGCGGCTGGTGATGCCCTCAGTTCGGGGATGCTGCTGGGCGTGGGTGTGGAGGGACACCTCTGATGCGTGGGATGAGGCGTGTGCGAAGGCCACGGACCGGGCCGTGGCAGGCTCCCCAGGATGACCCCGGAAAGCGGGGGTTGGTGTAGCGATGGGTTAGTTTCAACAAAACAGAAAACCAACTTAGGGCACTCGTAGCCCGAGAGTCAGGACCTCCTACAGATGTGCGGCGGCGGCGGGCTTGCCTTGCTGGCCCCAGAGCAAGCAAAGGGCAGTTAGCCTGGTTCCAGAAGCCACTTTTCAGTGAGGGAGTGAGAGCTCTAAAGAAATTGTGTGTTCTGTTTTATTTTATTATTTTATTTTAACTTTATTTATTTTATTTTAGTGTGTGTGTGTGTGTGTGTGTGTGTGTGTGTGTGTTTCTTGTTTAACGTTGTCAGTGATTGGGCTCCAGGCTGGCGGTGAGGATAAGGTGAGCAGGGAAAAGCCTAGTTGCTTTGTGCCATTGGAAAGTCTTCAGCATGCAGACTGCTGTCATGAGAAGAGGAGCTCTGCTTGAGCAGCAGTTCTTCCTCGTGTGTGGAGAACTGAGTTTCTGGAAACGTCCCCCGCGCTGTCGATTTTGCTGGTAAAAAGGTGCCAGTCCTTGGCGCTGATTGCCTTCCGCGCAGGGAGACGGAGGCGCGGCCTCGGAAGCATCGCTGGGCGTTGAGCGCGCTTCTGCGGAGGAGAATTTGGAGGGAGCGGGAGATGTCTCCGGGAAAGGAAGGTCCGAATGTGACACTCTAATCCTGATTTACTGCGATACTTAACTTTTCCCCCTTCCCTCCTCCAGGACCAGCTGTTTCAATGGTGCAGTTCTCTTCCTCACCTTTTGGTTACCAGTCACCTTCGGGCCACTCGGCGGAGGGAAGGGAGGAGACTATGAAGTCAGCCAAGCCCCAAGCGAACCACAGCCTTGGGGACAGCCAGCGCGCTCTGAGCCCCTTGCAGTCTCCTCTCCGGTCCGTGACCTCTCCTTCTCAAGCCTATGAGACCTACATTGATAATGGACTCATATGCCTTAAACACAAAATTAGAAACATCGAGAAAAAGAAGGTAATTTTTTTTTTTTTAAATCTTTCTTTCTTCCCCCTAACCAGGCATATGTACCATTTCAGGTAAGGGTTAAGGAACTGACATTTTGGCTTTTAATCGGGGCTCATAGATTCCTTCCCAGAGGTTTAACCTTGGGATGTAGCTGGCTGAAAACATACAGGCAGGCTAAATAATGGATATATTAAACATGTTCTGTTTGATTTGTCAGCATGACTGAATACAAATATTCTTCATGGTAAAATTATGCATGCTACTGTTGAAATATTGGAAGAGCTAGCTACTTTAAGTCAGATTAACTCCTTGAGTAGTAATGTTTCTTTTCAGAGATTGCCTTATTATTATTATTATTATTATTATTATTATTATTTTAGCTCATTTCCTGTCTGACTTTCTGCAGCAGTGGATAGTGCAGTATAGATGCTGCAGATATTGGAAGCTTTAACGATGGTGGAGCCAGAAAATGTTTCAGCACTTATGTTTGTGTTGCTAGGTGATCCTTTAAGATTGGTAGGTGAGCCGAAACTGGTTTGGCTCAGTGGATAGAGCATTGGCCCACGGACTGAAGGGTCAAGGGCATGTGCTTTCATTGCGGGCACATCCCCAGTGGGGGGTGTTCAGAAGGCAGCTGATCGATGTTTCTAACTCTCTCTCTCTCTTCCTTCCTCTCTGTAAAAAATCAATAAAATATATTAAAAAAAAAGATTGTTAGGTGAAAGCATTGTAGAGAGCCTTGCAAAGGGGCTCTGAGGTTATACTCAGCCTCACGTTACAATAGATGCTGATGTAAAGATCTCCACATCATTCCTCATTTCCTGAGTCATGTAGCCTGTGGAACAGTTGCTTTGTTGTGTCATGATTCTCTTTGCTCGTGATGATAAGGTGAGTCATTCGCTCTTTGACCTTGGCATCAATATTTTTATGCCAAGACCTACTTACACCTTAGGAGAGTTATTTGTAATGGAGGAGTGAAAAAAGACTTTTTTTTTTCTTTTAAAAAGAGTCTGACTCTGTTTCTTTTCCTTCTAAAAGTGTTTTTTATTAAAAAAAAAATATATATATATATATATATACACCCAGGAACATAGTGAAGAAGGGCCAGTTATGAGTAGCTTCTCTGTAGCCCCTAGCTCTTGTCAGTTGTCTTTTGAATGCATCGAGTTGATCCCCAGTGTGATAAGGTGACCGTGCCTGTGTCAGCACAAGCACAAATTCCCTGCCACTGTTGGAAACTAGTCAAGGCAGGACCTACTCAAAGCAGGATCTACTGACGGAGACGTGTTAGTTCTTCTCCCAGGTGGAGGAACTGTGTGTGTAGGTAACTTATCCTCTCTGGCTTCATGATACCAGCTCTTTGAATACCTATCTCACAGTACCAAAGCTTTTGTTTCAAGCTTGTGAGAAAACATTTTAAAGCTATCAAGCCAAATGGGAGGAGTCTAAATGTTGCTTTTCGAATACCATCATGGGCCATGTAGTTTTTATGGGGACAATGCAATTTATTTGTTGTGTGTTTACTTAAATATCATTTAATATAAAATAGCTTCAGTTTGAGGCTAACAAAATGCTAAAACAGAAATATTTTACATTTCTATACTTCCATTAGGAACTTTCTTATCCGACAAATGCCACAAAACTCAACAGGTGACTAACGGTTTAAGCATGAGGTTCGAGCAGGGTTTCTCAGCCTCAGCACTATTGACTTTAAAAAAATATATATTTTTTTATTGATTTCAGAGGGGAAGGGGAGGGAGAGAGAGATAGAAACATCAATTATGAGAGAGAATTATTCATCTGCTGCCTCCTGTACACCCCTCACTGGGGATTGAGCCCACAACCTGGGCATGTGCCCCTGACTGGAATCGAACCTAGAACCCTTCAGTTCGCAGGCCAATGCTCCATCCATCGAGCCAAACCAGCTGGGGCCAGCACTGCTGACTTTTGAGGCTGGATGATTCTTTGTTGTGTGGGGCTGTCCTGTGCATTGTAGGATGTTTAACAACATCTCTGGCGTCTACCCACAAAATGTCAGTAGCATGCTCCACCTTTCTGCCATTCCCCAAGTTGTGATAACCAAAAGTATGTCTAGACATTGCCAGATATGCCTGGGGGACATATTGCCCCTGATTGAGCACCACTTGGTTAAGGGCATGTGATTGACTAGTTAAGTTTCTGTAGGCTAAATATGTAGAGAGGCCATTAAGAGAAAAACTTTTATTAACTTTTGTAATACCAGACAAATGTTCATTTGTGTGTGATATTTTTTCCCCTAACTAGAACTCATGTTCTCAATTGCTGGGTGCTTTGTAGTAAAATGATACTTTTGCAGATTGATGGATTACTTTAGTAACTGTTTTCATAAGAAACAAAGTCTATTTATTTTTTTTGAGAATTTTATATCAGACTATAAAAGATGTAAATTTCTCTTTTGTAGCTCAAATTGGAAGATTATAAGGATCGCCTGAAAAATGGAGAGCAACTTAATCCAGACCAATTGGTAAGCGATTTTATGATACTTTGGCCAGACTTGCTGGTTTCTTTTTCTAAATAAAACTGTAGATAGACTTCATGAGACTAAACATTTGATAGGCCAGAAAAAAAATCAGTGAAATCTGGCTTTTTTTTTTTTTTTAAACCTAACTATATATATTAGATTATTTATAACTTTTTAAAATGTTGTTTAACTTGTCCATGGTATACCTGGTAATCTCAAGATTTATTAATTTAGAGGAGGAGACTTTTTGCAATATGGAAATTAAAAAACCCTGACAAAAAATGTTTCATTGATGTTTACCATTTTGACTTGATCACATCTCCTGGCTAAGAAGGGAAAAATTAATCTAAAAGTTATTTGATCTAGCTTGTACATCTATTGTCTTTTACCTTCTCAATGAAGGTTTTTGGTTGTGTGTTATAGATACTGACATTCAAGGTGGTCTTCCTGGCTACATTAACTCTTCTTCACTGGCTTGAATTTTTGTGATGTAGTAGATTATGGCTTTGCTTAGGCACGAATTTGAGTCGTTTGAGCTCTGACAATGATGTGTTCATATACTATAGCTGGTGAGAGGACTTAGCTGGACATCCAGCATCTCAACATGGGTTTGTTTAAGTAGTTATAGTATGTTTAATAACGTTTAGAGTGATAAACTTTTCCTTTGTGTAAATGTCCGTAAAGAACGTGTTCTGATAAGGTAGGATTGTTGATTTAGGGGAAATGTTGGGGTAAGGATGGTGGTTCTCAGGATAGCTCTCTAAACAATATCAAGGACAAGGCTATATTTCAGAGTTCCAGCCAGACAAACTTGAATTGCAATAACTCTTACCATCTTTATAACCACTTATTGTTCTATAATACTAACTTTGATTTCTCTCTTGAGAAATATGCTGCCAACTGCCAGTTTTATATTTGCCAATAGATTAGTTTTGTGAACTCGAGATTTCTTTGTCCAGTTGCCTATTTGTCATCGGATTTTACTCTGCCCGCCAAACCCATATCCCTTTTATCTTAGCTATGTCAGTTAATGGCTTGATGAACTAGAAGGATGGAGTTGCCAGAAAACCCTGGAGAAGTTTTCATCTTTCTCTTTATATTTTACATCTAGCTTATTAACAAGTCTGATTAGTTCTTCAAAATAAATTTAGGAACTGACCAGTTTTCATAAATCTTGCTTCTGTTATCCTGGTCCAAACCACACCATCTTCCATCTGCATTACTGTAATAGCTTCCTCACAGGTTTTTCTGTCCTGCCCTCTCTCTTCAAATCTCTTCTCAATATTGTAGCTTCAGTAATCCTGTTCACATGCAGGTCAAAGGGTCACTCCTCTGCTCAAGGTCCCCTTTGGTTCCCATCAGGGTGGCAGCGTGTCCTTGCTGTGACCTGCAAAGCCCTATAAAATAGGCTCTCTGTTTCCTTTTATATCTGTTGCATTTTCCACCCCTCTCTCCCTTGTTACCTTCAACACAGTTACACTGGCCTTCGTGCTGTTCCTCAAACATCGCAGGCACACATCTGCCTCAGGGCTTTTGCATGTGTTGTTCCTTCTGCCTGGGATACCTCTGCTCTCTCCCCCAGATGTCTAACTATTGAGGGTAAGGATGGGGAGCTTAGTTCCCACCCTCCTTCCATTTTTGGTTGGAAGGTCATCTAGTAAGCCTGTCTTGACAAACACGATACCTCTGTTTTCCCATTCACATTCCTTAGCTACTTTCTTAAATTTTCTTCATAGAAGCACTTCTCTGACAAGCTGTAAAGTTTTGTTTGTCCTTCCCTTTCAGTGTAATTTCCATTGGAAATTTTGTCTGTTCACTGCTGTTTTCCTAGTACTTAGGATGGTGTGTAGTATATAGTAGGCATGGAGGCATGTGGATTATTACATACTAGAGGCCAGATGCACAAAAATTCATGCAGGAGTAGGCCTTCCTTCCCCCAGCTGCTGGCACCAGCTTCTCTGGCACCTGGGACTTGGGCTTCCATCCTCTAGCCACTGGCAGGTACCTGGTACCTGGGCTGGCTTCCCTTGGGCCCTGGGTTGGTCAGGAAGGACATCTGGAAGATGTCCAGCCTAATTATCATCTTTATTTATCTGTAAAATCTTTTTTAAAATTGTCTTTTAGTTTGAAGTATTTCTGTAACAATCTTACTTAATTTTGCTTGTCATAGGTAATTATTTACAAGTCTCTTCTATACCATAATATACATCCCTTGAAGTTGCTTATTTATCTGTATGATCCTAGTTTTGCTACTTATGTAGTATATTTGAGTAGTAAAATGAATATTGACAGGAAGCCTGTTGGCTCAGTGCTCTGAAAACCTCAAGGTCTCTCTGACTTTATAGATATCATCAATATTATTATTATGGCTCAGATTTCTAGTATAAAATTTGAATTTTTAAATTTAACTTTATATACCTTCTAAATACTTTTTCTACTTTTTCAATTAGATATAGTAAATGTCTAGTCCATAAAGTCTTAAATCTCCTCTTACATTTTTAAGGAACACTTATTTTGACATTTGTACTCAGAAGTTCACAGAATTTGTGTTTTCTTCTCCTATTTGGTAGGAAGCAGTTGAAAAATATGAAGAAGTGCTGCATAACTTAGAATTTGCCAAGGAGCTTCAGAAAACCTTCTCAGGACTGAGCCAAGATGTGAGTATGTTTTACTTAAAACCAGTTCCACCACTAATCTGGAAGAAAATGTCAGGGTCTGCTGATGGTACTTTGTTATCATCCATCTCATTCCTGCTCATACCTTATTGTGGATGTGGGTTGAGCATAGCTACTTCAGAACTCATAGTTTTCAGATTTCTGGAGCTTCCATAGAACACAAATGTCTGAATGTGAGACACTGTGGATAAAGTGTTAATTATCTAATTAATGTGTATTGTTTCACTGTGAAACCATAGCAGTCACCGAGAAGGGAATAAAAACTATTTTTATGGGCACATTTATTAAATACTAGAGGCCCGGTGCATGAAATCCATGCACTCAGGGGTGGGGTGTCCTCAGCCTGGCCTGTGCCCTCTTGCAGTCTGGGAGCCCTCAGGGGATGTCCGATTGACGCTTAGGCCCGCTCCCAGCCAGCAGTCAGACATCCTTAGCACTGCCGCTGAGGCGGGAGAGGCTCTCACCACCGCCACTGTGCTCAGCAGCCATGAGCCTGACTTCTGGTTGAGCAGCACTCTCCCAGTGGGAGCACACGGACAACCAGGGGGCAGTTCCGGCATTGAGTATCTGCCCCTTGGTGGTCAGTGTGCATCATAGCAACTGGTTGTTCAGCTACTTGGTTGATTTGCATATTAGCCTTTTATTATATAGGATATTTTAGAATATAGGCCTGTACATTTATACATGATAGACGTCTAAGGTCAGCATTACTTAATGTATTAGGAAACTTGGATTGTTAGACTCTTCTGGAGACCACGGCAGTTATTACCAGGAAGATTTATGATTCGTGTTAGAGTTAATCTGGTTTCACCTGTTAGGTTCTCTATTTTGATGATTCAAACTTTTATCTCTGGCAAATTGAATCATTAATTAATGTGAAATCTTAAGCATTCATTAACAGAGTATTCTTCACTGTTTTAGAATCTTAGTTAGGAGGCCCTAGTAAGATCATGTTCTAACAATTGAAATCTTTTTTGTAAATTCATTTCTGTATTGGGAGCATACCTCATAAGATAGTCTCTTCTACTTTTTGGTTATTTTGTTCTTGTTTGGTGAACTGAAATTCTCTTCTCCATTTCTCTGGCATCAACCACCAGCATACCCTGTGCCTCCAGAAAAAAATCCCACCAAAAACCCAAAGCATACTTTCTAGGCTGAAGACATTTACCATCTTAATCCTTGTAAAATAGTCCGGAGTTCTCTCTTCTGAATGTCTGCCTTCATTAAATCTCAGAGTTAGTGTGTAAGTCTAAAATAGCCTAGTGTAGAGCCACTACCTTCTGTTTTCTGGATATTTCTGTTAATGTAAGTCTAAGATGATATTAGCTCTTTTTGTCAACCACAACATATTTTAACTCATTGCTATTCATGAGTCACTTCATTTTAGTACTTACTATTAATTCCATAGTTATTAAATATTTATAGTCTATTTTAGAGATAGTACTTTTAAGTCAATTTGTTTTCTTATGTGATCGATTCTATCAACCTTCTGTTTGGATGGTTGGAAGTGTACTTTTAATACTTAAAAATTCTCCATTGACACTCTTTACTCAGAGTTACTCTATCAAATTTTAATTTTCCATATAGGAGTTTATTTTTTTAATATGTGTTTTTTTGGTTTTAGATATAATTTTTTAAAAAAATACTTTCCATGTACCAGAAACCTACAAAAATCCACTTGTTTTTATAGCAACCCAGAAAGTAGATACAAGTTGTCCCCATTTTTCAGATAAGGAATCTGAGAATCAGAACAAAAGGAACTTCTTCCAAGTCATATGACCAGGAAGTGGTAGAATAAAAGTAGAGCTCTCATACTTTTCATTCTTAAAAACTGTGTTCTTGCCAAAACTGGTTTGGCTCAGTGGTAGAGCATAGGTCTGTGGACTGAAAGGTCCAGGGTTCGATTCCGGTCAAGGGCATGTACGTTGGTTGCGGGCACATCCCCAGTGGGGTGTGTGCAGGAGGCAGCTGGTCGATGTTTCTCTCTCATCAACATTTCTGGCTCTCTATCTCTCTCCCTTCCTCTCTGTAAAAAATCAATAAAATATATTAAAAACACACACACACACACAAAAAATACTGTGTTCTTCCCTTTACTTCTATAGATATGGTACCTGTATATTCACTTGTTTTTCCACTGCTATGGTCTAGAGCTAGCCTCCAAACCGCCAGATTTTGTTATGTGTGAGATTATTTTTCTTTGTTGAGGTGCTAAAAAGTGTTTGGGAGTGTGCCTTAATGAATCACGACCCTAGAAGTACCTGTCAGTACCTTCCAGCCCAATGATTATTAGGCTCTTCTTTTACTAAAGTTTTTAAAAATTTTTTTTTGTCAAATCTCTTCTGTGATAGCCAGTTTTGCAGCTTGTGTAACGCTTTCTTCTTTCCCTTTAGCTCAGCCACACCTCTTTTAGTCTGCATGATAGGAGCTCTGTCCTTTACTGGGTATTTTGCATCATGGTTCAGAAAATAAATTTGATTATTCAGGACTGTTGGTTGATAGCAGTTTATACTTCTTATTTCCAAACAGTCCTCCATTGGAAGAAGAGAAGATGATGTAACATGACTTCTTAGCTTCTATATAAAGAGGGAGAAGGAGGCTGTTATCAGGGATGTTTGTGACAGGAGCATCTGATTATAATCTAGGAGACAACATGCTTTCTTACTTGATACTTGATTGACTCAGCAAATCTATGAAGTCTGTCGTGTGTCCAGCTCTATCCTGGGCACTAGTGATATATTGGTGAACAGTGGACATATAGTCTCTGTCATCATGGAGTTGAAGCCCAAGGGAGAGAGGGGGGATGGCAAGTAAATAAAAAGATAACCATTTGACATAATGGATACTTGGATAGAGGAAGTTCAGGGTAGCATGAACCCATAAGAACACCTAATCGAACCCTGAGAGATGGCTAACTAGAGATCTGAGGTTATCTTGTGATACGATCTTGAAGAGGCTCTTGGCATCAGTTGCCTCTCCCTACATCATCATGAGACTGTGTCATTAGAGACTTGGATAGTTCGACTTGCATCTGCATATTTTTTCTTCCTCTCAAGCGGAAACGGGAACTACTGTAGTTGTTTGGTTAATTAGTACTGCAGTGAGTCCAAATTAAAGTCTCGGGAAAGATTTTCTGAGCCTTTGCCATCCTGAAGAAAATACCCTTACCCATTAACCCCAACCAGCCTGTGCCTCAGTCTCGCACTTTTATCTTCATTCCTTGTCTCCTGTCCCTGAGAGAAGCACAAGTCAAGTTTACTAAGTTTCTTTCATAACCTCTAGAAAGTTAGTTAAGAATGCCATGATGAATATTTTTGTTGAGTTTTTTTTCCTCAGTCTTTATCTGTTAGGATTTATGAACATACACATCTCTATTGTAGAGTTTTAAATACTGATGCTATATCAAAATAATGTAACCCACCTATAGGAGTAAGTTTTTAGACTTTGTTGTTGTTCTCTTGATCTTTATATCTTAGAAAATACCCAACATGAAGTAAACATTACAACCAGAAAAATAACGATGGGGAGAAAAGAATGTTTAAGTTTCTTAGTGGAAATAGATAGCACTTTTTATTGTTTGTTGTGTTATTATTTTTTTAACGAGAAGCCATGTATTGCAGTTCTGAGCTTTAGAGTAGACAATTTTCCATATGTCAGCTAAATATTGGAAGATACAGGCTCCATTAAGACTGGCACACAATTCTGAAAATATCTCTTTACTTTTAAAACAAGCCTGTTGGCTGTGGCTGTGGCTATTTCCCCCCCCCCCCCCCCCCCATTACATTTGTTAGGCATTTTATTTCTGTTTGGCTTTCCATTCCCCGTGCTGTAGCCAGTTAGTTGTCTTGGTTGGTTTAAAACTATTATAGTTTAAATATTCTTCTCCTGGAACATGAGATTAAAAAAATAACCTAAAACAGAATGAAGCATTTTCTTAAAATATTTGGTCTAAGAAGGCTTGATAATACCAAATATGGAAAAGTAAAACCTTGGATTGATGTGGATATCTGCAGTGGGTGCTTGCTTCTCATTATGGTGATATTGGAGGTACTAGATAGAGCCTGGAGCTGGAGGCGGACCATCTGGGCCCCCTGGGCTCTGGATACCTGAGACAAACCAGTTTCTTACTCTGGGACTTCTGCTGAAGGAGGAAGCAGGGTTAAATGAATGTATCAAATTTCACAATCAGTGTTACATCCACGGCTGGGTACAAATAGGTCTATAGTTGTAGTATACATAAATAACTCAATAATAAACTCTGTGTTTGGATACTCAAAACTATAAACTTACTTTTGCCACCCTGTATGTGAGTTTTATCTTCTAATCTCAAGTCTCTGGGATTAGTCAATTTTAATTAGCCTTTGTTTTAACAGCTCCTTAAAGCTCAGAAGAAGGCCCAGCGAAGGGAGCACATGCTAAAACTTGAGGCTGAGAAGAAAAAACTCTGCACCGTCCTCCAGGTTCAGTATGTATTACAGAACTTGACACAGGAACATGTGCAGAAGGACTTGAAGGAGGGCTTGAATGGTGCAGTGTATTTGCCTTTAAAAGAACTTGACTACCTCATTAAATTTTCAAAACTGACCTGCCCTGAAAGAAATGAAAGTCTGAGGTAAGCCAATGAAAATATTTTTCTGAAATAGGACACACAACACGTTAGCCTAACTTTTGTAAATATATAAAAAAAAATATATGTATGTAGTAATTAGGAAAACATTAATTTGATTCAACACGGGAAATGTTGGCCTGCCTAGACTCTGACAGTGTTGATAGGAGGAAAGTGAATATTAATGACCTCATAACCTACTTCTTTATTGTAACATGGATTTTAAAAGGTAATGACTGATCACCAAGTTTTAACCTTGTGTAAGTGTTAACCATAATACTAGTTATGCATATTCTTTAAAAAATATATATATATATTATTGATTTTTTACAGAGAGGAAGAGAGAGGGATAGAGAGTTAGAAACATTGATGAGAGAGAAACATCGATCAGCTGCCTCCTGCACACCCCCTACTGGGGATGACCAGAATCAAACCTGGGACCCTTCAATCCACAGACTGACACTCTATCCACTGAGCCAAACTGGTCAGGGCAGTTCTGCATACTATTCTTAAAAAAAAAAAAAAAAGATAATTTTTAATGTAATTATCTCAGGCTGTTGTATTACCTGAGATTCTTTGCCTTTTGACTGCTTTACTTAAAGTGGAGGTAAATAAAATTTATCTTGACTAGTATCATTAACATTTTAAAGGGAGATTATTTGGTGTTTTTGTGCTGCAAATAAATACTGAGAAACAAACCTGATAATTAAATATACCAAACCGGCAAATGGAGGCTGCTCAGTCTCCACCCTTCCTACTACACATGTCCCTACCCCCTCACAGTTATCCATTTTCTATTCTTGCTTTGAAGGAATAAATTAGCTAATGAACAGCTCTCTAAGCCTTTCTTTGTTAGATATAGGCTTTCCCAATGTTCTGTCTGTTAGCCATGCTAGCTAGACACAACATTGGAATAGTCTGTATCTAACTAAGAGTTAAATTTCAACTGCTATTGGAAATTAAACTTGTATCAGGAAACCTAATAAAACTCAATTACCTATAGGTAGCCATATATATATATATATCTATCTATATATATAAAAATATATATATATTTATTCCTATTCTGATAGTCTATTCCATCATCATTCTCTGTTTGTTTCTTCTTTCTCTTACTTCACTTTGGTGTGTTCAGGGAATGTAGCTTACTTTAATATGTGAAATGCAAGTGATTATAATTTGAAAAATAAGCTGCTCTCTTTAAAGTTAAATACAGCTCTTAATATTTTCATTTCAAAGTTCTTTTATGTAGGACATAGGCTTGATAATGCATGCTATGGCATTGACAATTTTAAGCTCTTTTTGGATTATTCCTTAATAGCTGTATTTGGTAAAAATTCTTGTTTTGGTTGTTTTGAGGAAAAATACTTACAGTAGAAAACCATAAATGGGCAGTTAGTCATCTTTTGTAAAGTTTCCATTTTCCAAAGAATAAAAAGATAAAATGCACATTGAATGTCTTGACTGTTTATGGGTTAATTGTATAAATTGCACTTCTCTCTCTCTCTCTCTCTCTCTCTCTCTCTCTCTCTATATATATATATATATATATATATATATATATATATATATATATATATATATACTAGAATGCCAGTGCATGACATTCATGCACTTTTTTTTGGGCGGGGGGAGGTGTCTCTCAGCCTGGCCTGTGTCCTCTCACAGTTCAGGAGCCCTTGGGGGATGTCCGCCTGCCAGCTTAGGCCTGCTCCTCGTGTGGAGTGGGCCTAAGCTGGCAGGTGGACATCCCATGAAGGGTCCTTAGTGTTGCCGTGGAGGATGGAGAGGCTCCCGCCACCACAGCTGTGCTCACCAGCTGTAAGCCCGGTTTCTGGCCGAGCAGCACTCCCCCTGTGGGAGTGCACTGACCATTGAAAGGCAGCTCCTGCATTGAGCGTCTGCCCCTGGTAGTCAGTGCATGTCATAGTGAACAGTCATTCTGTAGTTTGGTTGATTTGCATATTAGCCTTTTATTATTTAGGATATATGGGATGCCCATCCCTTCATGGGATGTCCTCCTGCCAGCTTAGGCCCACTCCACATGAGGAGCAGGCCTAAGCTGGCAGGTGGACATCCCCCAAGGGCTCCTGAACTGTGAGAGGACACAGGCTGGGCTGAGGGACACCTCCCCTTCCCCCCGCAAAAAAGTGCATGAATGTCATGCACTGGCATTCTAGTGTGTGTATGTGTGTGTGTGTGTATGTGTGTGTGTGTGTGTGTGTGTATGTATGTATATATATATATATATATATATATATATATATATATATATATATATATATATGGAGCAGTGCAATTTATACAATAAATAGTCAATTTATACCCATAAACAGTCAAGACATTCAATGTGCATTTTATCTTTTTATTCTTTGGAAAATGGAAACTTTACAAAAGATGACTAACTGCCCATTTATGGTTTTCTACTGTAAGTATTTTTCCTCAAAACAACTAAAACAAGAATATATCCTAAATAATGTATGTATGTATGTATGTATGTATGTATGTATGTATGTATGTATATATCTCTAAAGCCACTTTGTTCTGCTGCTGCTTTTCCTTATCAGTGTTGAAGACCAGATGGAGAAGTCATCCTTGTACTTTTGGGACCTTTTGGAAGGTAGTGATAAAGCAGTGGTAGGAACAACATGTGAGTTTTCTTTACTCTGGACTTTTGCAGTAAATACCAAACTTTATGTCTATATGTTTAGAATGATATTGAGGGCTGAAACTGCGTCAGTCCCTCAGAACTTATTGTCTGCAATACTATTTATTTTCATGGGGAGAATGATCTCTTTGTTTAGTTCTGCTAAAAGCAGCTGTTGTATAATTGCACTCATTAAAACGAAACCTAGGGGGAGTTTTCAAGTGGAAAGTCGCTGTGATTTGGGAACAAGAGCTAGCTAGGGTCTAGTGCGAGCTTTAACACTAGCCTGACCCTTTTGGAGTTCGGTTCTCTATTCTGAATAGTTGTGCCTGTTCTATTTAAGAATTTTAAATCTACACATTGTCAATATTAAGACTTATCTACCAGATTTGCCTAAGATATATATGAATGGTTTGGCTACATAGTCTACTGATGTATTGTTGTCTATTGATCTGGAAATGAGCTAGAGAGAAAGAGTTCTTTTGGCTTCTTAAGTAGATGTTGGCCCAATGCCCAAATACAAATGGCCAGACATGAAATCCTAGCTTAGGATAATGAAAATTCATTTGAAGCCAGCAAACGTTTTTGTTAATAGTGGTTGCTTCCTTTTAAAAAATACTCTTAAGTATGTATAACTATCGCAAACTTTCTAAGTCCTTTCAAGTTTTGATCATAGAAATTTATTTCTTGGTTAGAATGAAAAATGATACAAATACTTTGGAAAATCATTTGGCAGTTTTAAAAAATAAAATTAAGTGTACACTTACTATATAACAAAGCAGTTATACTTTTAATACCCAAGAGAACGGAAAACATGTTCACATAAGTATTTGTACATGAATATTCATACCAGCTTTATTCATGATAGCTCTAAACTAAACATGGCCCAGATGTACATCAGTTGATAATTGATAAACAAAATGTGGCATATCCATACAGTGGAATCTATTCAACAATAAAAATGGAATGAAGTATTCATATATGCAACAGCATGGGTGAATCTAAAAATAATTATGTTGAGTAAAATAAGCCAGACAAAAATGATCACATATTATATGATTCCATTTATATGAAATTCTAGAAAAGACATAACTAGAATGAGAGCAGGTCAGTGGTTCCAGGGAGAGGGGGAAGAGAGTTGATTAAAAGAGGGACATGAAGGAACTTTTTGAGTTGATTAAAATGTTCTGTATCATTGTTCTGGTGGAAATGCCAGAAATAACCTGACTTTCTGTGCACTTCAAGTGGATGAATTTTTTTGTTTGTAAATTATAGCTCAAAGTTGATTTTATTTTAAAGAAAGACAAAAATCTGTCATAGTATTCCTATGAAAGGAGTAATAGACTCAAATCAAGTATGGGAACTCAGCTTAATTTGGTAATTAGGGTTTTAATGGATATTAAAAATGAAGTAATTTTAACATCATTATAAGATTTTTTAATTTAAAAAATATATTTTATGGATTTTTTATAGAGGGGAAGAGAGAGGGATAGAGAGTTAGAAACATCGATGAGAAAGAAACATCAGTCAGCTGCCTCTTGCACACCCCCTATTGGGGATGTGCCCACAACCAAGGTACATACCCTTGACTGAATCGAACCTGGGACCTTTTAGTCTGCAGGCCGATGCTCTATCCACTGAGCCAGACGGGTTTTGGCAAGATTTTTCTTGATCATCAAAGGATGATATGCTAGGAGTAACATAAAGCACAACTCAAGTAAAGTCTTAATCATGGAATTTTGAAGTTTAAAAATCTTTTAGAGATTGTCCAACATAGGGTTTTTTAATGGTTATGATTGAGGAGCTTTTACTTCTGTAAAGCCTTCATGACTTGGGGAAGATAGAGTAATTGCTAGTTATGATATCTTGGAAGCAGATGGGAGATATGACTTTTCCTTAAGCTCAGGGAATAATGTGTATATTTTTGCAACATATTTGAGATTTTGATAAGGATCTCTGATTTTTAGTCATTTCTCACATAGTGGAAATGGAGACCCAGAGAAACTTAAGTAACTTGCTAAATTTTGGGATTCTGATTGTTAAAATTTATATTGATTCAGCCTGACATAAAGATGGGCTGCATATTTATTTTTCATGGTACTGACAAGTTCTCTGAATCCCATCTAATGTAAAATGCTGTAGTGACATTATAGAATAAAATTATGTTAGGATTTCTATTCCAAATAATTTCCCTTGACCTTTTAGGTTATATGATAACTAAATCTTCATCACCTTTTCTTAGACAAACATGTGAAAGATCTACTGTCTAAATTGCTGAACTCAGGCTATTTTGAAAGTATCCCAGTTCCAAAAAATGCTCAGGAAAAAGAAGTATCACTGGAGGAAGAAATAAAATCAGAGAAGAGAAAACAGTTATTGAAGACTGAATCTGTCAGAGAGTCAGGTTTGTTGTGCTTTCTGAAATTCTGTATAGTGATTGCATCCTTAATGCCCAAATATGAGACAAATCACTGTGAAATGATTGCCATGTTTTAATTTGTTAGTGTGTAATGCATGAAAATCTTTACTTGTAGCAGGATAAACCTCACTTTAGGAAATATAACTAGGCTTTATTACCATGATTTGCCTTCTATTAAGAGTGAACCTTACTAGAAATGTTAAGTTACACTTTGTTACAAGAGCGTGCACTGTTAAGTTGAGACACAATGGAGTTTGAACTGCTTTGTTAAACTAATAGTAGGATAATTTCATTTGAAATTGTTTAAAATGTAAATTATAGTACTATCCAATGTTGGAGTAGATAAGAGTGTTAATAACTTAAAGTTAACATACTGTTTAAGGAAAAAAGTGCCCAAGTAAATATAATAATTCCAATCAAAGAAATATGCTTTTCAAAATTCCTACTTTACTTGGAAAAGAAATACTTAAGAGCAAATGGCACTTTTGCTTTTGTTTGTTGAAGCTGGATTTATTTAAGAAATATCACTTCTGCCTGGCTGGCATGATTCAGAGGTTGAGCATCACCCTATGATCCTGGAGGTCACAGTTTGATTCCTGGTCAGGGCACATGCTGGGGTTGTGGGCTCTATCTCCAGCGAGGGGCTTGCAGGAGGCGATCACTCAGTGATTCTCTCTCATCATTTTTGTTTCTCTCTTTCTCTTCCTCTCTAAAATCAATAAAAAAAATATAAGAAATATTACTTCTAGGGAGGTAGTTGAGGCAGGGTTCTGGAAGCCACTTCCTCTTAGTTTCTAATGCAAAATCCAGTGCTTCAGTATCTTCACTCCCTTACCCTCCTCCCGATCTTAAACTGGCTTGTAGGAGGCCTTTATATTTCAAGCTGAGATGATTCATTATTACACTATGGATCCCGGAACTGTAATTCCAGCTTGACATAAGATGTGTTTGTGGATAAGAGGAGATAGTCTTGTTTTCCATCAGAAATCTGTTTTTAACTGTAACTTGACTTTAGAAAAGGACCTTCCATGAGGCGAGTTATTAGCTTCAGCTAGCCTCGGACCATAAGCTTTTGACTAACAAACAATAGAGTTACTCCTGCTATGAATATACTTAATTTTACTATCTTTTTTTTTATAACTCCTCTGAAATATGGTGCTAGAATGAACTAGTTGTAATCTGTCTGAAAACATGTAGTTTACCTATATTTTTTCATCTTCCCAGAGTCTCTTATGGAATTTACACAGCCAGAGATACAACCACAAGAGGTAAGGTACTGAAAGGTAATTTGCTGATTTTGGTTTCTGAGCTTTTGTGTAGTGTTGTGGTTGGAAATTCCTGCACTGGAGGTGTATTACTTAAGCTTGAATCCTGGCTCTGCAGTTTACGATTCTAGTGACTTTGGGCGAGATATCTATGTCTGTTATCCTTATGCAGAAGGTGGGGATGATGGTAATGCCTGCCTCATGTAGTTATTGTGAGGATTACAGGAGTCAGCTTAACTTCTCCATTACTTAGAATTTGGCCTGCCACACAATAGCTGCTTGTGTTAGCTGTTATTACTGTTGGCCCTTGTGATAGAATTTAAAAATGGGTAGAATTTTGCGCTCTCCAAAATTTACTCAGGTTAGTAATAGAAGAGAGGGTATTTGTTCTTTTTGAAGTGACATTGAAATTCATAGGAACTAGAAAGAATGGAAGAGGCAACATCACTGTATTGACGGATACATAATGAAAATAAAGGAAAGTCTGGTAATTTAAGAAACATAAGGCTTAAGGTTAAACAATATAACTTTGTTTAGTTGGACTGTCCTCTGCCTTTATGTTTAAGGGTGTCAGATGGGTAGTCAGAAATATAAACTTTGATGTTTCCAAAGTAGCGATCTATATTTGATTCACCTAAGACTGCCCAGAACTGCACACCGTGGTGCCACATTTACTTGATTCGGGCTCTTTTATCAAGGTTATTTGACTCTGCCAATCAAATATAGATTGTTTCTTTTCACATAGCAAAGTTTGTATTCCTGTTAATTGAGAGGAGAAAGGAATGGACAAAAAAGTAGGACAGTCTTTTCAAGTAGAATAAGAATAGAAATTTCCTGTAAGTAGAGTGGTTCAGACCAATGGACATAGGGATACTAAGAGAGTGTACTATTCCCCTCAAGGTCTTCTATACATTTAGTGACTCAGCACATTTCCCCCCATCTGGTCTAGTTTCTTAACAGACGCTACAAAGCAGAAGTAGATTATTCAAGCGAGCAGCATGAAGAGCAATCTTGGGAAGAAGACTATGCTAGAAAACCAAATCTCCCCAAATGTTGGGATAAGCTTACTGAACCAGCTGGTGAGGAGAAGAAACAGGAATCCTTCCCGTCCTGGGAGCCCTCTGTTAAGCAGCAGGAGCTGGCAAGGCCTGTGGTTCCCTCCGGACAGAGGAAGCAAGAGATGGCCAAGCCCAGGCCCACTCTGCCGGAAGAACAGAAGAAGCAGGATATCTCTAAACCCAAGCTAACCCCTAGCCAGTGGAAGCAAGAAACTCCCAAACCCAAAGCAGGATATGTTCAAGAGGAACAAAAGAAGCAGGAGACACCAAAGCCCTGGCCAGTTCAACTGCAGAAAGAACAGGATCCAAAGAAGCAAACTGCCAAGTCTTGGACACCTTCCCTGCAGAGTGAACAGGACCTCAGCAAGTCATGGACCACACCCATGTGTGAAGAACAGGACGCAAGTCAGGCAGAGACTCCCAAACCCTGGGAAAACAACGTGGAACATCCAAAACACCCTCTAACACCACAATCACAGATTTCTCCCAAGTCCTGGGGGGCAGCTGCAGGAAGCCTCATGCCAAATGACCAGCTCCTGCCCGGGAAGTTGAATGCAGAACCCAAAGATGTGAGTTGATCTCTATCAGCCTGTGGCTGGCAATGTATAATAGACATAAATAAGGAGCTGTGGTAATGATAACTTTAGCTTTCTTAAAAAAAAAAAATCAACAAAACCCATGTTAAATTAATGTATACAGTATTTCACTTAACTCTTTAATGTGTACTTTATTGTTTTCCCTTGAAAATTGGAAGTAGACCTAGTCAGTCTGTTGAGCCTAACCTGAGATGAAATTTTCCCAATGAGGAAATACTGTTTTAATGCCAAAAGTGTAGTGACATGATATGACGTCAAAATAGTGGGTAGTTGAGACAAGAACACGTGAGAGATGTAAATGCATGTCCGAGGTGGGAGATTTGTTACCTTTGACCTGGTCCATGGGAGGCTTTTTCTGACAGAACTTATATTTTTCTGTGTTCTCTTGCTTCTCTTTCACTCATTTGTAGTCACTCAGATTAGCCTGTACTCTTTGAAGAAGGTCCATGGTGGTTGGAGATACCCTCTAGTTGGAGAAAGGAAAATAAGAAGACTTATGATGTATAATCCTTTCATACAGTGTTAGTTAGTGTTATATTTTTATTAAATTATAATTTATTTTCCACTATTTAAATGCAAAATGGCCTCACCTGGTGTGCTAAGCAGTGGGAATGTTTTATCCTTCCAGTGTTCTCCTCTTTAGTAGTGTTCCTTACACTTCGTGCCATTTTAGCCAAAAGTTTTCGGATAAGTCTTTGGTCGTCCAATGGCGTGAAAAACATTTTGCTTGGAGAAATCAAAGCATCGCATTTTATAAATAAATTATCCCTACCTCCATCCTACCTGTGAAGGGAATTTTAGAGTTCACTTGTCTCCTTTTGCTCTCCTCTCTTCCTCTTTCTTCAGGTGCTAATATTAATTTTCATGTTTTTCTGACCCTGCAGAAGATTGATAGTGTTATTTCACTAACCAGATATCACACACAGTAATTGTAATAAGTCATTTTGAAAAACTTATATTTAAAAACCAGTGTTTTGTTTTTTGTTTTTTTTTGCCCAGCCAGTATGGTTCAGTGGTTGAGTATCAACCTATGAACCAGGAGGTCCAGTTTTTTTTTTTTTTTTTTTTTTTTTTTTAATATATTTTATTGATTTTGTACAGAGAGGAAGGGAGAGAGATAGAGAGTCAGAAACGTCGATGAGAGAGAGTCATCGATCAGCTGCCTCTTGCACACCCCCTACTGGGGATATGCCCGCAACCAGGGTACATGCCCTTGACCGGAATCGAACCCGGGACCTTTCAGTCCCCAAGCCGACGCTCTATCCATTGAGCCAAACCGGTCCCGGCGAGGTCCAGGTTTTATTCCTGGTCAAAGACACATGCCCAGGTTGCAGGCTCCATCCCCACTGTGTGGTGTGCAGGAGGCAGCCAATCAATGTTCCTCTCTCATCATTTATGTTTCTGCCTCTCCCTCTCCTTTCCTCTCTGAAATCAATAAAAATATATTAAAATAAACCCCAGTTTTATGCCTCAATGTTGATTTAAAATACCCAACTTAAAATTCCACTGGATATAGCAGTGCTAAGCCTTTACCATACCAGAATATTGATGCCATGACATTTGCAGAATAATTTGAAATCAGAGGTGTTTAGTTATAAAGGTCAGAACTGATTTAATTTGCTTTTATGGCACAGAATTATACTAAAGTTGCAAGGTCTCTCAGTGGCTGTGTATAATTCAATATTTGTTTCTGTGTCTTACAAGCTAAGCTGTCTAGAACATGAGTAAGTACAGTCAAGGGCAAAATAATATTCAAAGGCAAAAGACTAAATAACATGAAATTAAACACTAACGCTCATACTTTTTTTCCTAAAGGAGCTTTTCATTCATTCACTTAGAATCTATTAACTCTTATTTTATGGGATACTTGGATCAGTTGAGCTATGTGACTATCGAATACATTAAAAGTTGGAGAAGAGGTGCTGGAAGGGAGAGGCATGCTGACAGCTGTAAGAAATAACTATAAAGAGGTTTAATTCAGGATGTGCAGCAATCTGAATCAATTTAGCATGAGGGTTAACCACCTTATAAACACCATTAGCCCTTCAAAATATACTTACTCTTTAACAAAACATGATAGTGTATTCCCTCAATTCTAGGGTATATGTATATAATTTTACATATTCGTGTTTCTGAAATCAGATACATCTTTAAAATGGGATGTATATTTCATATAGTAGTAGTAATTTTTTCCAGAAAAAAATCATTGGTGTGCCTTAGAGTTAGTGGCATGTTGGCCTAGAAGACATACAATAACTGAAGTCTCCAGTGAAATAACTTCCTATCAAGCCCTGCTATTTTAGATCTTCTATTTTAATTTTTATATTTTTATTGATTTCAGAGAGGAAGGGAGAGGAAGAGAGAAAAAGAAACATCAGTAATGAGAGAGAATCATTGATTGGCTACCTCCTGCACGCCCCACACTGGGGATATAACTAGAAACCCAGGCATATGACTTGACCGGAATCAAATTGTGCCCTCCTAGCACACAGGTTGATGCTCAACCACTGAGCCACCTCAGCCAGGCCTTGGGCCTTTCTCTTTAAGAAGAGGATGTTTTAGAAAGATTTCCATTAAAGTTATTCTGAAGGGGGTGGTATTTAAAGTTTGATTAAATTATTTAGAAAATGCATTTAGGTGGAAATTCTTTACCTGAGATAAATATGATAAATGAGCATTGCTATGTGTTTTGATTTCATTTAGATGTAATGACAGGCCAAGATTCCTAAATTAGGTTATCGAAGTTGAATTTTACTCCTAATACTTTATGGGTTTGTCTTGTAGGTGCCTAAGCCCATGCATCAGCCTGTAGGTTCTTCCTCTCCTCTTCCAAAGGATCCAGTATTGAGGAAAGAAAAACTGCAGAATCTGATGACCCAAATTCAAGGAACCTGTAACTTTATGCAAGTATGAGTCATTATTGAATGAATTTTAAAATATATTCATGGGGCAACTCACTTCTGACCCGCAGCATTATAACCTAGTTGTTAAGAGCATAGATTCTGGTGTTTGGGAATGAGTACGAATCCTGGCTCTGCCACTTCCTAGCTCTGAGAGTTTCGGCAAGTTACTGCCTCCGTTTCCTTTAAAAATAAGGATGGCCCTAGCTGGTTTGGCTCAATGGATAGAGTTACAGCCTGCAGACTGAAAGGTCCTAGGTTCAATTCCGGCCAAGGGCACATGCCTGGGTTGCTTGATCCCCAGTGTGGGGCATGTAAGAGGCAGCCAATCAATGATTCTCTCATATTGTTGATGTTTCTATTTCTCTCTCCCTCTCCCTTCCTCTCTGAAATCAATAAAGTATATTAAAAATAAATAAGAATAAGGATAATAGTTTTTATTTCTGTTTGTTGTTACAAAATGAATTAAACATGTAAAAAGCCTACGGTGCTTTTTACAACTATAGATCACCAGTAGTTTCCACTGAGATTGTGAGAAACCTACTCTATGCTTGGTATTCTGACAAGAGCCCTTGTGTAGAAATAATCATGAGACATTCATTGCCTTTAAAGAGTTTAGATCCCAGAAGTATAAGGTTGTGAACATGTGTTAAGCCAATAGTTAAGTGTTAAATTGTGTCCTACAGATGCTTGCAGAATTTCAGAATAGTGTGATGTTACTGAGGAATGAAGTAGACAAATAAGATAGTCTTGTGTAGTAATAGGATCTTGCACTTGAAATTAGGTCTGTGTTTAAATCCCATTTCTACCAGTTTACCAGCTGTAGAATCAATGGCAAGTTATTTTGCTTCCGCCCCTCTACTTATTTGTACAATGGGGGAATTGCTTATCCTTCATAGTATCTAAAGATAAATTAAAGAACTAAAATGATCACTACAGGTGTGTAGCTTAAGTATTCACAATGCTGGAAACATTTCCTGGAGAACCAAGATAGGCAGATGGCAGGAGAGAATGGCTTCTCATCATGAAAGCATTTAATGCCATGAGCTAGCTCAGTGGTTGAGACAAAATAATTAGACCCTCTCATTGTTTGGGTATAATAAAAAATGAGGGTTCAGTCGCTACTAGGATTAATGCCTTTGTTTCAGACCTCAAGTCAAGAGTTTTTTGTTTTTTTCCCCCCCATGGCAGGCCTTAGAATTACTATTGTAGTTTTAAAACTTGACACAGTTTTAAAGTTTGACAATTACTTTAGTTTTTCATTTTAACTCTTAATTTCTGCTTCTGGAAAGTCTTTTGAGATAGTTATTAGCTAGATTCCTATGCCTAATAAGCTATGGACAACATCATGAATCATTTAATGGCAATAGCTCTTAAATGAATAACCTTTGTTTCTATTCATTATTTAAAAACTTGGCTTTAGGAATCTGTTCTGGATTGTGACAAACCTTCAAGTGCAATTCCACCCTCACAGCCACCTTCTGTTACGCCAGGGAGCCCAGCAGGTATGTGATCATTCTTGAGACTTGGAATAAGGAGCTGTAGGTCTAGCATTTATTTCTTTTACCAGCAATTTTATTCTAGATATCTTAAGGGTTAATCTCTGTCCATGTGTTAATTTATTCTAAGTATCCATATATTATCAGTTATATATGGGTAAATTCCCATTAGGATATTTGCATTTTAGAGAAAGTCTCCAGATGGGTGAATGGAAATGCACAGTAGCTGTTTTGCAGTTTTTTTCTGTTCTTGGAGTGAATTCTCACTAGAACTTGCTTGACTCCTTTCAACTTTATAAATCTAGCATTGAGGCTCTTGGGTCCTGACTGTGAGTGAAGTTGCCTTAGTGATGATCAGAATACTGAGTAACGTAGTAATTAATGATGGAGCCTAGATTTGAATCTGGCCTGATGCTTCCAACTTTAGGCCTTTTGTTCTACACTAGTTTATTTCAGGGGAAGGGTGATGGAATCAAAGACATAGGCCAGCTGTAGTAAGATTATACAGCAATTCCTGGCTGAAGTAAGGAAAAACTAGAGTATTTAACAAAACTGATGGACGTTAAAAGGAAAAACCAAACTGAAACCAGGTAAGTGAAAAGTATATTAATATGCATGGACAAAGAGACAGATGACCCAGCTAAGATTTACTTTGAAACTTGAAACTTACATGAACAAATTAATTACTATTCATGATGGCTCAGATTTTATCTTTTCAGATTACTACTGCCTATTATTTTTGTTTATTTTTTATAAGCATTCTTTTTGAAAAATATATTTATTTCAGAGAGGAAGAGAGGGGGAGAGAGATGGAAACATCAGTGATGAGAGAGAATCCTGCATGCCCCACACTGGGGATCAAGCCTGCAACCCGGGCATGTGCACTGACCCACAGGGAATCGAACTGTGACCCCCTGGTTCACAGGTTGACACTCAAACACTGAGCCATACTGGCTGGGCTTACCCTTTATTTTAAAAGTTGTATTTCTGTTCTTCTGGAGGCCTTGATATGCTGCTTTTGCCCATTTAACCTTGAAATATTATGTATCATAGATAGAACTATATCCTCCTCCTCTACATTTTTTTCTGACTCTTTGTATCCTCCTCTACATTTTCCCTGACTCTGTAGTGCTCTACTAGAACACTCATGATGGACTTGAGACCTAGTCTTTTCAGCTACTGTTTTGTTTTAATTTTATTTTTTTTGTGAAGTATAAACTTTAGTTTCCACACAGTTGATATGCATAAACTTCTCTCCTCCCTCAGTGGTTTACTGTTGATTTCACTCCCTGCAGCAACTCCAGAACAAAATCTAACCAGTCAAAATGGTTTTCTTCAAGAGTCATTACAGGTAACTTCTCCAAATTAATCTTTCATTTAACTCTTTTTTGCTATTCAGGGAAAAAAACTTCTACTTTGGCAAGAATGAGCAGACTTAGTGATTCTAATATACATGTCTAGTTTTTAGATTAAGTACAACCAGCCAGTCCTCAAAAGATTCTCTAATGACTATGGGAGGACATCTATATGTATTTATAAAAAAGAAAAATATGCTAATTAACCTGGACGCCATAACGGGTCAACCGGACAGGAGGAGGTTGCGTGTGTCGCATTGGGGGTAGGGCGGCAGAGGCCTCCAAGCACCTGTGCTGGGGGAGGGCCTGATCAGCAGTGGCCATGGCTGCTTCAAGGGCTGGAGAGGGAGGCAGGGCCGGACCGATGACTCTAGGGTGAGTGGTGCCACGCAATTTTGAATCACACACTGGGCTCCTAGTAAATTATAATGGAGAAAGCTAGTTGACTTAGTAAGGAAGGAGCACACCTGAAGAGTCCAGAGGTAGCTTGTCTGGGAAGTTTCCTTTGCTACTGAGCTACCTAAGTAACTTAATATATCAACAGAGTAAAGGGTCTAAAGAAAGAAACTGATTTTTAAAAATTCTTGGTTAGCCATTGCTCCTTCACCCAAATAGTTAATATTCTGAGGAACTAATTTTAACAAAACACACTTAGAGATATTAAGGGACCAGATCATTGAAGTCTGTAAATGCCACATTGAATTTCCATCAATGGTAAGCTCAAGTTTTCTGGTCATTATCATCTAAAAATATTTTCTTTGAATCCCTCTAAAAGCCTCATTGGCAATTTTCTTGATAGTAGCTACTTTGACAGTATGTTAAATATTTTTACCAGGTGAGTCAATAATTGTCTTTCTTCTCAAAAACTTCTGAGAAAACAATGTCATTTGCTTACAGTGTTACAGTGGTTTATATTTATTTTAATGCGGTATGGCTCAGTTTTCAAAATGTGTGTGTTGGGCAAGGTCTCTCACCCCCGTCACTGCTGTAACTAACGAGCTCCATTTTTTCTCTTCAGCTGTTAAGGTTCAATTGACAAATTAATTACTTTTTTGGGGGAAAGCTGCTTGCCTGGTGTAATGGTTCTGGTCTGTACCATTATGTTTACTCATCAATACTTAAAACAACCTTCAGCTGGTATATTTAAAGATCAATAATTTGGAATTAAGAATTGCCATTTTTTCTAAATAAATACTACCGGTAATACAAAAATGTTTCCTTATCTTTTTTGTTAAATGAACCTTTTAACTAAAATTCAAGTTTTTTAAATCTTAACTATTCAATGGCCTAAGTTGCCTTCACTTAGCACCTGTGAATCTTCCTGTGGCTGGAGCCTTGTTATGTCTCCACTGCAGTCAGTCCCACTTACTCAGGGCAGTTTCTAGGAGAGGGCCAGAAGTGCGGCCCCATTTTAGAAACTCTCCAGTCTCATAATAGTTCAGATCCAAATTGTACCTATTTATTTCGTTATATAAAATGTAAAGGGTATAAAAATTTTTCCCCCCCGTAAGGCCTTTTGTAAACTTGGCCCCCATCTCCTTCCCAAGAAGTGTTATATCATGATGACTTCTTCTAGAAGACCACTGAACCATAACTGGTGTGATATTGCTTGCCGTTAAATTAGTTTCCAATTCACCCATTTTATTGCTTGGGCTTCTAAGAACTGTATCAATGCATTTAGACAAACGGAGTGGATTCATGGATACTTAAGACCTTGTGGGTCTCTCTCTGGTATATCTGATACCTGTTGTACCATAAAATTCCTAGGCACTCTGTTAGTTTTTTATTGGTTACAGTTGTCACAGCCTTAGTTCCTACTATGCTTTTTTCCCCTAATTTTTATTTTATAAGTATTATTAGCTTTAATTTTTTGTTAGAATTTTGATGCCATTGTGATTTATCCTTTCTATTTATATTCCTACCTACCTCTTTAAGACCCTGAGAGTACTCAGATTAAAAACATAATTACTATGATCCCTCGCAGAGCTATGACTAGAGTGTTAAATGCGCCCTGCGCTCATCTTCCAGTGAGTTGCTATTGAGTGCCAGAGTGAAAATCTAGCCCCAAGTTTCCAGGGCCAAGAATCTTGATAAGTGAAGATGGGATTAGATGTGTCCTTTGGTGACCAGGTCTGGAAAAGGCAATGCAGCTGACTGCTTGGGTTTGAATCTCAGCTCTGCCACTTAATTTTGTGTGATCTTGAGTAAATGACTTAATCTTTTCTTTGCCTCTGCTTGATTGTCAATAAAATGAGGATAGTAGTGTTCAAAGTCCTCACACTATCCAAAAAGTGGGAAAAGTACTTATTCATATTGAAATTTTAATCAAGGATTCATGTTAAAAGTCTTGGGTGACCTCTAAAAGAATAGTAAACTAAACTAAAAGCCTACTGTTGGATTAAATGTTAGAGAGGGTGAAGTATTTAGCATTAATGAGCTCTCAATAACAATAACGTATTAGAAAGCCCAAGGCCCAAGAAATATAATGTGAACAAAAAATGTGCCTTTTATAAAGTTTTATGTCTTCCTGTGCCCAGGCTGCTGTTTTTCCAGTTACCAGTAGCTCAAGTGCTTGCTTGGTTACTGCCGATCAGGCTTCTTCGGGATCTGAAACAGAGTTTATGCCTTCAGAGACCCCTGAGGTAATGAGAGACTAATGGTCTTGATTTCTTTTCTGTCTTGGAGAATAGCAGAACCAGCTTATTTTGTGAATTACACACATGACCCATTGAACAATGTAACATTTATACTGTACTACCCTACTGCTTTCTGTAGATGGTGTGGTCTTGAAATGTACACAGGTAATTTTATTGTGGCTTTGCTGTAAAGTAGGCTTACTAGAGTTTTGCTTTATCAGATGCAATAAATTTGTCCAAATTGCTACTGTTAAAAAAGATGAAAAGTTTTAGGTCGGATTAGGTCGTTTCCTTACCATATTTATATTGAATAAATTCTGAGAAGAAAAATCCTTTTATTCATATAACTATGAACACTCAATAACTTTATAGTGATGCTATTAGCATTTATTCATTTGGAATGGTTTACATTCTCTTTTTGCCTAATTTTGTCAAAAGTATTTTATAATATTTGTGCTTTCAATTCTAAAGTAATTTATTTATTTATTTATTTATTTTTTGCTAATAGTTTCAGTAAGTCCTTAAAATAGATATAGCAAGATAGAATGATTTTGTTTTTTTTTTGGTATTAATATATCAACTCTTAGATTTCACTGTGTATGTGTTTTTTTTTTTTTTTTTTTTTTTTTACTATTATATAAGAATGTATATTTTTTATAGAATATAAGAAAATATAGATGAACTTTAGTTTTTATGATACTGACTTGGTCTAAATTGAAATCACTTGCTTCCTCGTTTTAAGAAGAGAAAGTATTTGTTACCAAGTGAGTAATAGCTTTCTTCTTCAGAACCTCATCGGGATTGAATTTTGGTAATTTTTAAGCCTTCCCTTAGGTAAGAATTATTTTAAATTAGTTCAAGTTTGATTCTGTTAGGCAGCTGACTCAGAAGTCCACTAATAAGATTTTTAAACAGGAAAATGTTAACACTAACTCAGGAAGTAACCCACGGTTTTCTTTTCTTTTTTTTTTTTTTTTAAATATATTTTATTGATTTTTCACAGAGAGGAAGAGAGAGGGATAGAGAGTTAGAAACGTCGATGAGAGAGAAACATCGACCAGCTTCCTCTTGCACACCCCCTACTGGGAATGTGCCCGCAACCAAGGTACATGCCCTTGACTGGAATCAAACCCGGGACCTTTCAGTCCGCAGGCCGATGCTCTATTCACTGAGCCAAACCGGTCCCGGCTGCCCACGGTTTTCTAAAGCCTAATTCTACGGTATGAATTTGATATCATTTAACTTAATGGAAAATGCCATTCCAGGGTTTGAAAAGGACTAGATACTCCTGAAATGCTCAGCCCTCATCTGTTAGACTGATTATTGGTGAGACTCTTTCGCTTCGTCAGCAAGCTGGGTAAAGCAGACGCTAGTGTGCACCCTCAGCAGATGAGGTTTGAAATTGTAAGCAGAAGCTATTCTTTTGCATTCCTGTGTCCCGTTGTCATCCTGTAGAACTTGCTGACTTACCCTCGTCTGGGTTTAGGGGATGTGAACTGCTTGCTATCGGGTAGGTGACTGGCTGATGCTGCATTTCTCCTCCCCAGGCAGCAGATCCCCCAAGCAAACAGCCATCTTCACTGGCTTCACCAAACCCTCCCAGGTCAAAGGGCCCTGACCAGGGCTTCCCGTCACCTCCAGCAGGTAGTGGTTCAGTAACCATTGGCACAGCGCCCTTCCAAGCCACGCAGACCGTGAGTATGAACCGTGAACGATGACTGCAATTCATTGTTCCTGTTAAAAAGCCATTGTTTCTCTTACATCTGTTATTGGTTACCACGTGAATAAATCTGCCATTGGGTTACTCTCATTCGGGCTGGTAGGATTCACATTTGTCTGGTGGGAATATTGTTTGTGTTGGTAGAGGAAAACCTCGAGAACTTTGATGCGTGTTTTATCGCGGAGCATTGCCCCGTGTGAAAATTAGTAGCAGGCAAAGCTGAGGACCCCTCGAAAACAAATGAATGGTGTGAGTGAGAAACATAATTTTGTATGAACATCGGAATAATACTAACCATTTCTTTTTTTAAAATATATTTTTATTTTTATTTAAAATGTTTTTTATTGATTTCAGAGGGAGGAAGGGAGACGGAGAGAGAGACAGAAACATCAATGATGAGAAAGAAACATTGATTGGCTGTCTCTTGCATGCCTTTTCCTAGGGATGGAACCCACACTCTGGTCATTGCCCTGACCGGGAATTGAACCATGACCTCCTGTTCATGGATGGATGCTCAACCACTAAGCTACACTGGCCAGGCCTATATTAACCATTTTTAATATTACACTAGTGATATTCCATTGCATCAAAACAAGACACAGAGGACACATACCTGGTTGTTCTCTCATTGTTGAAACTTTCATTTGATTTAATTTTGATCCCATGTGTAAGTTTTTAGAGAATTATTCAGATATGTGTGGTATTTTGGATCACAAATTGTATTCTAAAAATTTTTATAGTACTATTACAACTAGGTTTCTATGTTCTTTAAACACAGAGGAGTATAAAACAGTTTTAGAGAAAAAAAACAAACCCACAAAAACACACACATAAAAAGTCTTAGGCAATAAGAACCTATCCCGATAATGCTTAATGTTCCATTTCAGGTACTTTGACTGACAGTAGTGAGAGACCTGAATTCACTGATCTTATTACTTCCTGTATGGCCACCCAGAACAGCTTAGTTTCTTTGCTTTCCCTCTTTCCCTGTCAGCCCATCTTGCATAGAATTGCCACATTGGTTTTACAAACTTTTTCCTATTCCTAATTAAAAGCAAACAGTGGTCCATTACAGAATGAAGTGGAAAGTCCTTTGTCCGACACTCAGTAACTTTGAAGTCTGGTATAACCTGTCAGACTAGTCCCTGTGCTTGCCTTGTACATTCTTGCCACAATACCTTTTTACTCATGCCAATCTGTTTTCTCCACCTGTTTGAATTCTATCTAGTACAAATTGGTATTTATTTGTTCATTCATTCACTCACTCATTCATTAAAAAACAGGTATTTTATGGAGCCAGTTTCTGGGGTTATAATAATGAAAAAGAGACAGGTCTATGTGATCAAGAATCTTAACATTTCGTTGTGTTTTTTTTTTTTTTTTAAGAAGGTGGGCGCTGGAGAGAAAAAAAAATATAAAATGCATCAGGTGCTATGTATTGTGAGGAAAAATGGAGCAGGATAAGGAGGCTAGAAAGTAATAGAAGTGCTATTTTAAAGACAATGATCAGAGTCTGGATAGGTCATGGCTTGCCACATGATAGAAATTCAGTACAGTGCATTTTTTTTCATTCATCTTTCTAGTTTTTAAAAATATATATTTTATTGATTTTTTTTTATAGAGAGGAAGGGAGATAGTTAGAAACATCAATGAGAGAGAAACATCAATCAGCTGCCTCCTGCACACTCCTTACTGGGGATGTGCCCACAACCAAGGTACATGCCCTTGACTGGAATCAAACCTGGTACCTTTCAGTCCGCAGGCTGACACTCTATCCACTGAGCCAAACCAATTTCAGCCATCTTTATAGTTTTTGAAAGAGTAGCACTTTCCCCTATATAGCTTTCATTCTCAGTGAGTATTACATAGTAGCAGGAAGATTAACTTTTGTACTTGGGTTTAAATTCTGTCAGCCATCAAATAGAAGTTTTTGTTTTTACTATGGTAAAATATGCATGACATAAAATTTACTGTTTAAACCATTTTTAAGTATATACTTTAATGGCATTAAGTACATCCATCATATTGTACAACCATCATCACTGTCTAATTCTAGAATTTTTTCACCATCCAAACAGACTCAGTAATGCTTTATTTCTCCCTCTTCCAAGCCCCTGGTCACCTCTAGTCTACTTTCTATCTCTATGAATTTACCTATTGTAGGCACCTCATATAAGTGGAATCCCAGTATTTGTCCTTTGTATCTTGCTTGTTTCACTTAGCATAATGTTTTCAAGGTTCATCCGTGTTATAGCATGGATCAGAATTTCATTCATTTTTATGGCTAAATAATATTCCACTGTTTGTATATACCACATTTTGTTTACCAGTTCATCTGTTGATGGACACCCGGGTTGTTCCCACCTTTTGGCTATCCTTCCTATATAATAAAAGCCTAATATGCTAAGTGTCCAGTTGTCTTGTTGTCCGTTCAACCAATCAAAGCATAATATGCTAATGATATGCTAAGGCCACTCAAAAGCTCGCTATGGCATGCACTGACCACCAAGGGGCAGACAGTCAACTGGTTGACCAGCCGCTATGATGTGCACTGACCACCAAGGGGCAGACACTCCGACCAGTAGGTTAGTTTGCTGCTGGGGTCCGGCTGATCGGGACTGGAGCCCAAACACACCCTGGAGCCCTCCTGAGTTCCCTCCCCAGCTAGCCAACCTCCCATGTCACTCCCTGGCCCCGATCATGCACCAGTGGGGTCCCTCAGCCTGGCCTGTGTCCTCTCGCAATCTGGGACCCCTTGGGGATATCAGAGAGCTGGTTTCAGCCCCATCCTGCAGGCCAGCCCGAGGGATCCCACTGGTGCATGAATTCGTGCCCTGGGCCTCTAGTTATAAATAGCGGTACTATGAACATTGGTGTACAAATATCTACTTGAACCTCTGCTTTCCATTCTTTTGGGTATATGTCTAGAAGTAGAATTATTGGATGACATGATAATTCTATGTTTAGCTTTTTGAAGGACCACCATACTGCTTTCTACAGTGGCTGCCCCATTTTATATTCCTATTAGCAACACACAAGGATTTTAAACTTGACCACAACCTTGCTAACACTTGGATTTTCTATTTTTTAAAAACAATAGCCATCCTAATGGGTATAATGAAGTAGTATCTCAGTGTAATTTTGGTTTCTATTTCCCTAATAACTAATGATGTTGAGCATTTTTTTAATGTGCTTATTGGTTATGACTCTTCTTTAGAAAAATGTTTATTCAAGTCCTTTGCCATTAATTAGAAGCTTTTGAATGTTGCAGCATTTTGCTGGATGCCACCCTTAATTATTTTTAATGAAACTTCACAAATGATTCAGCCTACCCCTTGTCTTTTAAGGTATTTAATGTTAACGCACCTCTGCCTCCACGGAAAGAACAAGAAATAAAAGAACCCCCCTATTCACCTGGCTACAATCAAAGTTTTACTACGGCAAGTACACAGACACCATTCCAGTGCCAACTGCCAGCCATCCACGTGGAACAAACTGTTCTTTCTCAAGAGACTGGTAAGACCTTGGTGTATGGGTATTTGAAGACTTTGATGACAGCTAACTGGAAAGCAGCTCTGTAGTGATACTTTAGTGGTTCTTTCCCGGGTAGTAAGCATTATCTCTTTACATGTTCAAGTGTTGACAAATATTTGATGCTTTTTCCTCTGTTCACCATTTTAACTTTTGTAGAAGTGGAAATTAGATAGTTGACTTAGTTGAATATAGAGGCTCATATTTTTAAATTGATTGCTTTGATTGCCATAGACAGTGGTTGAGGTAGATAGGGCATTGTCCAGTTTGATGAAGGGTTTGAAGTCATTCTATTAACTCTTTTAGCCCAGACAGATGGCTATTTGGCCCTTTCTCTCTCCTTTTGTCTTATAATAAAAGCATTGGTTAATCTGACAATATGACTTAGGATGCTTATTCTACTGTTTGCTCAGAGATGAGAGATAATTTTGATCTTTCATGCTATTGTAAATCATGAACGAATAAGCAACTTTGTAGTTATTTCCTATTTTAAGAAGTACTTATAAATTTTTAGTGTTGGTATTTCAGACCCCTACTGAATCTTCTAAAACTTAAACCTGAGCAGATGAACTGTGTGTTTTTTGGACCTGGTCACAGAAGTATTATAATAAGTGTAAACCCTTGGACTAGCCACAAATGACCTCATTCTGTTCTCACCTGTACTGTGAAAACACAGGGAAGGTAATTTACTGAGAGGATATTTTTGTCATATGCCTTCTCAGTTACAATGGCAATGAACATTCATTTTCTTTTACTCCCTGATCTGGAATAGTTAGCTTCCCTCCCCCTCTCCCCCCTTTAATGGTGGTAAAATACATATATAACATAACATTTATCATTTTAACCATTTTTATGTATTGAGTTCTGTGGCATTAAGTACATTCATATTGTTTTGCAGCCATTACCATCCTTCATATCTAGAACTTTCTGAAACTCTGTACTCATTTAACACTAACACATCATTCCCCTTTCCTTCCAAATGCTGGTAACCTGTTCATCTGTTGTATGAATTTGACTATTCTGGGTACTTACCTTATGCTGGTAACCTGTTTATCTGTTGTATGAATTTGACTATTCTGGGTATTTACCTTATGTAAGTGCTGTCACGGTACTTTTCTTTTTTGTGATTGGCCTGTTTCACTCAGCATAATGTCAAGGTTCTCCCATGTTGTAGCATGTGCCAGAATTTCCTTCCTTTCTAAGGCTGAATACTGTTCTATTTAAATATTGGTGCCCTGGTGCACAGATTCATGCACATTGAAAGGAAATTAATTAGAAGGTGGCTGGAGGGGCAGGACTGGGCTAAATGGGCCAGACATGCCCTGGAACCAACCTCCCACAGTCTCTCCCTGGTCCTTCCCATTCAGCTGCACCTGGGACTGTGCTGTAGAATGAGGGGCATCTATAGAGTAAGCAGGGTCCCTCTGGCAAGTGGGGTCCCTTGGCCTGGCCTGCGAGGATCAGGCTGAAACTGGCTCTCTGACATCCTCGTAGGGGTCCCTGATTGTGAGAGGGTGGTCCTTGAGTAATGTACCCGGACTACAGCTCCCTCCTTTCTGGTTCCAGGGTGTCTCCCCCAAGAACCACCACTGCCAAGTCACTGCAGCTGGGCTGCACGTCATAGCTACTGATTGGAGTGTCTGCCCCCTGATGGTCATTGCACATCACTGCTCCCAGTTTGATGGTTGGATAGTTGCTTACCTTTATATATACATATACATATATATATACACACACACACACATATATATATAAATTTATATAAATAAATATACATATAAATATATAAAATATATATAAATATATAAACATATAAATATGTAAACATATAAATATATATAAAAATATAAATATATATAAAAATATAAATATATATATATGGTGGGGCAAAAGTAGATTTACAGTTGTGAGTACATGAAACACAGAGTTTATTCTTGTATATATTATTATATTTTCCATATGAACAACTGTACACCTGCCTTTACCTCATCCTGTATATATAGAGAGATTTTACTCATACATAGCCACTGCATTATTTATTTATTTATTTTTATTTTTTTGGAGGGGGTACCCGGATTCACCTGCATTTTTTTTTTAAAGGGAGAACATTGTATTAAAGATTTTGATATATAGTGACTTTTTAGTATAAAGAATATTGAATCATTACTACAGTTTAACTCTTGAACTTTAAAACTGTTTCTTTAAGCAGCAAGTTATCCTGATGGAGCTATTCAAGTAAGCAATGGTAGCCTTGCCTTTTACCCAGCACAGATGAATGTGTTTCCCAGGCCATCCCAACCGTTCGTCAACAGCCGGGGATCTGTTAGAGGATGCACTCGCGGTGGGAGATTACTAACCAATACGTATCGGTCCCCAGGAGCTTATAAAGGTATACTCTGGATAACATTGAATTATGCTGAATTATTTTGTCTTATATTTTTACTTGACTCAAACTATTTTTTACTTTACCTGTTTCTTTTTGTAGTTGTTATTTATAATGTGGTGCTAGTAAGTAAGTTCCTATTTCTGCAAAATACGGTATTTAACATCCCTAGTCTCTATAACAGAGAACTTTTTGTATGAAAGGCAGATTCATCCTGTTATCTACAGGTTGAGCATCTTTTTCCTCCCCAGGAATGAATTTTGATTTTTATACTTGAAAATTTTTTTTCTTTTGTTAATTGATTTGATTTTTATAGTGATTTGTGTATCAGAGTATGCCACAGATAAAGCATAAACTTTGGGACTGTAAAAGTGATATTCATTTTAGTTGTAAATGTAGTTCCAAGTATTCCAGTCATGCTTGGTATTAGCAAGGTACTCTACACGGAAGCTTTAACTACCTACTTATCTTACCACTCTTCCCCCCCACCCCCCCGCATTCTAGCAATAGTAAATGTCTGCAGTTGACTTATTAGAAGTCAGCAATGTTTTATAAATGTGCGTCTTATTGTGGAAAGCAATATTAATAGAACTTGCTTAACGAAGGCATAAATTGAATGTTGGCATTATAGGATCAGCTTTACTTTTAAAATGGTATACAGTTAGACTACTTAAAAGTTTAGTGTAAGTTTTGCTCATAATTTTATGCAAGTTGTTTATTTACTAGGTTTTGATACTTATAGAGGACCTCCTTCAGTTTCCAATGGAAATTATAGCCAGCTACAATTCCAAGCTAGAGAGTATCCTGGAACACCTTATTCCCAAAGGGTAAGAATAGTTGTCATAGTTGAATAGTAGTACAGTTGTTGATACTAAGCTGGTGATTAAATTATAGTGCAGTCATTTATTTATTTATTTATTTATTTATTTATTTATTTATTTATTTATTTATTTATTGTATAAGGCACTCTTAGTTTTAACTTGTAAGTTCTGTGAAGAGTTAAGTTGGAAGCTTTCCTAATAACTTAGAATAAATGTCAACTTAGAATGTTTGAAGGATTGTATTAATCGTGTTGTTTGTATTAACTCATTTACTCTTCCACCCTGTAAGAGAAACGGGGATTCAGAAACAAGTTAAATAACTCATCTAAGGTCACTCAGCAAGTAAACAGTAGAACTAAGATTAGAATGCAAATTTCTTAGCTCTGAAGCCCATGATTTTAACTTTACTACATGGCCTTAAATTTAACTTTTCTAGATATCAAATATAGCAAAGTCTTAAAAATATTGATTTCCGAGAGGAAGGGAGAGAGAGAGAGATAGAGAGAGATAGAAATATCAATGATGAGAGAGAATCATTGATTGGCTGGGATTGAGCCCGCAACCTGGGCATGTGACCTGACTGAGACTCCAACCATGATCTCTTAGTTCATAGGATGCTCAACCACAGAGCCAAACTGGGTAGGGCATAAGTATTCTTTTTATGGGTTGTATGGAGTCAGACTTTTATCATACTTGGGAGGTAGTTTGAAATGTTGCTTCTTGAACATTTTTTTCTTGAAGGTAATAGATTACATTTCCAGGGACTAATACATTTTATACAATATAATTCGTATTAATCGCCTGTCAAGACAAAACAAAGCCCTAACATACCTTGTAAATACCTTTACAGTTTGGTTTATAAACAGAGCAAGATTTAAATAGTCTGTGTTATTTCTTTTTTCTCTTCTTCTTCTTCTTCTTCTTCTTCTTCTTCTTCTTCTTCTTCTTTTTCTTCTTCTTCGATGAGAGACAGAGGATCGTGCCATATATTTTTTTGAATAAAGGTTTTTTAGAGAGGAAGTGAGAGAGAGAGAGAAAAGCATTGATGTGAGAACAAAACATCAATTGGATACCCCTGCATTGCTCCCAGCCGGGGATGGAGCCTGCCACCTGGGCATGTGCCCTGACCAGGACTTCAACCAGTAACCTTTTGGTGTACAGGACAATGCCCAACCAACTGAGCCACACCAGCCAGGGCAGACCATGCCATATTTTTAAAAATTTCCCACCTTGTACCTTTTAAATAGCATTCTCTAGATGCTTTATAGTTTTTGTAAGTATTAACCTATCTACACTGAGTGGCCAGATTATTATGATCTCTGAATGCATAATAATCTGGCCACTCAGTGTATATTCTGTATAATAAAAGGCGTTCGACCAGCAGGCAGGCTGGCCAACTGCCTATGTCCCCTCCCCCTGGCCATGCTGGCTGGACCCCACTCATGCACAAATTCATGCACTGGGCCTCTAATACACACTCTCTCTCTCTCTCTCTCTCTCTCTCTCTCTCTCTCTCTCTCTCTCAGTAGATTATTATGCGTTCAGAGATCATAATAATCTGGCCACTCACTGTAGGTCCTGACTGGGTAGCTCAGTTGGTTAGAGTGTTATCCCAATATGCCAAAGTTGTGGGTTCGATCTCTGATCAGGGATCGAACATATAAGAATCAACCAATGAATGCATAAGTAAGAGAAACAATAAATCGATGCTTCTCTCTTTCTCCTCCCTCCTCCCCTCAAATAAATATATATATATATTTAAAAGTAATAACTTATCCAATTGATCAGGTTCATTAACAGATGAAGCAAGTATTTCTTCTGTTGACATTTTTAAAATTTATTTATTTATTTATTTATGTATGTATGTATGTATGTATGTTTGGAGACATCTGAGCCTCTTCGGTTGCTGGAGAAGGCCAGATAAAGGACTAAGAGGACTTTAATCTTAGAGAATGACCAGCCAGTCATCCTGGGTAATAACTAATCATTGTCTTACATTTTTGATGCCGTTTTAGGAAAATTTCCAGCAGTGTTACAAGCGTGGAGGGACATCTGGTGGTCCTCGGGCAAATTCAAGAGGTAAAGATAATGAACTGAGTAGTTTATTTGCCCTAACTACCTCATCATCCATCACGTTCTCCCCAAATACACTGTTTTCAGCATTTATCTTGTGGTTTTCAGTTTGCTTATGTCGTGGTACTGGAGACCTGAGAGAGATACTAGACTATTAAGAAAGGCTGTGGAAATCAGTATTCAATTTAATTAAAAGTGTAAGCGTGTGTGTGTTTCAGTTTTCTTGAGACCAGAGCATAATTTAACCTTAGATATACAGGGTGAAGCAAAGGCAGGTTTACAGTTGTGAGTATGCGAAACACAGATTTTTTTTCTGGTATTTTATCGTATCATTTTCCATACAAACAACTGTAAACTTTACTTCTGCCTCATCCTGTGTATTCACACTGCCGACTTCAAATTGTTTCATGGAATGATTCAGGAAGATGGTTCTTGAAATAATGGGCACTTGCAAATACTCTAGTTACACTGCATTGATAGATAGGAGTAAAGATAGGAGATAAGCAATTTAAAATTAAGACACACAATTAAGACTTGAAACAAAAGTGGAAATTTGTGATACTTTAAAAAAATGTGGACAGTATTATTTAAAGATTCAGTGTAACTGAGAAAATCAAGAGTTACTAAAGATTAACTGGCTTTGTCACAGGAAAACAGTTTTTTTTTTTTTTAAAGAAAGTAGCCAGTATTTGCCTTTCCTTTCACGTGAGCAGTGTTTGTACAGTGCTTAAAACATTTCACAATACCACATTAACTTGCAAATAAAGAACAAGCATTCATCATGGTACCATACCAAACTATTTTTGAATAGCTAGTAGTTCTAAAAGTTGGTTCTCTTCTGCAACCTCAGTTTTCTTGAGTGTTTCTACCTCAGAAACTTTGAGTAGGTTTATCCCTGAGGAATTTAGAACAGTGAGAATTATAAAAGATAAAGAAGCAAAGAGAATGTTCAAACCTAGGTTTTAAACTTTGCTAATGGTCTTTTTAAAAAATATATATTTTATTCAATTTTTACAGAGAGGAAGAGAGAGGGATAGAGAGTTAGAAACATCGATGAGAGAGAATCATCCATCAGCTGCCTCTTGCACACTCCTCACTGGGGATGTGCCTGCAACCAAGGTACTTGCCCTTGACTGGAATTGAACCTGGGACCCTTCAGTTCGCAGGCCGATGCTCTATCCACTGAGCCAAACCCGTTTCAGCAGCTGCTAATAATCTTAACTAGGTAAATTATCCAAGCTTTTGGGAGCCTTATTATTATTATTTTTTAATCTCAGTGGTATAAAAGCCTAGTACAGGAAAAACCTTGAAAAGCATACTGTAACTATCCTTCATTGCTCTTGTTTTTTTGGAGTTTACTATAAAATGTGTCCATCTCTGTGTTTCAGTAGCCGACTAACGTTAACCATTGCGTTCAAAGCTAAACTGCTTCCTTATGAGAAAACTCACTGTCGCTCATCCAACAGCAGGGTGGAGCGATTCCTCTCAGATGAGCAGCCCAGAGAGAGACAGCGAGACCTTTCCCAGCGGCGACTCTGGACAGGGGGACTCGCGCAGCCTGACGCCCGTGGAGGTGCCCGTGCCCGTGCCCGCGCCCGCGCCCAGCCCCGCGGCCACCATCCTGCCGGTGCACGTCTACCCGCTGCCGCAGCAGATGCGCGTGGCCTTCTCCGCGGCCAGGACCTCCAACCTTGCCCCGGGGACCTTAGACCAGCCCATCGTGTTCGATCTCCTTCTGAACAACCTGGGGGAGACGTTCGATCTCCAGCTGGGCAGGTTCACCTGCCCGGTGAACGGCACGTACGTGTTCATCTTCCACATGCTGAAGCTGGCCGTGAACGTGCCCCTGTACGTGAACCTCATGAAGAACGAGGAGGTCCTGGTGTCCGCCTACGCCAACGACGGCGCCCCGGACCACGAGACCGCCAGCAACCACGCCATTCTCCAGCTCTTCCAGGGAGACCAGATATGGCTGCGTTTGCACCGGGGAGCCATTTATGGAAGTAGCTGGAAATACTCCACGTTTTCCGGCTACCTTCTCTATCAAGATTGAGAAAGTCCTTGCACAGTTGACAACGAAAGAAGGGTGTTCTGTATTAGTGGGGATTAAAGGAGAGGTAGTTCTTGACCTTGTGGCTAATGGGTATAGGGAAATTTTCATTCCTAGAGGAAGGGGGAGGCCCTTGTTTTTGTTTTCCTCCCCAAAGTGGAAACTTTCAAGCTGAATGACAATTAGCACTCATCTGGCACTTTATAAATTGTGATGTAGCCTTGCTAGACAAAGCTGTGAATGTATCTTGTTTGCACTTAACCCTTAACTGTATTAAAGTTCAGCTTACTAAACGGACTGCCTCAAGTTCAGGCAAGTTATGATGCCTTGTTGTGCCTCAATAAAAAAAAAAGTTACATGCACCCTCGGTGTTCTTATTTGATTAAACATTTGGTTGAGAGGTAAAATGTTTAATTTTTAATATTTATCATTGGTAACTCTTGAATAAGGTTGTTTATGAGCTCATCAATATTTATTTCTAGTCTGCAGATGCGGAATGAAGAGTCTTGAAAGGATTCAAACCCTTCAGGCAGCATTCACTTTTCAAGATTTATTAAGGAAATGAAAAGGGGGAGATGTTGGAAGCTACCCATTGTCTTCACTATCAGAAAAGTGTAAACAAGGAGCCTGGAATGCTGGTGAACCTTGAGTTCTGTTAAGGGCCAAAGCTATACACCAATTGTTTAGTCAAGACAATGGTGGCTCAAGCAATTTCTTGATCAAATTATCTCAAAATAAATCTTTACTAATATTTACTGACCTTTAAGATAGTCTGTCTGCTACCAGAATTGCCTGCCTAACTAAGGGCAATATGTGTATCTAAAATTGAATAAAAGGTAGACAGAGCCTGGGCACCAGTGAAGTCCTTCACCTAGAGTTGGACTCTCTGCCTGGCCCCCCATGATTTCCAAATTCATATTTCTTGTCTAGTCTTGTCATTTGCCCATGGCCCTTTTCCAGGTCCTAAACCCTAAAGCACATGGAATGTGGCTTTTCACAGCAGACACTTTGACCAGTAGGTTAGCTTGCTGATAGGGTCTGGCCAATCAGGACTTAGAGAGACAGGCCAGACATGCCATGGAGCCCTCCTGCAGTCCCTCCCTGGTTGGCCAACCTCCCACATCTCTCCACCACCCTGACTCTGCACTAGTGGGGTCCCTCAGCCTGGCCTGCACCCTCTTGCAATCCAGGACCCTCTTCCAATCCAGGACCCCTTGGGGGATGTCAAAGAGCCAGTTTCAGCCCAATCCCATAGGGGGAGCACCGCTAAGCCAGAAGCCAGGCTCACGGCTGGCAAGTATAGCAGTGGTGGCAGGACCCTCTCCTGTCTCCGTGGCAGCACTAAGGATGTCTGACTTCCAGCTTAGGCCTGCTCCACCCAAAGGCTCCTGGACTGTGAGAGGGTGCAGGCTGGGCTGAGGGACCCCCCGAGTGCCCGAATTTTGTGCACTGGGCCTTTGTGCACAGTCTATATAGACTTTTGTGCATTGTCTCTCTCTCTCTCTCTCTCTCTCTCTATATATATATATATATATATATAAGCCTAAGTGACCATTCGACCATTTGACCAGTAGCTATGATGCACACTGACCACTAGGGGGAAGATGCTCCAACTGGTAGGTGAGCTTATGGCTGGGGTCTGAGCCTGTCATAAAGTATAGATCCTGAAGTTGAGAAAGGATGACTCCCTTTCTAATGGGAAATGTGGAAAGCCCGAGGAAACGAGGCGACAACATACGGAAAGGGACCAAACACTAATTGGAAAGTAGGTATTTCTTTTTTAGTTCTAGTTAATGCTCCTATTTTTAGCTTCTATCCTGCCCACAAACCACTACATTTTAGTCCCTTGGTGAAGGAAGTTACTGTTCAGAAACTTCCCAACACTCTATTATTTTAGCTTTCCTAGCACTGGTTTGTTTGTTTCCTTTAAAATCCTTCTTTAATTGCAAGGTCCATCTCATTCTATTCATAAATTTTAATCAGAGTTTTTGGTTACATGTGACATCTTAAAGGAGAAAACTGTTGACTTCTACTAACAAAACACTAAAGATCTTACACTCATAAGATACCTGTCTACACTCTTGCGTATATTTCAGGTGCTATGATGTAGAACTGCCAATATAGATGCTTTCTGAGTAGAAGTATTTAACCACAAACCTTTTGGCATTCGCTTACAGTTTAGCACAATCTAAAGGACATACCGTTGAAGTAAAGGAAAGGATTTTTGTGCATTTGCTCCCATTTTCCCTTTACCATGTGGGCTAGATTCAAGCCTCAGGGCAGAGACCAGCTGCTGCCCACAGATGGGGAGGCCAGCTGTGCTGTTCCATTGAGATGACTAAAATGTTAACTCAAAAAAGGCCACTGTGGCAGTGCTTGCAGTAAAAAATCACGTTCTGTCATGTGGAGCTATAATCATGCCAGGTCTTCTCACTGTGTGCTGTATTTCTCGGGTAATGGCATCCTCTTCTGTGGTGTCACCTAACCTGTGTGCACAAGTGACTCACGGTTTTCTAACTCCAGCCCTTTCTTCCTTCTCCCTCTGCCAGAGCTTCCTGCCTTCTCACCCAGCTCTTTTGTGAGGGCCAGATGCGGCTGGACAGTGGTCACTGGAAATCGATAATTGTATGAACCACAAATAATTCTAGTTCAACATTTCCACAGATAAATTCATTGTTCCCTCAAAATATAATGCTACTTCCATTTTCTCTGGCTAATGATTTCCATGGGCCATCAAAGCTTGAAACTTCAGCACCCATCTTGACTTCCCTTTGTTACTTTGCATACCTAGTCAGTCACAAATTACTATTTACTCAACCTGTGAAAGGTTTGATGTCTGTCTTTACTCCCACTGTAGATATCCTATGTTAGACTCCTTATTTCTCTCACATGCTTGCACTTATTCATCCAACCAGTACTTATTGATTGCTTATTATGTGCCAGGCATAGTGTGAGACTATCTCACTATGCCACTTCCATCAAAGCCGGGTAAAGTTTCTTTTAACTAGAATACATTGATTATATTGTACCATGAACAATGTGCTTATCCCATTTAATCTTCAGAACCGGTCTTGGAAGCAGATGAGGAAACAGGCACAGAAAGGTAAGGCATATGCAAACCATGGTTATACAAGACAACATAGCTGGCTCAAATTCTATCTTACAGTAAACAAGGTGAGGATATCATACATATAGACATCTTTCATGTTATGCAAAGAAATAAGAGAAAAGGGAATTCGTAATCAATGGGCCAAAAATAAGCTAAACGTAAGTTATAGTTTAGGGAAAACTACTTTAAAACGCAAGGAAATCTGAGAGCAGAATCAGATGCTTTTTTCCCTGTTGTCTTGGACAATAATTTGACAGCATTGTTTTTTAGTAAGTTCACTGAGTCTAAAGCGTATGATGTTTTCATGGGAGCATCAACTCTCTTAAAAAAAATTTTTTTTTTTTTAATGATTTCAGAAGGAAGGGAGAGAGAGAGAGAGAAACATGAGTGATGAGAGAGAATCATTGATTGGCTACCTCCTGCATGCCCCATACTGGGGACTGAGCTTGCAACTCGGGCATGTGCCCTTGATTGTGACCCCTTGGTTTACAGGTTAATGCCCAACCCCATGACGGCCAGGCAACTCTCTTTTAAATTATATAGTTTGGTAGTTAAAATTTTTATTTTGAGATAATGGTAGATTCTCATCTATGTAACAGAGAAATGTGCTAATTAACCGGGATGCCGTAGGAGGTTGACCAGACAGGAGAAAGTTGTGCGTGCAGTGTTGGGGGCGGGGCATGTGCTGGGGGAGGGCCTGATCAGCAGCGGCCACGGTTGCTTCAGGGCTGGAGAGGGAGGCAGGGCCGGACCAGTGAGGGAGGGTGGACAGCACTGTGTGATTTTGAATTGCGTGCTGGGCTCCTAGTGTAGTTATAAGAAATAATACAGATGGATCCTGTGTACCCTTTATTCCATTTGCTCTAGTGATAATATCTGAGAAAACCGGCTAGGACTAGAGGTCAAGAAGTTTTAGATTAATTAACATGAGGTCCAAGAGAGTGGGGTAAAGAAATAGCGTGGAGATGAAAGGCACTGTTTTCTAAACTCCTGGAGTGCCCAGCAGTATGTATGTTTATATCTTGAAATTGATGAAAAATCATCAAGGAGGGGACATGACATTATTAACCTTTTTGAGACATGACTCTGGCCCTGGCTGGCGAGGCTCAGTTGGTTGGGCATTATCCTGTCCATGGAAAGGTTGCTGGTACGATTTCCAGTCAGGGCACATGCCCAGGTTGTGGTTCAATTGCTGGTAGGAGGCAGCCTATGCATATTTAGCTCTCACATTGTTGTTTCTCTCTCTCCCTTCTTCTCTATCTAAAAATCAATACAATGTTAAAAAAAAAAAAAGTAACATGACTCTGACAGCAGTGTGGAGAATGGACTAAAGAGGGGCATAACAGAAAGCAATCAGAGACACACTTCCTGGACACTTTTGTGTCCACTACATATATTCTAGCCTAATTGAACCCAGTTCATTGAACCAATCTCTCTCAGTTATCTGCTCCTGGAAAGACCATATCCCTGATGCATTTTGTCCACTATAAATACATAATCAGAACTCTCCTTTCTGGTTAACCTCAGGAAAAACTATCTCCTTACTATTTGTATGAAATCGTGGGACCAGAGATGGCCATGATGCTTGGAACAGTATGACTTTTCAGTGCCTTTCTCTACTTTTCTGAGGAGGTCTGGACATTTTCCAGAAACTCAGGAGGCATGCAGTTCATTTCTCTGATCTCTGTGTTTCCCACAGTTAATATATTTTTATCTGTTTACATTTGTCTCTTTGATCAGATGGCAAATTCCCTCAGCCGTAACCTGCATCAAATTCATGTTGTTACCATGTGGGACCTGAACATTCCAATCCTCTGGCTCAACCACCTGTAGAACAGACAGACGTTCAGGGACTGAATGAATGGAGGCTCCCAGAGATGGAGCGGACCCTGTCCTCCTGCGGGCTGATCACAGGGTCCCTGGAAACAGACTCCGTGGTGATGATGCCCGAACAGCTCTCTTGGACGAGCCCAAAGTGCCCGTCCAGCCATAGATAAGCTTGATTTGGAAGCCGCAGTAAAGAGACACCTCGCCAACTGGGAGGGAGAGGAGGGCGGGGCTTCCCCGGCGCAGCGGGCGGGGCGGCGGGGAGAGCGGAGTCCCTTCGGGCGGCGGCCGAGAGGCGGAGCCGCACCGCCGCACGCCGGCCGCCAGGGGGCGCCGCCCTTCGCCTCGCCGGGAGGAGGCCGCCGTAAAGCGCGCGCCGCTTCCTCTCCTCCCGCCTCCCGCGGGCTGTCGCAAAAGGGTGAATGGAGAGCGAGTTGCGGGGGGTAGGCAGGGAGGACCGGGGGCGCGGAGTCGGAGTGGCGCAGCAAGTGGCTGCAGGTGGCGGCGGGGGCGGGGGCCGGGGGGTGAGGTAGGGCCGGGGTCACGCGGGAGGCAGCCGAGGGGGTCCGGAGGGGGACGAAAGTTGCAGTCCGGCCTACGGGCCCGGGGGCCGCGGAGCCCCTGCCTGTCCCCCGGGGGAGATGGACCTCAACCGGATCATCCAGGCGCTGAAGGGCACCATCGACCCGAAGCTGCGGATCGCGGCGGAGAACGAGCTCAACCAGGTGAGGCCGGGCCCGCGGCGCCCCCGGCGCCCACCCCCGCCCCCGCCGCGGGGAGCGGGCGGCGCCCCGGGACCTCCGGGCGGCCCGCACCTGTTGGCGGCCGCTGCCTCCTCCCCGCGCGGCGTGTGGGCGCCGGCGCCGCGGGAGGAGCCCCGGGCACCTTCGCGGGCGGCTCCGGGTGGGACCGAAGCCGCGGGGACCCGGGTGGGAGGATTCACTTGCGGTTCGGCTCGGAGTCCAGCTCTTCTGCACCCCCAGCCCTCCCGGTGCTGCCGGGGAGCCCCGCCCGGCGCCGCTTCCGCGGGGTTGGCGGGTCCGCAGAGTTTGGGGGCGCCGGTCGGCAGAGTTTGGGGGTGCCGGGGGGCCGCCGCGGGGAGGGCGCCCAGGGCGGCGGAGGCAGGACCCCGGGGCACCGCCTTCCACAGGGCAAGCGCGAGAGATGCGTGCGCGGAGGGCTGTCTTTTTTAAAAGGTGTGGGACTTTTCTTTTTACCCTTCCCATCCTCTAGTCTCACTCACCAGCCTTGAGCTCGTTCCAGCGTCACCACCGGAATGTTACTGAACCCCAATTCTGGCGCCTGTTTCCCTCCGCACCTGCAGGGAGGCGGGGGGACCCCAGAGCTCCCGGGAAAGGCACGAGTTCAGGGCTGCCCCCAGGAGGCAGTGCCAGCCGCTGGTCCCTTCAGTGCCTGAGCTACAATCACCCTAAAAGAGGGGGGTTCTCCAAGGGTCTGGGAGGCCCCAGCACCTGGGAACTTGCTGGAAATAATGCCAGAGACCGGGGTGCACTCCGCACTCTGCAGGGACCGGGGGGCAGGTTTTGTGTGAGTTCGCCGGCCAAGGGACCCGCGCTTCCCAAAGCGGGACAAGGCCTGGCCGCAGCACTCGTTTCGGGAGGAGATCGTGAGGGTTTTCCCCTGGTCGGAGGGGACGGGAAAGTGCGGGCGTGCCTGGTGGATCTTTGAGGTGGATTGCTTTCGTGGGAAATCTGGGCGGAGTTTGGAGTGAGTGTGAGTCCCGGATTCCCGGGAGATCAAAGGGAGGGTGATGGATAACACCAGGCTGGCTCCGGAGGGAAGGTGGCGTTGAACTGAAGCCCAAAGGGAATGGATTAAAAAAAATAAAATAAAATACAAGGACTCCCACCTAGAATAGGAGAAAGTTAAAGCCAGCACCTGTCCCAGGCTGTAGGGACAAGTACTCTGTGTTGATTGGTTAGAATAAAATAGCAATTCAGGGGTTGGTTAGGGGGCGCAGAGCTAGAGCTGGAAGGGGACTCTGCAGGCTGGAGCAGGAGAGTCTGCCTGTTTGTGTCCCCCTCCTCCGCGCAGGGGGCAGGGTGTTACCGGGAGAGTGCCCTCAGGGAGCCCCTCTTTGATGTCACCATAGCGCCCCTGCTTCTGTTAGCATGCCCTCGCTTTGTTTCTGATTCATCCGTGCAGGGGACTTGACAGACGTGGAAAAGGTAAGTGGGAGATCCTGTGGAACTAGTAGTGATATTTAGATTATTTTTTTTTTCATGGTGTTTCAATCCAAATGCACTCCATCCTTGCCCTGCCCCGTATTCACCCAAGTCATCACAGACCGCAATTTCCTCTGTAACCTCTAAAAGTTGCTTATGCTGTGCCGCTCTTTAGCATTTATATGTCATATGGTGCTTTGGGTTGTGACATCCTCTAAGTGTTTTTTTTTTTTTGAATGGTTTGTAAGTAGAAGACTAAGTTATGGCATATAACCTTACTAGATGCCCAGTGCATTGCATGAAATTTGTGCACGTGTGTGTGGGAGGGGGGGGACCAAGGGAGGGACGGGTGTTCCTCAGCCCAGCCTGCACCCTCTTGCTATCGGGCCCCCTCAAAGGATGTCCGACTGCTGGCTCCTAATCCCTGGCCAGCCTCATCACCCCTAATCCCTCTGATTAGGAAATGGGGGTAGCGTCTACAAAGTGCTGATTGATTTATCAATTGCCATGTAGAAGAGGAAAGCAGCTTTAAAACATAATAGTATTCCAAAGGATAAATTCTTATTTGGAGCTATGTTTTCTGTGGCCAATGCAGTATTTGTGGTACCAGTGACTGGTCCCTTGATTAGCTATCTATGGTATTGTTTGTATGGGCAGATGCATTTTTATTTTTATCTCAAGATATTGAGAATTCTTTCTGTACATATTCCTCTCCATCTCTAGACCCAGAAGTCCCTTGGAATGGGTAGATAAACGTTGCTTCAGTAACTCATTCAGAAAATTGTCTTCCTTTAGTAAATAATTCTCACCATGGTCTCAACAAGGAAATAAAGATGTGTGATTTTTTTGGTAATTTTATATTTTTTTATTTTTTTAAATAAATCTTTATTGTTCATATTATTACAGATGTTCCTCTTCCCCCTCCCCCCCCCCCATTGCTCCCCTCCACCAGGTTCCCACCCCACCCTCTGCCCTTTCCCCACCCCTCATTGTCCTCATCCATAGGTACACAGTTTATGTTCAGTCTCTTCCCACATCCCCCTCTCCCCTTTTCCCCAAGAATCGTCAGATCATTCCCCTTCCATACCTCTGATTCTATTATATTCAACAGTTAATATTGTTCATCAGATTTAAAAAAATTTTTTTTTGGTTTTTAGATTCACTTGTTGATAGTTACGTGTTTGTTGTTCATAGTTTTTATCTTTATTTACTTTCTCTTCCAAAAGAACCCCCTTCAGCAATTCATATAATTCTGGTTTGGTGGTGATGAACTCCTTTAGCTATTTTTTTTATTGGTGAAGCTCTTTATCTGGCCTTTGATTCTGAGTGATAGCTTTGCTGGGTAGATTATTTTTGGCTGTAGGTTTTTACTATTTATCACCTTGAATATTTCTTGCCATTCCCGTCTGGCCTGCATGGTTTCTGTTGAGAAATCAGCTGGCAATCGTAAAGGTGCTCCTTTATAGGTAACTACCTGCTTTGCTCTTGCTGCTTTTAATATTCTCCCTTTGTCTTTTGCTCTTGGAATTTTAATTATGATTTGTCTTGGTGTGGTCTTCTTTGGATTCCTTTTGTTTGGAGTTCTGTGCACTTCCTGGACTTGTAAGTCTAATTCTTTCACTAGGTGAGGGAAATTTTCTGTCACTATTTCTTTCAGTATGTTTTCGATATCTTGCTCTCTCTCATCTTCTGGGACCCCCATAATTCTGATGTTGGTTCACTTGAAGTTGTCCCAGAGGTTTCTTACATTATCTTCAACTTTCTCTTGCCTTCTTGCTTCTGCAGAGGAGTGTCTTCTGGCTCTTTATTGTTCCAAATCTTTGACTTGATTCTTGCAATCTTCCATTCTGTTTTTAGGATTCTGTATATTATTTTTTATTTCAGACAATGTATTCTTTATTTCTTGTTGATCCCTTATTATTTCTTATTGATCCCTTTTCATATCCTCATAGGTCTCGTTTATTTTATTGGCCTTTTCTAGGAGATTCTTGAACAACCTTATAAGTGTGGTTTTGAACTCTATAGCCAGTGGCTTTTTGTCCTCCATTTCTTTCGTTTGTGATCTATTTCCTTGTCTCTGCATTTTCGCAGCTTCCCTGAGTTGGTAGCCTTAAAAGTCTCTGTGTTCTGCCCACCCGGATGGGGCGGAGTTTCAGGGTGGAGCCTACAGCCTTGGCTTCCATTAGCCTCGCCCTATGCGGCTCATGAGTCTCTCAGGGTCCTTCAGTACTCGCTGCAAGCACCTCTGAGGGTGAGGTGCCCTGGAGTTTCACCTGCTACCAAACAGTCTAGTCTCTCCCCCAATGAGCCTGGAACTGGGGTTCAGTTCAGTTGGAAGTGGGGTTCATAGCAGTCTGGAGCTTTTGTTTCCTTCTTGCTAGGGCAATCTAGCATCAGAGTCAACAGTCTGTCCTTTGCGCGCAATGTGCCTAACTCCGGGGGCTCTGCCTTTCGCTGCACCCCTGGGATTCCGCCTCACAGCCCAGGCTCCCCCTGTTTGAGCCTGGGTCCCCAGGGTCTGGCCTAGAACTGGGGTTCAGTGCTGTCGGGTCTGGGGTTCAGCACAGTCGGAGCTTTAATCTCCTTCCCGCTAGGGAACGCTAGCCAGGCACTCAGCCTCCCCCTTCTCTCCGGCTCCGTCCTCTCTGTGCATGCAACGTGTCTCCGTACCTTAGGCTTTTACAGCTCCTCCGCTCTTTCTTCTGGTTTTCTCCTTGCTTCTCGTTGTAGAATTTTCAGTCAGTCAACTTTCCTATAGTTCTGGGTAATGTCCATTTTATATTTTAGTTGTATTTTATTGATATTGTTGTGTGTGGCTGCAGTTAGGTATTTACCTGTGCAGCCATCTTGGATCCTCAAGATGTGTGATATTATTGGCAGGCTTTTATTCCCTGCTTTTCTTGAATCTGTGGAATCCTTTTTATTGCCCTTTGAGGAATTTACTTGTCTATGAGTAACATTTATTGAGTTATATTGCAAGTACTACCCTGTTTTCCCGAAAATAAGACAGTGTCTTATATTAATTTTTGCTCCCAAAGATGCGCTAGGTCTTATTTTCAGGGGATGTCTTATTTTTCCATGAAGAATACGGTACACATTTATTGTTAAATGAAAATAAAGGAAATTTATTACCTGTATATGGTACGGTAGTATGGTAGCTGTCAACACAAACCAGACAAACTACAGTATCAAGAATTTACTCATTTATTCAATGACAATCATGTCATCATCTTTTGGAACATCATCATAACAATCCAATTCCTGAATTTCCTGGTGAATTTCTTGTGATTCCATTTCTTTCAGAATCAGTGGACCAAATCTCTCATGGTTAGCCCTGTGGGGGTGGGGGGGAGACAGTTATTTTCAGGGGGATACCTTATATTTCATTCAGAAGGAAGCCTGTAAGTAGGTCTTATTTTCAGAGGATGTCTTATTTTTGGGGAAACACGGTAGTACAAGACCCTGCCCTCAGAGAGTTGCGTTCTAGTGGAGGATACTGACAAGCAATGTAATTTCAGGTCATAAGTGCTGTAGAGTATAAAGCCCAGAGTGTGTTGGGATGTGTAAAGAGGGTGGTCATTCTCTGAAGAAGACAATGAGCAGAGACCTAGATGTTAGGCGTGAACCAGGTGAACTGGGAGGGGAACAGAGAGGGAAAGGCAAGTTCAGTAGAAGCCTTTGACTTGTCACGTTGGAGGACTAGGATGGTTAATGTAGTTATGCTTTGCCATCATGCTTTGTTGGTGGCAGTGAGGCAGAGAATGGGAAAGCATCAGGACTTTGCTTTAAATGAATTCTCATAAAATGCAGAGTTATTTTCAGAAAACTCCACAAAGTAAATATCCTCAAGAAGTCATCGAGAAATGCCTTCCCCTACCCTCTTAGAAATGGGAAGCCCAGGTGGAAAAAGAAGTTGGATAAATATTTTGTGAGGAAAGTAGTATGAAAATACATCAAATGTTTTAGCTGGCAAATTAACATAGATTGAATCAGGCAGAAAGGAAAAGATAAAAAGTTGCAGAAATTCTTTGAAAGGCAAACCGTTACAAAAAGAGGAGTTCTAGAATGTGTAAAATGGCAACAGTGTTGAAATAAAAGTAGTTTCCACAATAACTACTTTAAAATAAGTAGCATTAATCTAAGTTTAAAGATTATTTTGTACTTATGTGTAATAAGATTTAAAAAAATAAATACTACACTACATAGATTAGAATTAAACTATATAGATATTTGATTCACTATTAGACCTTCCAGTATTCAGAAGTTACAAACAGGAGTTATTTTATAATGTAAATTAAATGTAGAGGTGTAAACGATTGGGCTACATTTGTGTTAATTTTGGTTCCTATAAATTGCTGTTAAAAGAAATCTGTTTTCTTTAACAATACTTTAAAATTCTGGCAGTTTCAATTATGGATAAAACAGAATATACTTCATATACAATAGACTTTAGATTCTGAGGTTTATAAGGATGAAAGGAAGAATAATTTTAAGATAATTCAAAAATTTACTGAAGGATTAGAAAGCATTATGCTCTTTCATGGAAGGGATTAATATTTTAAAGATGTCAGTTTTTTCTCTCTTTTTAGTCAAAAATTTATCTTGATAAATGCTATTTATAATAATAAAAGCGTAATATGCTAATTAGGCCAGATAGCTGAATGACCTTCTGGATGTCCTTCTGGATGAAGCCTCAGCAGTGGGGGCTGAGGCAGAGGAGGTTAGGGGCGATCAGACAGGCTGGTCAGCGATTAGGGGCGATCAGGCAGGCAGGGAGGTGAGCGGTTAGGAACCAGCAGTTCTGGATTGTGAGAGAGATGTCTAACTGCCGGTTTAGGTCTGACCCCTCCTCCCCAATCCCCCCTTCTTCCCGGGGTCAGGCCTAAACCGGCAGTCAGACATCCCCTGAGGGGTCCCAGATTGCGAGAGGGTGGAGGCTGGGCTGAGGGACTCCCCCGTGCATGAATTTCATACACTGAGCCTCTAGTTGTAAATAAAGGGATAGGGAAAAAAACCAAGGGGTGTGCCATGGTAGATCCAGGCTCCTGGGAGAAGATAAACTGGACAGACTCTGCATCGTATGTCTGGCTTTAGCCTTCCTGAGAATTTAGGAGTCTTTCCTGGGGTTGTCAGTTGGCAAGGCCAGGTTGAAGCTCTGGGAATATGGCAGGGCTGTAATATGGTCGAGGCACCAGCCATCCAGTGGGAATATGGTCAGAAGGGATGGGCTTGCTCTTGATTTTTGTGTGCTTCTGGAGTCACCCTGACCACACTCAGGAGACAGTCACGTTAGAACATGTCTGTGGGTGGAATGGCCCAGGCGGCAGGCACTTGCTTCATGAGCACAGGCTCACTTGGGCATTGCTGCATTTCAGATGCTCCAGCAGCGGAGCTGATGACAGCTCCGTGCGGCGAGCTTCCCTCTGGCCATCTGGACTGTGTCCTCTCCAGGGCTCACACACAGCTATTTAATGTGATCTTCTCCTTTACCTGTGCTGGATCTCCTGTCTTTTTTAGCACATGTTTTTTTTTTTTTTTTTTTTTTTTTTTTCTTCCTGTTTTCGGTTTGCCAAAAATACCGTATACTAAATTAAAGCACAAATAAGCTGGGAAGAAACACTTGAAATGTATTGGTCCCCCCAAGAAGGTTGAGATTGTAAATCCATAAATAGCTCATAGAATTTATTAAGACTAAAACAAATATTCCACTTACAAAAGGATAAAGGGAATAAGGAACTTGTAGAAAAACAACCAGGCAACACACAGGAACAATTCAACGTAGAGGAAATGTAATTTAAAACAGGGATAAGGTTTTAGTTTTTGCAGGCATGATAATCCCTACATTGGGTAGACAGACACACTCATTTACCGTTGTTTCTATGGTAAATGGTAAATTGCCGCTCCCGTTCTGGAAAGTATTCTGACCATATATTTGAAATACAATAACAACAACAAACAAATAAGAATGTTCAGATTCTTTTATTATATTCATCAGTTTAAGTTAATTTTTTTTTTGACTTGAAGTATTTTAGTAATTTTCATTTTGGAGAATTTCATTCACTTTAAAAGTTTTATTTACAGTAGTGTATTTAGTAACAGTTAATAGTTATTCATTTATATTGCCTTGTTTTATAAAAATTTTTTTTTTTGTAATTTCAGTCCTACAAGATTATCAATTTTGCCCCCAGTTTACTTCGGATTATCGTCTCCGACCATGTGGAATTCCCAGTGCGCCAGGCAGGTGAGTTGCTTTTTTTTTTTTTTTTTTTTAATCTTTATAAATTTATTTATGGTGAAAGTAAAAGTAGAGTTTTATTTTAATTTTAAACATATTTGATTTTTTGGAAAAAAAAAACAACAACAGGAAATGCACAAGAAGTATTTCTAATGGCTTAGAAAAATCACTTTCTTTTAACCCGGAACTTTAGGTGTAGAGATTGAGTTCTTAAATCTCTTAGCTTTTCCTTCCTTTCTCTTCTGTCAATCCTTTGCCTTGCCTCTGTAATCTTGCCATTTCCCCCATTATCTTCCTTAATTTTAAGAGCGCCATCTCCCTGATTTTTTTATGATTCCTGAAGGCATTGCCTTTGGGCCCCAGATTAATATCATGAATTTATCTATGTGAATTTATATACTCCATTCGTGTATTAGGATCATGGAGTTGTAAAATATTGCACAGATGTTCCTAACCACAGATTAGGGAGCAGGACTTTTGTTTTAAACATGAAACTTACTTTAAGTCTCTGGGACCTATGGTAGATTGGGGGTGGGAGGTGGGAGAGGGTATAGGGGGAATAAATTGTGATGGAAAAAAATGAAATAAAATAAAGATTAAAAAAGATAAGCTGGCCATTAGAGCCCAAAAGGTTAAAAAAAAAAAAAAAAAGGGGAGAAAGCCTTGGAAAATCATGAGTCCTGAAAAGATTGTAACGTTAAGATAAAGGTGGTAAAATAATAATAACTAATTAAAAAACAAATAGTTAAAAAGGCTTTTAAAATTATTGAAGTGACATATACTTATTATAAATTATTTGGGCATTATAGAAGAACTAGAGGCCCGTTGCATGAAAATTCATGCACTGAAGCAGGGGGTGGGGTGGGGGTGGGGGTCTCCTCAGCCCAGCCTGCTCCCTCTCACATTCTGATAGCCCTTGGATGGGAGGTGACCTGGCGATCAGGGGAAGGCGACACCCCATCACACCTCTGCTGCTGCCACTGCTGGCAGCGCAAGCCTCAGCTGGCCCTGGTTACCTGAATCTCAGGCAGCCCTGAGAAGCTGGGCAGCTCTGAGCAGCTGGGGGGCTGGGAGCGGGTCTGGCCGCACTGTGCGCCTGCTGCCCCTCCCCCCCCTTCACCCCCTGACTGGGCTGAAAGGACTGGGGGATTCCGGTGGAGCTGAGGGTACTGGGCACCGCCATCTTGTGGCTATGGGTGCCCCCATATTTGTGGTGTGACAGTCAATTTGCACATTCCCTCTTTATTACATAGGACACCAAGAAGAAAGTAAAAAGAGCTGCTTAACATTCATTATTTAGAAAAGGGCATCATTAACACATGTGCATGTGTTTGGGTACAGCAATTGATGTTTTATAGAAATGGGGTTATACTCTACAAACTGATAAAAGTATTTAATTTTACTTGAAATAATAATGAAAAAGTAAATAACCATTCAGCTTTGGGAAAATATAACAATATGTATGACTTCCTGAAAGATCCCTTTGTAGATTAGAAAAATCTATAAAAAACATTTGTATTGCAATTTTTACTTTAATAAGGTTTGTAAGACTTCCATATAAGGTTTTTGAAAGTATTACTCTCAGTTTTATTTAATTTTTGTTTTATAAAACAGGCTGTTCTGAAACCACATTTTTCTATTTTAAATAACCTAAGTATTTAAAGGGCCGTTCTGAAATTCCTATGAAAGCTTTGTGGAAGTAGTATTTTTAAAGATTTTAAAGCAGTTTATTAAACTAATATGTCTTCATTATAGAAACAGAGTTTATACATTAGATTGCTCTTAATCTCACCCCCAAAGGTAGCTGCCATCAGTTTAGGGGCATGCTCTCCAAATCTATTTCCTCCCCATAGATATATTGGCTTTATTATTATTATTATTTTATTATTATTATTATTTTGTTAATCCTCATCTGAGGATATTTTTCCATTGATTTTTAGAGAGAGTAGAAGGGAGGAGGAGTAGAGAGAGAGAGAAACATCGATGTGAGAAAGACACATTGATCGGTTGCCTCTGGTACAGCCCTAGCCAGGACCGTCGATCCGACCTGTAACCGAGGTATGTATATGCATGCCCTTGACAGAAATTGAAACCTAGGACCCTTCATCTCAAGACTAATGCTCTATCCACTGAGCCAAACTGGCTAGGGCTATGCTGGCTTTAAAAAGTAACAAAGATCTGTTTATATTGCATATGCTATTTTATAATTTCCTTTTTTAAATTTAACCATGTATGCTTAGGGGATTGTTCCATGTCAGTGCATATGCATATACTTTATTTTTTTAATGATAATTGTTCAGTATTTCTTTGTACAGAGCTACCATACTTTATTTAAACAATTTGATGTTAATAGACATTTCCTTTATTGACCTTTATTATTGTTGTTAAAGAGGCAATGCTCAAATGAGCATCCTTGGACATATATCTCTGGATACTTGTGGGAATATTTTCATAGAAAAAAATGACAAAAAACGGATCTGCTAGGTCAATAGATTTTAATGATGTTAACATTTAGAATTTTGAATCTTATCACCAAGTTGCTTCTGCTACATTTTCTATCAACAGTGTATTAGAATGCCAGGTTTCCCATTAAAATGATCACAAAACCATTTTAATCCCTATAGAACTGGACTTGAAAATAAGAAGCAACCTTCAGACAACAAAGATACACACATGGTAAAATCATGGACTTACTTATAATTCAGTCATTAAATATTATTAAGTTTATAACTAGAAAATTTTTTTTTAATTATGGGCACCATACAAGATGGCCTATGTAAAGAACACATTGCAAGATTTTCCATTTTTTATTGGCTGTCGTGTTTAACTTTGAAGGGGTTAAGTTAAGCCTTTCATGCTCTGACAAGCTGAATAAAGTTATCTTTTTGGTACTGTTATATTGGCATTTTTCCCCCTAATTTAGCTGCCATTTACTTGAAGAACATGGTGACACAGTACTGGCCGGACCGAGAACCTCCCCCAGGAGAAGCAATATTTCCATTCAACATTCATGAAAATGATCGCCAGCAAATACGTGATAACATTGTGGAAGGAATAATTCGGTCTCCAGATTTAGTGAGGTACCTTAGACTATATCTACATGGTTAGTAATAGGAAGCACAAAATATATGTCTTGAGGGGGGAGATTGTGTTTAATCATTAGCCTCAAGTTGTTATTTATTTATTTTTAACATATTTTATTGATTTTTTACAGAGAGGAAGAGAGAGGGACAGAGAGTTAGAAACATCGATGTGAGAGAATCATCGATCAGCTGCCTCCTGCACACCCCCTACTGGGGATGTGCCCACAACCAAGGTACATGCCTTTGACTGGAATTGAACACAGGACCTTTCAGTCCGCAGGCTGACGCTCTATCCACAGAGCCAAACCGGTTTTGGCTGTTGTTGTTTTTAAAATATATATATTTTATTGATTTTTTACAGAGAGGAAGGGAGAGGGATAGAGAGTTAGAAACATGGATGAGAGAAAAACATTGATCAGGTGCCTCTTGCACACCCCCTACTGGGGATGTGCCCACAACCAAGGTACATGCCCTTGACTGGAATTGAACCCGGGATCCTTTAGTCTGTAGGCCGATGCTCTATCCACTGAGTCAAGCCGGTTAGGGCACAAGTTTTTTTTTTATTTTTATTTTTTTTTAAGAGGTAAATTAATGAAGATGGGCACCCAGAGAATACTGTTTCGCTGATTTGTCTTTGCTTTTGTAATCCTCTGCAATAGTTTGGGAAAGATTCAGCTGCTTTAAGTTGCCACAAAAAAAGAGTTAAGGCAAAAATCGCACTTAACTGAAATTGTTATATAAATCCCTGATATCGAAATAACTATGTTCTTAGTTGTGATCTCTTGACTTTTTTTCTGTCTCTTTGCTTTTTCCCGACACAGAGAAATTGACTTCTGGGAGTTTTAACTTACCACTTTTCTTAACACTCGGCCTCTCTTTTCATTCATTTTTATGAACTGAGTATCTTTTCCTTGGAGGAGACAGGATAGCTAGAGTATGCCTGAGGAGAGGAATCGCCTGTGGTTTTTCACATTCGGCTTAGGTGCTGTGGAGCAACGCTGCCCGGGAGAACGTACTGCTGTGATGGGAATCTCTTGTATCTGCGCTTCCAGTGTTTGGCTGTGTGGCATACACGGTGTTGAGCCCTTGAAATGGGGCCCATGTAGCTGAGGAGCTGAATTTTTAATTTAACTTGGATGAGTTCGGAGTGTGCACATGTAGCTAATGGCTGCCCCTGTCTGTTGGACAGGACCGCTCATAAGGATTTTGCAGTCTTAAAATAGGAGAAATAAAACCTGATTACTGAGCTAGTAATTAGATTTCTTTTGAAAATGGGGGAGGGAGATAGATGGAACTGAGGTAGAGGAATAAAATTGTTTAATGTCAAGAGATAAGATATAACTGTTCCCCTTGTGTCTAATGTACCTTATGACAGAAGCAGGAGAAAGGGAACAAAGTGTGAGGAGGAAACAGTGAGGAAGAAGAAACATTACACTGCTCTTTGTACAGGTACTTTGTTGAGAGGAGAAAGTAGATGTGCTGGTGACAGAAAACCACCATTATTCTCATTAGCGGTCCAAGTACCAAGTTAGGCAATGGCTTCCCTACGGTGTAATCATGGATCTATTTCTTGTCAACATCTTGACGTTTTCAGATAGCTCTGAGTCTTGCGATGCTTCTACCTAGTAATGTATGAAAGGATGGCTGCTCATAGCCATCCTGTGCTTGGTTGCAGTGAGAAGAGGTTGGGAGGGCCAGCCTGCAGATGACATCTTTAAGAAGGAAAAGCTTCAGTTTTCCTGCATGCAGATTTGACGTATTGGTTGTTTGGGAGCAGCTGCTGGTGGCACAAGGGGAGACCTTTATAACGAGACAGTTCTTTGTGGTTTTGCTTCTGTTATGTCCTAAAGCCTTGACTGTAATCACTTTGAAGAAATATTATTTCTAAAGTTTATTTTGGAGAGTTTTGCAAAGAAAAATTTTCAAATAGATTTGCAATGTATATAAGTAAAAGGCATTATTTTGTTTGTTTCATTTCAGTGAATCCAAGTTGTTATTGGCTGTTTAACTCAACACACAGGTTTTTTTTTTTTTCCGCTGTGGAATCCTAAGTTAGCCAGGCTCACTTTCTGACCTTTTGCAAATGACCATGTAAGGACATATTGATAATTTAAAGGAGAAAGATTCCTCCTCCTCCCCCCCTTATTTAGGATTAGACTGTTTGAAAGGCTTTAAAAAATTTTTTTTAGGAAATGACCTATTCTCTTTATTTTCAGAAAGTTGAGCTACTGAGGAGGTTTGTCTTTCTAATACTGTTCTTTGTCCTCCCTCCCAGATACATAACTATATCATGTAGATAAATAGGACTTAAAAAGTGATTTTATGTAAATTATTAGGGCTCTTTGAAACCTGATATTTATTAACTACTTAGATTTTGGACTTTCTCCTTCCCCCCCACCTTATAGAGTCCAGTTAACAATGTGTCTCCGTGCCATCATTAAATGCGATTTCCCTGGTCACTGGCCAGCGGTAGTCGACAAGATAGACTATTATTTGCAGTCACAGAGCAGCGGAAGCTGGCTTGGCAGTTTATTATGTCTGTATCAACTGGTGAAGACATATGAGTAAGTTGATTTCCATTGGCTAAAAATACCAGCCTGTGGTATTTAGAAAGAATTAAATTGCACAAACGGGTTGCTCTGGGTGTTCTGGGGAATCAGGTTAATTCAGCAAATGCTGGATAAGCACAGTCAGATATGTTTATTTGCTATACTACTGTTACTTAAAGAACCTTCAATCTGTGAATGTACATTGCTAATCTTTGAGGCAGTGATACGATATGATAATGCAGTGTTTTTCAAAAATTATTTTAATTTAATTAAAAACTATTTAATTTAATTTAAGTAATAGAACAATTTATTTAGGAAAGTCACAAAATAGACTTGAAACTAGTGTATTTATTTATAGTAAGATATTTGGTATGCTGTCTATAAGAGAGATGTGTTCTTTTGAAGTTCTTCCAAGTTTTTTTCTAACAATTCAAATAGATAATGTAAGCCAATGGTTGGAATGTTTTTATTTGACTAGCTTTATATAGTTTTAAAAATATGTATATGTTTGTTCATTATTTATGGTTCTTTTGCAAGGGGGGCAATTATTTTTCTCTCTTTTTGTCTTTGCTCATGTAGATATAAGAAAGCAGAGGAAAGAGAGCCTCTTATAGCAGCAATGCAAATATTTCTGCCCCGTATTCAACATCAAATCATGCAGCTCCTTCCTGATTCCTCACATTATTCTGTGTTACTACAGAAACAGATTTTGAAAATCTTTTATGCACTTGTTCAGGTAAGTGTCTATTGCAAAAGACAAATTTGGGGCCTTGCTTTTCTGCCTCACTCATGGTAGATGCTGAATAAGTGTCAGTTAAAATTAACATTTCTTATGTATTCTCACATGTATTTCTTTAAAAAAATCCTTCTGTGGGAACAGGGTCACAGAAATTAACTTGATTGTCCAAATTATCTGAGTGGAAGAGCTGAGAGTCAGTGTCTGTATGGCATGTACTCTAATGTCTGAAGTGCTGCCTATGGGAGAACCAGGGGAGTTAACTGCCCTAGAACCTGATTACTTGACTAATCTGTCCATAGCATCTACCTACAAATTAGTTACGATTGTAGGAGAAGAGTAAGGAAAAGAAGATATTTCCTTTTTTTTTTTTTTTCTTCTTCTTAATTTTTATTGTTCATATTATTACAAATGTCCCTTCCCCCCCCTTCCCACCCCACCCTCTGCCCTTTCCCCACCCCCCATTGTCCTCATCCATAGGTGCACAGTTTATGTTCAGTCTCTTCCCATATCCCCCTCTCCCCTTTTCCCCAAGAATCATCAGTTCACTCCCCTTCCATACCTCTGATTCTATTATATTCAACAGTTAATATTGTTCCTCAGATTTTTTTTTTTAATTTCCTTGGTTTTTAGATTCACTTGTTGATAGTTACGTATTTGTTGTTCATAATTTTTATCTTTATTTACTTTCTCTTCTGAAAGAACCTCCTTCAGCAATTCATATAATTCTGGTTTGGTGGTGATGAACTCCTTTAGCTTTTTTTTATTAGTGAAGCTCTTTATCTGACCTTCGAATCTGAGTGATAGCTTTGCTGGATAGATTATCTTTGGCTGTAGGTTCTTACTATTCATCACCTTGAATATTTCTTGCCATTCCCGTCTGGCCTGCATGGTTTCTGTTGAGAAGTCAGCTGACAATCGTATGGGTGCTCCTTTATAGGTAACTACCTGCTTAGCTCTTGCTGCTTTTAATATTTTCTCTTTGTCTTTTGCTCTTGGAATCTTAATTATGATTTGTCTTGGTGTGGTCCTCTTTGGATTCCTTTTATTTGGAGTTCTGTGTGCTTCCTGGACTTGTAAGTCCAATTCTTTCCCCAGGTGGGGGAAGTTTTCTGTCACTATTTCTTTCAATATGTTTTCGATATCTTGCTCTCTCTCATCTTCTGGGACCCCCATAATTCTGATGTTGGATCGTTTGAAGTTGTCCCAGAGGTTTCTTACATCATCTTCAATTTTCTGGATTCTCTTGCCTTCTAGCTTCTGCAGAAGAGTATCTTCTGACTCTTTATGTTCCAAATCTTTGACTTGATTCTCAATTTTCTGGATTTTCTTGCCTTCTAGCTTCTGCAGAGGAGTTTCTTCTGGCTCTTTATGTTCCAAATCTTTGACTCGATTCTTGCGATCTTCTATTCTGTTTTTAGGACTCTGTATAATAGTTTTTATTTCAGACAATGTATTCTTCATTTCTTGTTGATTCCTTATCATTTCTTGTTGATCCCTTATCATATCTTGATGACTCCTTATTAATTCTAGTTGATCACTTTTCATATCCTCATAGGTCTTATCCATCTTTTCCAGGAAATTCTTGAAAAACCTTATAAGCGTAGATTTGAACTCTATATCCAGTCGCTTTTTGTCCTCCATTTCTTTCGTTTGTGATCTATTTGGTTTAGGCATTTTCGCAGGCAGCTTTCCTGATGAGGCGGGGTTTCAGGGTGGAGCCTACAGCTTTGGCTTCCGTCAGCCCCGCCCTATGCGACTCCTGAGACTCAGGGTCCTTCAGTACTCCTTGCAAGCGCCTCTGAGAGAAAGGCGCCCTCGATTTTCGCCTGCTGCCAAACAGTCTAGTCTCTCCCCCAATGAGCCCGGTATTGGGGTTCAGTTCAGTTGGAAGTGGAGTTGGAGGTGGCGTTCAGAGCAGTCTGGCACCCCTGTCCCCTTCCCGCCAGGCAATCCCGCGGCACAGCCGGCCGGCCCTTCTCTGCGCCGCCGGGACCTCCTTTCGCCTCTTCCCCGGGTTCCGCCTTTCAGCCCGGCTCCCTCTGTGTGAGCCTGGGTCCCCGGGGTCTGGCCTAGGCCTGGGGTTCAGAGCAGTCGGGGGCCCAGCACAGTCAGAGTTTTATTTCTTTCCCGCCAGGGAACGCCCGCCAGGCACTCCGCTCCCTCCTCTCCGGCTCCGTCCTCTCAGCGTGCCGCGTGTCTCCGTACCTTGGGCTTTTCCAGCTCCTCCGCGCTTCCTTCTGGTTATCTCCTTGCTTCTCGTTGTAGAATTTCCAGTCAGTCGACTTTCCTGTAGTTCTGGGTGATGTCCATTTTATATTTTAGTTGTATTTTATTGAAATTGTTGCGAGCAGCTGCGGCTAGGTGCCTACCCGAGCAGCCATCTTGGATTCTCCCTCAAGATATTTCCTTTTTATTGGGAAATCATACTGATGGTAGTTTGTTTGCATTTGATCTAATTTAAATCTAACAAAGTAGTTTTGCACTGTTTCAGAATATTTCTCTTCAATAAAGATTTATATTTTTAGCCTTTTAACCTTTTTTCTTTTAAAAATATATTTTTATTTGATTTTTTTTACAGAGAAGAAGGGAGAGGGATAGAAAGTTAGAAACTTTGATCAGCTGCCTCATGCACACTCCCAACTGGGGATGTGTCCACAACCAATGTACATGCCCTTGAATGGAATCGAACCTTCAGTCCAGAGGCCGACACTCTATCCCACTGACCCAAACCGGTCAGGACCTTTTAACCTTTTAATAGAGACAGTTTGAGGCAGCTTTTGTTTTCAGCTCAGCCTGTTTTGGGGAGAGAGGGAAGGAAGAAGGAGGCAAACCTGAGGAGAGATAAGAAACTGGGATACTGGTTTTCTCCACCCTCTTTTTTTCTTTTTTTACTGTAATAGGGAATAAAGATGTATGGTGCCTTTGCCTTTTTATTAAAGCACTGTTCAGAAACTTTCCTCAGGGGACTCACTTTACTCTGAGGCAAACATTCAGTGAGAATTTTGCCATTAGATATAGTAACATCCCATTTGTTCCCTTTTTCACTGGGAGAAGTATAGCCAGAAATCAGAAAGTAAGACAAAAGCTTATGAAATAATTGTCCCCAAACCAGTCCGGCAGAGGAAGGAAGTTGGGGTAACTGGGCCTGCAGGGAAGGGCAGTTGCGGGGGGATGTAGGCCTGCAGGGGAGGGCAGTTAGGGGCAAATAGGGTGGCAGGGGAGTGGTTAGGGGGTGATCAGGCTGGCAGGCAGAAGTGGTTAGGGGCAATCAGGAGGGCAAGCAGGTGAGCAGTTGGGAGCCAGCAGTCCTGGATTTTGAGAGGGATATCCGATCTGGGCCTACATGGGCAGTTGGACATCCTTCGAGGGGTCCCAAATTGGAGAGGATGCAGGCTGGGCTGAGGGACACCCCCTGACTCTGTACACGAATTTCATGCACTAGGCCTCTAAAATATATATTTATATATGGCTAAGTTGACTCACTCATGCATGATACGTACAAAGCTCTCACTCGTGCAAATTTCATGTGTTTGTTTCAATCTATCATTGGTTGATTGTGAATTTGGTTGACACTTCTATTATAGAGAAAGGACGAATAGTGATATTAACATATTTCTTCTAATTAATTTCCTTTCAGTGTGCATGAATCTGCACTGGGTCACTAGTATCTCAATAAAGTTGGGAAAAAAGTGAGTGGTTGAAGTGAAAAATTTGACAAAGGGCTAAGTGGTAAAAATTACTTTCCTGGAACCTCACACTGAATAAATGAGACCTTACTGTATTAAATATTTTTTTTTCATTTAAAAAAGTAGCTCAGAGGAAATAATTCATAGCTTATATACTTCTAGATTTTAAATTTAAATTTTAGTTTGAACCATATGAAATTACTGTTTTCATGGTCAAATGTTAGCCATTTCATGTATTTCAACTTTCCAATGTAGCTGAGATTGCTGACTTGTGGAGTGAGGAATGACTGCTGATGGTGATGTTCTTTTGTTTTCAGTATGCATTGCCTCTTCAACTGGTGAATAACCAAACCATGACAACGTGGATGGAGATCTTTCGAGCTATTATTGATAGGACAGTTCCCCCTGTAAGAAAGAGCTTCTGTTCCTAAGAAAAACTGTGAAAACATGGGTTTGGGATATTTGTGGTAGACTGATTTATGATCTTAGCCTATCTGGGGAAAAAATTACTACTGTAGTAAAAATAATAATAAAACATACTCATTTTGGGATTGTTCAGGTAAGTAAAAACTAATAAAATAACTACCTTTGATCCTACTAAAATGCTAAAAAACACTTTTGAGAACTAGTATTTATTCCTCTAGCTTTTTTTTTTTTCTCTGTGTCTATTACAACAATATTTTATTTATAAAAATGGTATATGTAGACACTGATTTGAAATTTTTTTTTCACTTAAAATCTTTTATAAATATTTTTTATGATACAAATATTTTTAAATTGTCATTTTTGTTGAATGCTTCATTTGCTGGGCATTTAGATTGTTTTAGTTTTTTAGTATTTTAGCTATAAGGATGTAGTTAAATTTTTTATACACATACATGATTATTTTCTTTGGATAGATTCCTGGAAGGCTTAAGACGTTGACAGATCTTGGAAAGTACTCTCCAGAAACATTGCCCTGGCTTACACTTCAATAAGCTGTGACTGAGAATATTTTACACAAAAGTCTAAGTTGCCAGTTTGATGGGTGAAAGATGGTATCTCATTTTATCTGCAGTAACAGTGATGCTATAGTTTACTTATCAAATTAACTGAGATAACTAATCCAGTTCAATTAAAAATTATAAAATATTTTAACATTTAAGTTTGTCTTAAAATGCGCAGTACTTTTCTCTTATTCATATTTTGGGACAAATTATATTTAAGTTTAAATTATATACATAAATGCACAGAACTTATTGAACAGCGCAGTGAATTATGGCAAACATACACTTGTGTTACTGTCACCCAGATCCAGATGACATGGTAGGACCTTTCTGTCACCCCAGAGTTTCCTCAGTGACAGAGTATTTTGTGTTTGTTTTCTACTTATTTGGGCCTTTTGAAGATGGGAGACAAATGTGAACAACCTCATTGGTTAGTTGAAATTTACTTCGCTTATTTAATTTTTACCTTTTCATCTCTAAGAAGGAGTTTGCATTGTATGACAATCCAAATTGACAATTAATATGACTTGGTCCATAGCAAGACTTATTCTGCTTGTTATTCACATGAACTTTGTTATGCAGAAATGTAATCTGGGTGTTTTTGTCCTTTTAGGAGACTATGCAAATTGATGAGGATGATCGACCAGAACTAGTCTGGTGGAAGTGTAAGAAGTGGGCGCTGCATATTGTAGCTCGTCTATTTGAACGGTAATTCTCTGTATTAGATACTGATCTTAGGTCAGCATCTCAGTATTGGATATAATAAAGTTGGATAGGTCCCCTGATGGCCCACAGTATATGATTATTTGTCTTCAGTGCCATAGAGGGCAGTCATCCTCTGTGTTAATTGTGATCACTGACTTTGAGATCATAATGAGGTGCTCAGTCTTCTCTGAATCTTTGTTTTCTGTAAAAAGAATAGAAAATGACATTGTTTAGCTTATTGGAAACATCCAGGAATTGTACAAGAAGGTGCTTAGTAATTCAGCTCTGTAGGGAAGTTAGACAAATTTAATTATAGAAGCATTTATTGGAAAACATGTTAGATATCATTTTATTTGAAATAGTAAACACTTAGGGGATCATCATTAATTAAATAGGTAGAAGTTTCTGTCTGAAATTTTAAGTATGACCCAGAGTCATAGTATAGCTTATCATGATTTCCTTTTGGGACTTGTGAAAAGAAGGGAAAATTCGTTTTCTGCCCCAATAGAATGCATCTTTCAACAAGGGACTGTATTTAAACTAGTGAACGTGCTGGTTTAAAAAATTCACAGTATTTAAACATTTTTCTTTTTCTATTTTAAGATATGGAAGCCCAGGAAATGTCACAAAAGAATACTTTGAATTTTCTGAATTCTTTTTGAAAACCTATGCAGTGGGAATTCAGCAGGTAATAAACTTACGTTTTTAAAATAGAAGTAGTTAAGGCATTTCTATCTATTTAAAAGTAGGTGCAGATATATTCACATATTACATATGCTAGGGGATGGAATGGAAGCTCTGGGAGCTTAATGCACTGCAGTGAGCTTTAGAACCACGCGGTCTAGGCAGCTGCTACAAGAAGTGCCCTTCTAGACAGCGAGAGGCTGGACTCAAGCCTTTTCAGTTTTTTGTTGATCCTGCTGTGGCAGTCACCAGTATTTGATTGGATTCTTCTGTTGACTTGCTGACTTCCTGTGAGTTTCCTGCCCTCTATTTCTTTGAGCCTCACTTCTTTGTTCCAAGCTTTTATATCGTAAGAGTTCATGGAATACAAATTGATCTATTTTAAAAGAAGCTGAGCTCAGAAGTTAAGAATTTCAGCTGAGAACTTGTACATTTTTTATGGAAGAATGGGAAGCATTTCTATGCAGTGAGAGTTGGGCATATTCTAGCTTGATATTAATATTAAAAAACCACGAAGGACAAGTGGACATGAAGATTGTTTGACCTGTATTGCCATTTGAATCATTTTTGTTTTTATGTCAACAAATAAAATGTAATAACTATTGAGCACTATCTGTCAGGACAATATTGAGGAAGAAAAAATTAATCAGACATAGACATAGCAAAAGGCTCTAATGATGAGGTAGTGGATGTTTCTAGGTTTTTGTAAATGTATGCATATTAGTTTTCTTTATTGTAAATGATATAAAGTTAATACTTCAAACCTGTCATCTGAGACAGAATATTTCCTTTGATAGATGATCATTTTGTCTAATATCATTTTATGGATTACCATTTCTAAAAAGTACCTTGCAACAGTTCAGGAAAGCTATGGCTGCAGTTTTTCCCCAAAATATTTTGTTGGCCCTTGAGACAGTCTATAGGGAAAACTAGTGAATAATGAACAAAATGATCAGTTCAGCAATTCACTATGGATACTACCATAATCAGATCTTCTACTGTTTTCACTGCTGTTAAACTTACTAAGCTTCCTAAAGTTGAAGTGTGTTCAGTAAAGTTTTTCAGTTTCACATAAATGTGTGTGTGTGTGTGTGTGTGTGTGTGTGCACACATGTATGTGCACATACATTTAAATTTCATACTGCTGTAGCCATGTCATAAACTATTTATACTTTAGCTATTCAGGGTATATATTCCCAGTATTTAAAAATAGTTTTCTTATAAAAAACTGTTCTCTTCTTTATTCTTATGTGTCATCTGCACTTGGTCTGAGCCACAGCTGTATCTGGAAGAACCAGTTCAGTAGCACCATTTTTAGCCTGCATTGCTGAACACTGCAGAGATGACGGCAGAACTCTGACACTTTTATCAACCTGGGTTTTACACAGCTTGAACTGAATTTATAAGTTCTGTACTTGTTTTGAAAGAACTCTTTTTATTTATTCACCAGTTCATTTAATAAGCTTTCTATAGGGCAGAACTCTGGAGACCAGATATTAGAATCCTTGGACTTTGCTTTGTTACCTCTGACTGAGAGTCCTCGGGATAGTCATGGCTGCTTTGGGCATGGTTCCTTCCAAATAAACAATCTCTCTCTTTTTAATCAATCTTTAAAAAAATAACTTCTCAGTTTTGTATTATATTTATAAAGACTTTCTGTGTCTGAGATTCTAAAAGAAATTTAAAAATATATATATTTTATTGATTTTTTACAGAGAGGAAGAGAGAGGGATAGAGAGTTAGAAACATCGATTAGAAAGAATCATTGATCAGCTGCCTCTTGCACACCCCCACTGGGGATGTGCCCACAACCAAGGTACATGCCCTTGACCGGGACCTTTCAGTCTACAGACTGATGCTCTATCCACTGAGCCAATTCTTCCATATTCTAAGAATTTTATGCTTTCTTTTTTTGTTCGTTTAAATATTTCCCCATCTAGAATTTATTTTGGTATGAAGTTTAGTTAGAGAATCAACTTCATTTTTTAATTTTTATTTTATTTTATCTTTTATTGATATTTTACAGAGAGGAGGAAGGGAGAGAGATAGAGAACTAGAAATGTCGATGAGAGAGAAACATCGACCAGCTGCCTCTTGCACACCCCCTACTGGGGATGTGCCTGCAACCAATGTATGTACCTTTGACCGGAATTGAACCTGGGACCCTTCAGTCCGCAGGCCGACACTCTACCACTGAGCCAAACCGGTTTCAGCTCAACTTCATTTAAAAAAAATATATATTTTATTTATTTCTTACAGAGAGAAAGGGAGAGAGATAGAGAGCTAGAAACACCGATGAGAGAGAGACTTCGACCAGTTGCCTTCTGCACATCCCCTACTTGGTAGTGGCGGCAACCAAGGTACATGCCCTTGACCGGAATTGAACCTGGGACCTTTCAGTCCGCAGGCCGACCGCTTTATCCATTGAGCCAAACCGGTTTTGGCAATCAACTTCATTTTTGTTCAGAGGGTTAATATAGTTGTCCCAATACTATTTATTTGAGTCTATGGCCATACCACCCTGAACATACCTGATGTCTTCTATTTTTTTGATAACTTACTGTTTCTGTGCTGGTTTGAAATGCACTTTTATCAAATGTTAAAATCTGTTTGTGCTGTCTTTTGCTGTATGGTTGTTTTCAGTGTTCATTTAGTCAAGTCTGTTGTTGTATTTTAACAGAAGTCTTAATGTATTTGAATAACTAGTGTATGGAATAGCGCGAAGACTTACTCTGAGTTGTTCCATAGGTTAGAAGTAGGACACATGGCTGGCAATTACAGTGAGACACTGTTCCATATAACATGACCCTGTCTAATAATTAAAACTGCCCCGGAGCTTTCTCACAAAATATTGATTCCCCTTAACATCTGTTAGTTTTTATCTTTATGCATTCTGAGTTTTAGGTCATGCCTAAAATGCCCCTTCCCTTAACTTTAAAATTGTACACGTTCTCCTATGTATTCTCTTCCTATTTTCCAACAGGTACTACTAAAAATTTTAGACCAATATAGACAGAAAGAGTACGTCGCTCCGCGGGTTCTTCAGCAAGCGTTCAACTACCTCAACCAGGGGGTGGTTCACTCTGTCACGTGGAAGCAGATGAAGCCACACATACAGGTGAGCGTCAGGGAGCAGGTCTCAAAAAGTATTCTCTGGTTAAATCCGGTTTTCTAGACAAAGTGTTACTAATTCCATATTGTATGCTGAGTATATTTTTATTTCCATTAGTAATTACAAATGAGTGCAGTCATATCTGATATGAAGGGCTTGGAAATTTGAGAATTGACAAGAGTGTAAACTTCCAAGTTTTATGAGTTGGAGGACTTGGATTCAGTTGACCTTGCTTAATTGTTTACTTAAAGATAGAGTTCCACATTGTTATTTAATCAAAGGACAAATGAGAATGAAAAATTGCAGGTCATTAATAAATTCTTATTTGCATGCAGATAATTTTGGGTAATTCAACAATGTCAGGAACTGAATTTTTTCCCCTCTTAAAACTGTAAATTCTTGAATTCTAATCTCTAAGATGGTATCTAAAAAGAAAAAGAAATTCCTTTTCTTTGCTTTTGGTATCCAGGTTAGAATTCATTTAGTGTTATCTTATTATTATTATCTTTAGTGTTAACACAATATTTTTTTGCATTGTTTTCTATGGACATCTTAATAATATTTTGCTTAAGCTCCTTATCAATAATTTCTTTGCAATTAATAGATAATAGTTTCATTTTATTTGCTGTGTTTCTGTAAAGTAAGGATTAATTGCGATAGTATTTTTTCTACTGGATGCCTTTGATCTTAATTTTACATGACTGTAATGTAGGAATATGAAATGGATTGTTAGGCTGAATTTTTTTCTCTTAGAAATATTTAATTTATTTAAGAAATGGCTCCATGTTTTTTTTTTTAATCCTCACCTGAGGACATGCTTGTTAATTTTAGAGGAAGAGGAAGAGAGAGAGACAGACAGAGACCGGGAGAGACATTGATCTGAGAGAGAAACATTGATCGGTTGCCTTCCTTCCCATGTGCCCTGACCTGGGGTCAAATCCTGCACCTTTGTTGTATGGAATCATCTGATCCACACCAGCCAAGGTGAGATGGTTCTGTTTTTACATATTTAATTGCTGGAGCACAAAAGAGCTTAGTAGAGCATTAGCAGCAGTGCACATACAGATGTGGTTTTTTTCTTTTCCCCCTGAAACCTGCATTTATAGAGTAGGAAATTAGATTTTTGTAAATGGAAGAAGAAAAGAAACTTTTAATATTGTTGACATGCTGAAATCTAAAACTTTTAATATTTAGAACCAAAATGAAAATGTAAAAATGTGCACAAAAAGAAATATAATAGTAAATATAACCTTTTCTTGATACTTATTTCTTCTTAAAAAGTCAAAATATGCTTACTACTGATATGTTAGTAAAACTTTATTATCCTTTCTATTGCTTCAAAGAGTAGCATTTACATTCATTTTTCTCTATCTTTAATCAATTGTTGTTTAAAAACAAACTTATGTTTAATCCACTCCCTCACTCCCTCATCCCCTCAACTTCAGCTCTTGCTTTCTTGCTCCCACCTTAGCTGCTGCAAGCTTAATAGGAAGATTAATAGAACAGTTTTGAAAACTAACATCATAAAGGCAGTCAGTAAATCTATTATTAGTGTTCCCCAAATTAGAATAGCTATACCTAGTTGCTGTTTTGTTTTTTTCCTTGTTAGAATATCTCTGAAGATGTGATTTTTTCTGTGATGTGTTATAAAGATGAGGATGAAGAGCTGTGGCAAGAAGATCCCTATGAGTACATAAGGATGAAATTTGGTAATTGAGATTTTTTTTCTTTCTTGTTAGTTTCTGGATACATAAAGTAATATACCTAAACTGGTATTTTAAGGAGATTTTATGACTTTGTTAAATTCCCAAAGTTCTGCTTTGCACAATAATCTTTGAACTCCTGAGAGTTTGATGATTGGTTCTTTGAGTAGAGGGGCTGGGGACTGAGAAATAAAAGAAAGAGACAAGACACAGAGATAGAAGGAAAAAGCTGGGACTGGGTGGACCACTGCCCTCTTCTGATGGAGAGACAGTGACCCAGAACTGAGGCAGTATGTTTGTTTTATACCCCCAAATATCAGGAAGTTTCACCAAAGTCAAGGCAAAGGAGATTATTGGCATTCTTGAGTAGGCCTGAGCATTCTTAGTGCTAGACTGGATTTACATATCAAAATCCACTTCCCTACACCTGGGCAAAGGAAAGAGTCAGTGCTGATAACACATCTACCTTTTTGGTAAGATGTGTGTAATCTAGACGGGCTTTGCCTGTCACCTTGGGTTAAGGAAGAACGCTCCTGTGCCTTCTCAGGCTCTCTCTACAGCAGCCCTGCTCCTGCCATTGCCACACGCTGATGGCAATGGCCCCACTTGCACCTGCTAATGGTGTGGAGCAGTAGGGGCCAGTACCAGTAGTGGGTGTGAGCAGCAGCTGCTGCCCCAATTGCCCCTTAGGAACATGGGGAGGTGGAGAAGCCCTGAGGGGTGATTGGGGGCCTGCAGCCACCTCTTGCATTTGCTGATGGGCGTAGAGCGATTAGGTGCGAATGGGGCCATTGTAGGCAGTGGGTATGAGAGACGGCTGCTGGTCCCAATCTCCCTTCAGGAGCAGGGGGAGGTGGAGAAGCCCTGAGGGGTGATCAGGGCTGGTAGCCACCACTTGCACTTGCTGACAATGCCAAGTGATCGGGGCCAGCGCTGGGCGCCGGCAGTGGGTATGAGCAGTGGCTCCAGTGCCAGCAGCAGGTGTGAGTGCCAGGTGGGGCCTCAGTATGTGGAAGCAAAGATTTTCCAGTAACCTCCATAGGCCCTGATGACAGTGACCTGTGCCTCACCTTGGTTTGGTGCCTCCATTCACCTGCTCCACCATTCCGTCACAGCTAATGCCTGCCATGTTCCATGTGTGCCCCCTGGTGGTCAGCACATGCCATAGTGACCAGTTGTTTGGTTGTTTGGTTATTCTGCCATTTAGTCTATTTGCATATTAGGATTTTATATATATATATATATATATATATATATATATATATATATATATGTATATATATGATTGTTTAAAAAGACAGACCCTGTAGAGTTGATATATACTTTTGTGCATGAAAACATTTGATAATATATCCTTAGAGAAAACATTGACAATATATCTTCTAGCTTTTTTTTATTGTGTAAACCATTGTCCCCTTGATTTGGAATAGTGATTAACCAGATTTAAAATCTGTAGTAATTATAATTTTACTAAAATGACTTAATCTTTTAAAATCTTAGACATTTTTGAAGATTATGCTTCTCCTACCACAGCAGCCCAGACTCTCTTATATACTGCTGCAAAGAAAAGAAAAGAGGTACATGGTTATTCTTTTTAAATCCTGTGTTGATTTGGTACTCTAATGTAACCCTAGTATTTGAAAAATTGTCTTATTAGTTATAATCTGTCACTTTAAGAATATTTTATTATCCTAGTAAGGGCAAAGGTTTATTTTGTTTTCTTAATTATAAATACTTTATGAAACAGTAAAATGGCTTAATTTTGAAAATTAGTATTTTGTACATAGTATATAAATAATACTATAGTAACAAAGAAAGCTAATGTAGAATGAAATTGATTCTTCTATTTCTTTAGGTCTTGCCAAAAATGATGGCTTTCTGTTATCAAATCCTAACAGACCCGAACTTTGACCCAAGGAAGAAAGATGGAGCTCTGCATGTGATTGGTTCCCTAGCTGATATTTTATTGAAGGTCAAGTTACTTATAATTTAATTTACTTGAAACTGTGAAGCACTACTAAATGTGAGAATATGAAAGTTATGGATAATTTAAAATTGGTGCCTGCTCTGCATAGTTGAGTTGACTGTAAATATTCTTTTTGTTACTTGTTTCTTGAGTTAAAAAGAACTTCTGACTTTGTTCTTACAAAAATCAATCGGTATCAAATTATATTTAGGTACTGTTTTTGTATCTTTTAAAAAAAATATATTTTTATTTATTTCAAAAAGGAGGGGAGAGGGAGTGGGAGAGAGAAATATCAATGATGAGAGAGAATCATTGTTTGGCTGCTTCCTGCACATCCCCCACTAGAGATTGAGCCTGCAATGTGGTCATGTGCCCAGATCAGGAATTGAACTGGGACCTCCTAGTTAAATGGTTGACACTCAAGAAGAAGGGATGGAGAGAGAGAGAAACATTTGTTGGCTGTCTTCTGCATACCCCCTCACCTGGGATCAAGTCCAAAATCTGATCAAACCAATGACCTCTTGGCACATGGATTGATGCTCAACCAACTGAGCCACACAGCCCAAATGCTATTTTTGTCTTGTTTTAAAACATGCAATATATCAGTGAAATAGTTTTATAAAATTGGAAATAGAAGTATGGTAAGTGTAAGTCATAATAAACATACTTTATTAGGATGTAATTTTTACATATGCAAAAAAATTGATAATTTGAAATTTAATTTCTATATCCTAACAGAAGAGTTTATTCAAGGACCAAATGGAGTTGTTGCTGCAGAATCATGTATTTCCATTATTATTGTCTAATCTGGGATATCTTCGAGCTAGAGTAAGTTTTCCATATTTCTATTATATATCTTAAAATCTTCATGAATTTTGAAGAACTTAATGTTTTTGGATAAATTGACACATATTGAGGCAAACTGACTAAAGAACAAACTAGTAGATAGGGATTTATGGTTTTTAATTCCGCCTGTTTCATTTTTTATCCTACTCTCACTTCCTGAATATTCAAAACATGTAATGAGGGTGATGATGTTACTGCAATGGTACAGTGGAAATTCAGAAACTGATTAATTTTCAGTATCCAAACAAAGCATGAAATTTTAGTTTAGCTAAAAACTTGATTATGATTTCTAGTATGTTAGGTAGATATACCTTAGTAGAGTGAAGAAATTAATAACCCATGTAAACTTATTTGTGTTCTAAGTGTGTATTACTTCTAGAATCAATATATTTTATGGAGAAAGAAATAAAAATAGAACTTTTATTTAAGAGCCTCGTATTTATAACTACGTCAACCCACAAACAAATTTCTTGCTCAGTACAACACATGTTAATAGTACCTTATGTATTTCAAAGCATTATATAAACAGAAGATAACCATCACTGGAGAAATATTTGTACAAATGTAGATTAGAAATGTTAAGGCCACACAAATATTTTTATAGGTAGGCTTCTACCTTTTGAGAGGATGTTTAAATTGTAATTCTCTTGATAAAAGTCTTTAGTAATTCAACTGTTGATTGTGTTTTATGCACATAGTGAATTTAAGAAAATAATAATTCTGTGGTCTAATAGTTTAAAATTCAGTAATCTATATAAGGTTTAAATTCTTTGTACCTTATGTGAATGAAAACAGGAAATTTGCTGTAGTGTAAGGGAAAATAATGTTTCATTTGTTTGCTGTAAAGGTTAGCAAATAAATGTCAAACATTGATTTGTAATAGCTTTTACATGTAAACAATAAATAAGTTATGAATCATAATACTTATTAGAAGCATAAACAGGACTTTTTTTTTTTCCACAGGGCAAGTTCTCTGAATTCAATACATGGTTCACAAACTTGAAGGCAATTCAAGCATAGGGGCTAGGATTTATATATGAAAAAGCGTGGACATTTTTTTCCTCAGAGACACTTAAATTTGGCTCTGTTTTCTTTTACCTGTGAAAAATGTTATTGTATATAAGTAATTTAGAAGTAATCAAACTGTCTTTTAAAAAAAAATAAAATAAAACAACAGAGAAATCCAGAAATTAGCAACTAAGGCTTATATGCTTCTTTTAAAATAATAATTGGCAGAATTAATGACATCTTAATTATTAAGAAGTTATGCATGACATTATTACAGAATGCCATAATTCTAATCGTTCCCTATTTACTTTCTCCTTGTAACATAGTCTTGTTGGGTACTTCATGCATTTAGTTCTTTGAAGTTTCATAATGAGCTCAATCTAAGAAATGCACTTGAACTAGCAAAGAAGAGCTTGATTGAAGATAAGGAGATGCCTGTCAAAGTTGAAGCTGCCCTTGCTCTTCAGTCATTAATTTCTAACCAGACACAAGGTAAAGCCAAAAACACCTTTTAGAATATTTGTTTGTTTGTTTATTTTTGGATGTGGCCTTCTCAAATAGTTTTATTCATATTCTTTCCTACTAAGAATAATTCTTTAAGTCTTAGAGGTTTAGGTTTCTGAACTTTTGCCCCTCACAGATTTATAGAATTTTACTTTTGACCTTTTTTGGGAATTCCTTTTGACTGTGATTTCCAGAAAATTTTTAGATTAGGGAACAAGATGATAATTATTGGGCATTAGGTAGACTGGGAATTAAGAGAACTGGTGTCTAATTTTGATTGTGCTACTAGTCTATATATATAAAAGCCTAATATGCAAATTGTCCCTTCAAGAGTTCTACTGGGAGACTGGGAGTTTGATTGCTCATTATGACATGCAATCAAACTAACCACCAGGAGGTGGCATGGAATGAAGGAAGGCCCTGGCTGGCAGCTGGCAGCCAGAAGGAAGATAGCTGGAAGGCCCCGATTGGCTCTGATCTCCGGCCAGGATTAGGGAACCTATCCATGCATGAATTTCGTGCACTGGGTCTCTAGTTTGCATATAAAGCTGGGCAAGGCACATGACTCATCACGACTTGGATATCTAACACATTTAAATTCAGGGGGGTGGAGTAGATGGTTTAAAGATTTCTTTCAACTCTAGGATTTTGTGGTTCTGCTACTTCTGAAAGTAGCAAGTAGTATTTCTAGTGAGTGATAACTCAGATATCTCACTTGTTTTTTTAGAAGAATATTCTGTCGAAAGTTCAAATAAACCTTTGAAAGTAAACATGCACCGAGTTTACCTCTAGTCAACAGTATTTTAATAGGGGTCTGAGTATTGCATAAGAATATGGGAGAGGGGGGTGAGCAGAGATGGGGTGGGGGCAGGGGATGGGCACCATCAGTAGTACACATAGTTTTATACACATCATTTTTTATACTTGTATTCATATCCATGTGGTATAGTCATGGCGGGCTGTTGGCATTTTTGTCAGGACATTTCTCCTGTGCAGGACTGATTCTCTCTATATTACTTTGGGGAATATTGATATATTGATGAAGATTGTTTTGGTACTGCTTTGTGCAGAGCAAGTATCTATCTAGAACCTATTATCCTGTATCACTTATCTTTGTTGATTTCTTTTATCATTTGTGAATAGCTGATTTTTCAGTGATTGTGTTTATTTGATTGCATTAGCAAAGGAATATATGAAGCCACACGTGAGACCTATTATGCAGGAGCTATTGCACATTGTTAGAGAGACAGAGAATGATGATGTGACGAATGTTATCCAGAAGATGATATGTGAATACAGTCAAGAAATAGCCTCCATTGCTGTCGATATGACCCAACACTTGGTAAGACTGGGAGGGCAGTTTGGTATAAAAGCCTGAAATAATCTAAATAAATTAAACTCCAAAATTTAAATGTAATTGTAATCCTATATAATAAAAGGCTAATATGCAAATTGACCAAATGGCAGAACAACTGTTTGCTATGAGCCACACACACTACCAAGGGGCAGATGCTCAATGCAGGAGCTACCCCCCGGTGGTCAGTGCGAGTGTCAGGGGGAGCGTCGCTCAGCCAGAAGCCAGGCTCACGGCTGGCGAGTGCAGAGGTGGTGGCGGGAACCTCTCCTGCCTCTGAGGCAGTCGGACATCCACTGAGGTTACCGGGCTGCAAGAGGGCGCAGGCTGGGCTGAGGGACCCCCCAGAGTGCACAAATTTTGTGTTCTGGGCATCTAGTGTTAATATAAAAATGTTTGCTCTTCTAATTTTGACAGTTAACTTCTTTCTTTTTTCTTCACTTTTAGGCAATTTCTTGTGTTACTTCTTTGATGAATTTTTCTCTGCTCTTTTTTGTATTCTATAGTTCTGATGTGGAATATTGGACCAGGACTGAGTTTCTGATTTCCTTACCGCTCTCTCCTGTCTTCCATATCTGTTCTTTTCATTTCATTTTCTAGATGATTCCCTAACTTTGTCTTCTAAACCTTCTATCGAATTTTTAATTTGAGTATTATTATATTTAAATTTCCCCAAATTTTGGATTTATTTGTTTAATGACAACCAGAGTTAAGTATTAGCTATTGGATTGTAATAGCTAATGTATATATTTCGCTCTAGTGACCAGATAAGGAAAAAATTACTATATTTAAAACATAGCAACAAAATGCGTAATGTTGCTGATATTTACATGTGTGATGCTGCTCTTTTGCTAACATAATAGTGAGGGGTGGGTATAACTACTAATTGTTGAATATGTTTATTTTTATAGGCAGAGATATTTGGTAAAGTTCTTCAAAGTGATGAATATGAAGAAGTTGAAGACAAAACAGTAATGGCTATGGGAATTTTACATACCATTGATACTATCTTGACAGTTGTTGAAGATCATAAAGAGGTGGAATTTCTTTGTGTTTTATTTGGTCATTATAGTAACTTTAACTGAAATTTTTATGATCGATGGGCACAATTTTAAAGTTATGACTTTTAAATTGCTATATAGTTATGTTGCTAGATTTTATAAATTATCTTCGAATTTTAAAGACGGATATTAAAATAATTGATGGGAAATATTACATGTGGTTATAAAGTGTACTAGTATACTAAATCGCTTATTTCTGAACTGAATGAACTAAGTTCAGTACATCACATCTGCCAGGCAAGGTTTTTAGGGAATACTAAATTGGAAGCTCTGCCTTCCCAATCTATAGTCTAGTCTTCTCAATGGAGAGTGATAGCCCTCAGTCAGAGTGGCAAATATTAAGTAATGGAACAAAATTCTGAGTAACAAATATTGTGAGGATGGAAGAGAAGAAGAGTTTAAAACATTATTTTTCCTGAACTGAATTTCAGAATAATATTGGGATAAAAATTGTGTAGACAGTCAGCAAGTGCTTTCACACCCCTTAGATGAGTGATATAAGGCCCCTGAAGTCATTTGTTCTGGCCCTGCCAAAGCATTAGAGGTGAGCTCATTAAATGTTTGACGGAATATGGCAGACTAAATTTTAAGTTGATCATTTTGTTTGGCCTGCAATTGATGTTATAAATATGCTAATGACCCTTGGCAGTAAAAAGGTGCCTTGCTCCTGCAGTAGCTGATATAATGTTACCCTCACTATGAGTTAGATGGAGCATGTAATGGTAGTGCCATTTTGCAGAAGTAGAAAAAAGCGACTTGTTCATGGTCACCAGGTTTTGGATTTGCAGTCAAATCATCCTGATGATATGTCAGTTTATCTCCACCTAACACCAGATGCTCTCCTCCCCAAGTGTTATATACAACCTTTCCTTAATTCAAATTAGATTGTGTTTTCTGTGAGCTCAAGTTGACTTATTTGGCAATGATGGCAACTATTGTTTTATACAGTGAGGATTTTGGAAAGGAGATGGTGCCAGTTCTTTAAATAGCATCACTAAACCCTGTGGCTTCATGTTTACCACATATCAATACACGATTCCCAGATTCTTAAAAATGGTTTGATCTTCTTTTCCTGGGCAGGCCTTCTTTCACCTAAAAGGCTCAATGCGAATTTTAATTTACATATTCATTATTTTAGTTTGTATCCTTTTGAAACTATATGGAACTTTTAGAAACCATGAGGTGTTCCAAATTAAATCATAGCAAGTATTCTTGAAGATAATTCTTTTACCTCAAAGACCTGAGAAATAGGCAGGTATTGGGTGTGTTTTTTAAAATTCTTCTTTTTAATCCTCACCTGAGGATATGCTTTTACTGTTTTTTTTTTTAGAGAGGTAGGAAGGGAGAGGGAGAGATAGAGAAACATCCATGTGAGAGTGAAACATCAGTTGATTGTAACCTGGGTATGTGCCCTTTTCAGGAATCTAACCTGCCACCTTTTGGTGTACAGGATGATGCCCAACCAACTGAGCCACACCAGCCAAGGCAGGTATTACATGTTTCAAAAATTCTTGGGGCACACCAGTTTGCCTCTTGTGGCATGCACACTGGTTGAAAATCAATGTCATCCATAATTCGGGACAAAACAAGAACCAGAATCTTGTTTCCTGATTGTCTGTCCTATGACTTTAAATTTTAGCTTGTTAAAACATTTTTGAAAACATTATTTTTGAAAGAGAAAATCACATGCAAATGAATATGTGTATAAATACTTCCTGTGTGAAGAGTTCAAGTGAAAGTCTAAAACATCTTAAACATATGCAGTTTTTCTTAGTTTAAATATACTGACAAATTTTTAGATGGAAAAGTTTGAATCATTTAAATTTTAAGACTGCAGTTTAAGTTGAATATAAAGAATAGGGTACTTAGATGAAAAAATGTAACCCATAATGGATTTTAATTTTTTCTTATTTAAAAAATATTTAGTACAGCTGAACCCGGGTTGGCTCAGTGGCTAGAACATTGGCCTGTGGACTGAAAAGTCCCGGGTTTCATTCTCGTCAAAGGCATATACCTTGGTTTCGGGCACATCCCCAGTTAGGGGTGTGCAAGAGGCAGCTGATCAATGACACTCTCTCATTGATGTTTCTCGATCCCTCTCTCTTCCTCTCTGTAAAAAAATCAATAAAATATATTTTAAAAAAATATTTAGTACAAACATGTTGAAAATTCAAAACGTATGAACAGGAGGATGAGATCTCATCTCCCCAGACATCTCATCCTCCTCTCAAGGAGGTAGCTCCTTTACCAGGTTTTCTGTATCTTTCCAGAGACTTTTCTAGACTATATCCAGGCAGAAAGCGAGTATGTGTATTTTTCTTTAATGAAAATAATAGTATATATTTTCATCTGCTATTTTTTACTTAATATTTCTTGATGGGTCTTCCATATTAGTCAATAAATTTATATATTTTTAATAGTTGCATGATATCTCTTTGTATGCAATACCAAATTTACTTAGCCAGTCCTTGTTAATGGATATAATTTAACTATCTCTTGGTAAGTGGGCATTTGGTTGATACTAATCACAAATGTTGCTGCAATGAAAAACCTTTTACATGTCATTTTGCAAATGGCAAATTTCTTTAATTCAAAATGCTGGTAAAAAAATACACATATGAGTAAATTTGAAGGATATTGCTAAGGTGTTCTTCATGCTCCCTACTTTTTGATCATCACCAGTGTAAAGTCCCTACTTAAAAAAAAATAAAAAAAAATAAAATATATATATACATATATATATATATTTTTTTTTTTCATTGATTTTTTTTTACAGAGAGGAAGAGAGAGGGATAGAGAGTTAGAAACATTGATGAGAGAGAATCATCAATCAGCTGCCTTTTGCAACCAATGTACATGCCCTTGACCAAAATTGAACCTGGGACCTTTTACTCCACAGGCCGATGCTCTATCCACTGAGCAAAACCAGTTTTGGCAAGTCCCTACTTTTTTATCAACATCAGTCTGATAGGTGAAAAATATTAATCTTGTACTTAGAATTTTTACTCTCATTGCATATTAGAGTAAACTTTATAAGGTTCAAGGTCATTTATATCTCTTTTGTTGTAATCTTTGCCTTTCTTTTTGTTACTATAATTTCATGTGAGGGGAATTATATCTTTGAAAATATTTCCTTCAATTTTTCTTTTATCTTTGATTTCTTATTGCTCTATGCAGGTATTTTTAATTTTTGATTCCAAATGACTCCATATATTTATTTATAATTTCTGGGTTTTGAGTCATTTTCCTTCTTTAGGATTACACACAATTCTTTTGATACCTTCTAGTATTTTTCAAGTCTGAGGTATTAACATTGAAATCTGATTTGTTAGGACTTTATTTTGGTATGGGAAATATTAGATAAGGAATTTATTTAATTCATAATTTTATTATGGCTGTAATTCTCATTTCTATTATTGGTTTACTTTTCATATTTTTTTGGTATTCTTGCATGTTTAATTTTCCACACAAAGTTTAACTGTTTAAACTTTTCTTTAGGTTACTCAGCAATTAGAGAATATCTGTCTACGGATCATTGATCTTGTTTTACAGAAACATATAATTGGTAAGTTTGAAGGTTGAGTAAGAATGTAAATTGAAAATGAAAAAAATTGATGAACTTTCAGTGTATTGTTAGTCTTTTAGATTCAAGAAGATGGACAATTTTGAGAAAGAAAAGATGGCATTCTCTTCAGTTTTTGGATATACTTTCTAATATCTGTATTTTCATTTAGGAAGAAAATTTAATACATCCAGTTAAGAACTTTTGGTCTTAAAATTTTTAAGTTTGACATTTCTAGAAAACAAGAACTGGGATGAGCTGGGGTTACTTTAGTCTGGGATTGAAAACTGTGAAGTGATGGGCATGCCTTATCAGAAGTGTGAGTTAATTGTTCTGCTCTCTATTATGGTGCTTCTGAATAGAATCAGTAATGCTGGCTATTATAAACCAAAGGGAATTTGTAGAGGAGGGAGGCTCCTTTTCCATGGTATCCAAGCAATTTGAAGATTCTAGACCCCAAGGCATCAGGGAGATACAATCTGTACAGTACACAGATAGGAATATACAAGAAAAGCATGTTACTGCTTAAGAGCAGTTGTCCCCAAACTTTTTATTAATTAGTAAAAATTAGTGAGAATTGCGCATGCACTTCTACTATATATGTATGAATATATTTACATACATAAAAATGGAAATGCGAAAGGATAAGATTAAAAGTGTTCTAGTACATTCTTCTTCCATCTAGTGGATCATCTTGCACACTGCCTAGGGCATTAGTTGGCAAACTGTGGCTTGCGAGTCACATGTGGCTCTTTGGCCTCTTGACTGTTCTAACGCCACTTTTCAAAATAGACTCGCCCAGGCCGAAAACCGACTTCTGCGCATGGGCCACGAAGTTTCAATTCGCACTGTACGTGCGCGCCTGTATGTGGTATTTTGTGGAATTGCCACACTTAAGGGGCCAAAGAGCCGCATGTGGCTCACCAGCTGTGGTTTGCTGACCACTGGCCTAGGGCATATCCTTATTTTTGAAGTCATTGCTGTAAAGCAGTAGTTCTTTTTTCTTTTCTTTCTTTTTCTTTCTTTTTTTTTTTTTTTTTTTAAATCCTCACCTGAGGATATTTTTTTTTTTCCATTGATTGTTTTTAGAGAAAGTGGGAAGGAGAGGAAGACAGAGAGAAACACCATTGTGAGAGAGACACACAGATTGGTTGCCCCCTGTATGCCCATGACCAGAGCTGGGAGCCTGCAACCAGGGTACACGTCATTGACGGGAATTGAACCCTTCAGTCCACAGGCCGGTGCTCTATCCACTGAGCCAAACTGGCTTGGCTAGAGCAGTAGTTGTTAAACTTTGGTATGCGTAAGAACCACTAAGGAGCTAGTTAACGTGAAGATTCCTGGATTGTATCCCAGAGGTTCTGATTCTTAGTTTGAGGCAGCGCCCAGGAATCTGCATTTTCATTGATTATTCCAAGTGATTCTCATGCAGGTGAAATAGTAATTAGAGATTTTTTTTGTTAATAGGATCTCTGGATACAAGTGCCTTTCTTTACTTTCTTATTAGAGCAAATGCAAAACAGGTAACATAATCTATAATAGTAGCCAGAAAAGAGTAGTCACTGGTAAATGCAGGAAATTAGGTGACTAATTTTAAAACAAAAGGAATTCTTAAAGTGTTATACTAATAAACACAATGATTTATGTGACATGAGTAGAGTCTAATTTAACATCTTATTGCCCCCAAGGTCAACTTTTATAGCAAAGTATGAATTTGTATAAAGATTAGCTGAATAAGGGTATTACTATAGACTCCCCTTATCCTCAGGATATATGTTCTAAGACCCTCATGGACACCTGAAACTGTGGATAATCCAAACCCTATATATATATATATATATATATATATATATATATATATATCTGATTTTTTTCTATACATGCACACCTATGATAAAGTTTAGTTTATAAATTAGGTGCAGTAAGAGATTAACAACAACAATAATAAAACAGGACAATTATAATAATATACTGTAATAAAAGCTGTGTGAATGGCTTTGTTATTAAATGAAATATGGGTTATGGAACACAAGCACTGTGAAACTATGCCTTCTAGCTAGATTATTTTTTTCTTTCCAGAATTCTATGAAGAGATTCTTTCCCTGGCATACAGTTTAACCTGCCGTGGCATTTCCCCTCAAATGTGGCAGCTTCTAGCTATATTGTATGAGGTTTTTCAGCAGGATTGTTTTGAATATTTCACAGGTATGGTTTTGACCATGTAACATTTTTTGCTTTTCTTTGTCTAGATATTATTTCCTTTAATACTTGAAAGAAAGATATAGGTGATTTCAATATCAATCAGAAAATAATTATTCTTATTTCCCTGTCAAGGTTGGGGCTATTGTAGCAGTGATTTTCAGCTTCAGCAATATAGGCCATGGGAGGGAGCCTGTGTTTCCTATGTATCTTAAATTAGTTTGTGATCAGAGAATATTTTCTGTACATTAATTCAATTAATATTTTCTGAATGCTGACTATATTCTAAGCACTATTCTCCCATCCAAGTACTAACCAGGCCCGACCCTGCTTAGCTTCCGAGATCAGACGAGATCGGGCGCGTTCAGGGTGGTATGGCCGTAGACTATTCTAAGCACTATTCTAAGCTCAGTAATACTGCAGTGAACAAAATAGCCTTTGCTTTTTAAAAATATGTATTTGAGAGAGGGAGACAGAGAAACATCCATGTGAGAGGGAAACATGGATTGGCTGACTCCTGCATGCCCTGTATCTGGGTTTGAGCCAGCAGCCCGGGCATGTGGCCGCACCAGGAATCACACCGGCAGCCTTTCAGTGGGTGGGAGGACAGCCAACAAACTCAGCCACACTGAGCAGGCACCCTTGCTTTTTTGATGTTTTCATTCTAGTATGGGGAGAAGGGAAGGCATGGAAATGCACAGTCAAGGAAGAAAGTATGTCGTATGTCAGATGGTGATGAGTGCTGTGGAGAATAATAATAATATTTAGAACAACCACTACATCAGATGAGCAATTTAATCTTCCCGGTCCACATTTTACTCATCTATAAATAGGGTAGATTTATCACTTTTGTTTCTAGCCTTTTGTAGTAGCAAGGAAGGATAGTAATGTGTGTGTGCAACAAAAATGTGGTTTCAGGGGGAATAATTTATTTCTCCTATTAGTCAAGTCTTACTGGGATTTTGAATTTTTTTCCAGACATGATGCCACTCCTGCACAATTATGTGACAATTGATACAAATACTTTACTGTCAAATCCAAAGCACTTAGAGATACTTTTCACCATGTGTAGAAAGGTAAGGGGTGTAGTGTTGACTCTTTCAATTTGTTTCTTATACATTTAGTTCTTTTGTATTGCCTTCATCGACATATTTGTCATTTTGTTTTTTTAAATGGAGGTTGGAATTGTAATTTGAAAATTTCATATTGTCTGTTGTGCTGAAGAATGCTTGCCACTTTCCTAGCTGTGTGCTTTATAATGTTCAGAGGTAAATGATTTTTCTTTGTGTTTGGATTTTTCTCTCAAAATTGCAAACTTACTACCTGATTAAATAAACATGCTAGGAAAATAACCACCCAGTTTGTTCTCAGTGATTTTTCTTTTAATTGAATGTATATATGGAAGTCACTAGATGTAGGATGTAAGACAAAAGATTAAAATTGTTGGAAAAACAGCATCATTTAGGTCAGTCCAGGATAATTTATAAGCTACATAATAGTAACTGTTATATTTGTGCACTAACATGATTGTCTACTGTGTTATCTTTGTCACAGGTTAGATTTGGCCTTCTATTAGTTTTAACTGGAATCATTAATGGCTAAGTAATGTTTTCCTTCCATAGTAGAATATATGTATATGCATAAATATAAAACTGTATTGCATATAGTTGGTAGAGTTTATAAAGCTCAAATAGCCAGACCTAAAAGTTTGGCCTTGAAGTGGGAAGTAAAATACTGTGTACAATCTATTTTCCTCACTTAGGCTGTGTTTTGGGATCTGCTAAGAGTGCTAAACCAATAATCAGTATCTGGTTTAGGTCTCATTCAGCTAAAAAGAGCCTGGGAGATATGGGGGAATCACTAAGTTTCATTGCATATAAACTGAAGGAATAGAATCAGAATTTTTAAAGATGCCTTTCGTCTATAGTTCAGTTGTTGAATCCTAATCACTTGGCATTCTTAAGTTTTAAGTCACTGAAATATATTTTGTTTTTTCTCCTTTTGAGAGAGTGGGAGCAAGAAAACAAAACCAACCAACAAAAAAACCCCAAGTAAATGCAATTTTGCGAAAAAGGGATGATTTTTTTTCTTTCTTTCTGTATACAGCCCCATGAGGTGTGTGTGTGTGTGTGTGTATATATATACATATACATACACACACACACACACACACACATATATATATATATATCACCCTCCTTTTACAGCTAGGAACAGTAAGACAGAGAGAGGTTAAGTAGCTTTTTCCAAAACACAGCTACTTATGGCAGAGCTGGAATTTAAACCCAGGTCTTCTGATTCCAGAGCCCATTCACATTTAGATTCTTGATTTTAAACATATTGTCCTAGAGGTGGGATTTTAGATTTATGTAAATAGAGTTGATTCTTGGCTTTGGCTAACCTGCTTACTATTCAATTTACTGTTCCACCTGTTTTCTAGCTTCCAAATATTTATAGCTGTCTCTTTCTTCTTTTTCTCCATCTTTGTGAATGTATGCTTCTAAAATGTCTTTATTATCATTTTAATGGCCTTTCGGGAAGGAATAAAATTAAATGGAAGTATTCAATCTGTTATTTTTACCTGGAATTTTCTTTTAATTCAGTTTTCTTAAATTGTATTTGTCCAGGAAATTATCCCGTTCATCTAAATTTTCAAATATAAAAGGAATAAAGAGCATTCTCCATACTATTCTCTTACTTTTAATCTCTCCTTTATTTGTATTTATATCTTTCATTCCTAATATTTTATTACTTGGTTTTCTTTAAAAAATTTTTTAAAAAAATAAAAGTTGTCTAATTAAATCTTTTTTTCAGTGAATCTGTTATGTCTTTTTGTCTATATCTTTAACTTCTATATCAACTTCATTCTTGGGTTAGGCTTGTTTTTTATGTGTCATGTTTGAATTCATTAATTTTTCCATCTTTTTAAATTTCTAACATAAGCATGCCTCTACAAATTATCTTCAGGAAACCTTTAAAAGTGTACAATATTGAATTATGATGATTATTATGGAAAAAAATGGGTGCATGTGGACAAGAATTCAAAAAGATTGGAAAAATTCAGGGTTTGTTTTATTGTTTAAAATTAGGAAGGCATTTTTAAAAATTATTTTATTGTTTTAGTGCCTTTAAAGAGAAGCTTCATTTATCTAGATCAGTGGTCAGCAAACTGCGGCTCGCGAGCCACATGTGACCCTTTGGCCCCTTGAGTGTGGCTCTTCCACAAAATATCACATGCAGGCGCGCACATCCAGTGCGACTGAAACTTCATGGCCCATGCACAGAATTTTTTTTTTTTTTTTTTGTCTCTCAAAAGAAATCTCAGTCATTACTGTTGATATTTGGCTCTGTTGACTAATGAGTTTGCCGACCACTGATCTAGATAATTAGCTTGTACATCCCACTTTATTAATCCGAAGTTAAGTAAGTGAATTTTTACCCCTTATGCGGAATTAGGGTAGATAAAGAAGGCAGATGGACTCTAACCTTTCTCTTTTGAGTTGATAAGGTAAACTTAAAAAGCAAGCATGGCTTTGAGTTTAATGGCTGAATTTTTGTGGGCTGTTGGCTTCATGTGGACTCGATGAGGCTGAGGCAATTGTCATTGCGGCAGGTACTCTATGGAGACGCAGGAGAAGATGCAGAATGCCACGCAGCCAAACTGCTGGAGGTCATCATTCTTCAGTGCAAAGGAAGGGGGATCGACCAGGTAGCTTCTGTGTGCAAAGCCCCTTGATGTTTACATTTAAAATTTACATTGCTTACTGACTTGTTTACCTTACGATGAAAATTTTAAAATTTTGGAAACTTTATCTTGTATTTTGCTTCGAAGGAGATACACAGAAAAATATGTAATACTTTAAAGGGCTATCAGGCAAATCATAAAGGAGATAAATGTGTAAATGTTACACAATTGGATTCCCAGAGATTTATTTATTTAAAAATATATTTTATTGATTTTTCACAGAGAGGAAGGGAGAGGGATAGAGAGTTAGCAACGTCGATGAGAGAGAATCATAGGTCAGCTGCCTCTTGCACACCCCCTACTGGGGATGTGCTCACAACCAAGGTACATGCCCTTGACTGGAATTGAACCTGGGACCTTTCAGTCTGCAGACTGACGCTCTACCACTGAGCCAAACCGGTTTTGGCTGGATTCCCAGAGATTTAAACTTTCCTGTTTCTCTGTGTGTGTTATTCCCAGATTATTATTTTTTTAAACAGAAATGAATAATCTGTGTAAAAAAGAAAAGTTTTTTGTTTACTGATTTTGAAAATTTTAAACAAGATTAACTTTTGATGCTATTGTGGTGTGATAATCAATTACTGAGAAAAAAGTGTTTAGTTTAAAACTATGGACTCATCTCTTCTTTCAGGCCTGTAACTTTTTATATCACCTTTACTGAGATAAAATTCATATACCATACAACTTACCTATTGAATGTGTATAGATTTACCTATTCTAGACCTTTCACATAAATGAAATCACATGTGGTCCTTTGTGAATGACCTTTCTCTCTTAGTATAATTTTTTTTTAAAGCTTTATATATATTTCAGAGAAGAAGGGAGAGGGAGAGAGATAGAAACATCAATGATGAGAGAGAATCATTGATTAGCTGCTTCACGCATGACCCCCACTGGGTATCAAGCCCCCAATCTGGGCATGTGCCCTTGACTGTAATTGAATCCTGGACACTTCAGTCCATAGGCTGATGCTCTATCCACTGGGCCAAACTGCCTAGAGCAAGCATGTTACAATTCATGAACCTACATTGACATGTCATAATCACTCGAAGTCCATAGTTTACATTAGGGTTCACTCTTTTTTTTTTTTTAAATATATATATATTTTATTGATTTTTCACAGAGAGGAAGAGAGAGGGATAGAGAGTTAGCAACATCGATGAGAGAGAATCATAGGTCAGCTGCCTCTTGCACACCCCCTACTGGGGATGTGCTCTTAACCAAGGTTGACTGGAATCGAACCCGGGACCTTTCAATCCACAGGCCGACGCTCTCCATCCACTGAGCCAAACCATTCCTGGCTCACTCTCTTTTTTAAAAAAAATAATTCTTTATTGTTAAAAGAATTACATATGTTCCTTTTTCCCTCCACTGACCCCCTCCTGCCCCACTCCCACCTTCCCACATTCCCACTCTAGGCCTTCAGCACTCTGTTGTCTGTGTCCATGGGTTATGCATACACACAAACAAGGTCTTTGAAGGTTCACTCTTGATGTACGTTCTAGAGTTTGGACACATTTATAATGACATATATCCATCCTTATAGTAGCATATACAGTAGTTTCACTGCCCAAAATTCCTCTGTTTTGCCTGTTCATCCATTCTCCTCTGAAACTTTGATTTTTAAAATTTGACTTTAAAACGAGCTTATTTTAAAACCTCAGAATTTTATATTATGCAAATGATTTCAGTCCATCCATTGTTACCAAAAATAATGATTGGAAAATATTTCTAATAAAATTAGTTCATCAATATGCATTTTTGAATTGGGGTCAGATTTTGCTTTATTGTACCAAGTCCACCCTGTTTTTCTTTCTTTCTTTTTTTTTTTTTTTTTTACTTATATAAATAGGAATTTTCTTTCTCAAGAGAAATTCTAATCACATAATGCTTATTCTCAGCCCTATTCACTTATCTCCCCAATTTGGTTTATTACCATAGTCCTTTTACCTTAAACATGGAAGGCTGAGTCCATGTTTGGATTACTGCCACAACTTGGGTGTGGACTCTTTAGGACAGCCTCCAGCTAACTGGACTCTGCCCTGAAAAGGGAAGGAGACTTCTGTCACTGCTCCAGGGTCTCTCTTTGGCCCTTTCATCACTCTGTTTTTTGAGAATATAAATTAAGTATCTCTCAAAATGATTTAAATAAGCAAAGGTTTTATTGCCATTAAGGGTATCTTATTTATTGATTATACTTTTTTTTTTTTAAACCAATATTCAGCTTTCTATAAAGTTACTTGGTTTCTTTGTGTATGTTGATTCCCTGTTTGTGTTTTTCCTCTAGTGCATCCCACTCTTTGTTCAGCTTGTTTTGGAGAGATTAACCCGAGGGGTCAAAACCAGTGAACTCCGGACTATGTGTCTTCAGGTTGCGATTGCTGCCTTGTACTACAACCCTGATTTGCTGCTGCATACCCTAGAGAGAATTCAGTTGCCTCACAACCCTGGACCTATAACTGTACAGTTTATAAATCAGTGGATGAATGATACAGATTGTTTTCTTGGGTAAGTGTTTTCTTAATTTTATACTGCATTTCTTTTTCTGGAAAGTTGAATTTTTAAAAAGTACACATAATATTATATAGAAAGATAATTTTCATATCTTGAGAATTTTTACTGTATTGTTGACATATTTAATTTTTAGAGGGTTAGGAATGTGTTTCACCAGTATAATCTAGTGGAAAGAGTGCTGGCTTTGAAACTTAGGTATAGCTCTTCCCTATTGTTTCTGACTTGGTGTATATTGTTACTAGGGACCTGTAGCAGGAAGATTCCTTTAAGAACAGGGCTTCTGGCGGGCTTCCCTCCCACCACCTCCACCTCTTCCCCCCCAAATCCCCCCTCCCTGCCCACACGCTTTCCCTGCCACCTCTGCCCCCCACCCCACCTCATGCTTTTCCTCCCTCCACCAAGGGCCCCAACTGCCCCGCCCACGCTTTCCCTCTAGAAACCGCCTTGTTATCCACTTTCCCTCCCTCTTCCTTCTATGCTGTCTTCAGTCTTCACTCCTCCCTCCCTCAGCTTATGCAAATCAACCTCCATCTTTGTTGAGTTAATTTGCATACTCGCTCTGATGGGCTGTGGGCGTAGGGAAGGTACGGTCAATTAGCATTTTTCTCTTTTATTACTGTAGATATCTCCATGTAACAAAAATTAAGTGTTCATCCTGATTCCATGACTATTAAATGTCTGTGGGTAAAAACATAATCAATGTAATCAAGTGTTAAGGAAATTACTAGTTTGGGATATTGAACACCTTGCAGATCTCCAGGGAGCCTGTTCTCTAAGGTGAGATCAGGATTGCTAGTTGTAGGCCAGGTGCTGCCCTGGTACGAAAGTCGGTACTTACTAGAGGCCTGGTGCATGAAATTTATGCATGGGGGTGTGTGTCCCTCAGCCCAGCCTGCACCCTCTCCAATCTGGGACTCCTTTAGGGATGTCCGACTGCCCATTTAGGATTGGGCCTAAAAGGGCAGTTGGACATCCCTCTCATAATCTAGAACTGCTGGCTCCAAACTGCTTGCCTGCTTGCCTTTCTGATTGCCCCTAATCGCTTCTGCCTGCCAGTCTGATCACCCCCTAACTACTCCCCTGCCAGCATGATTGATGCCTAACTGTACCCCTGCCAGCCTGATTGCCCCTAACTGCCCTTCCCTGCAGGCCTGGTCACCCCTAACTGCACTTTTTTGCTGGCCTGATTGCCTACAACTGCCCTCCCTTGCAGGCCTGGTCCCTCCCAGTTACCCTGCCCTGCTTGCCATCTTGTCACAGCCATCGTGTCCACATGGAGGCAGCCATCTTTGACCACATGGGGGCAGCCATCTTTTGTGTTGGAGTGATGGTCAATTTGCATATTACTCTTTTATTAGATAGGATAGAGGCCTGGTACACGGGGGTGGGGGAAGGGGTTGGATGGTTTGCCCTGAAGGGTGTCCCAGATAAGGGTGGGGATTCTCTTGGGGTGTGGGGTAGCTTGGGCAAGGGGCCTGTGATGGTTTTCAGGTGGGCCACGCCCCCTGGTACCCAAGTGGAGGCCCTGGTATCTGAAATTTATTTATCTTCTATAATTGAAACTTTGTAGCCTTGAGCGGAGGTCAAGGCAGCCCAGGGCTACGGAAACTTGGCTTCCTCCATCACTGGGGGCAGCTCAAGCCTCCTGTTCTCTCCAGCTCCATGGCTGCCACCATTTTTGTTTGGATTTATTTATCTTTTATAATTGAAACTGTAGCCTTGAGTGGAGTCCGGGGCAGGGCGAGGTATGTGGAAAGCTTGGCTTCTTCCATTGCCAGGGAAACCCAAGCCTCCTACTCGTTCTGTGGCTGCAGCCATCTTGGTTGGGTTAATTTGCATACTCGCTCCTGATTGGCTGGTGGGTGTAGTGGATGTATGGTCAATTTGCATATTACTCTTTTATTAGCTCGGATATGGAGCACTCACCTAGTTTTCTGATAGGAAAAGTCAGATTTCACCTCCAGTGACCCAACACATAGTAGTGACTGTGTTACCTTAGAATTGGAGCTAATTTGTTTAAAGCATTAGAAATAATGAATGTTCTTTTTAAGCTTTGTAAGATATCATTTGGAAAAGTGTGCTGGTGGGCAAAGACTTCCAGCAGGAAAAATAGTTGGGAGACTGCAAAGTGGTGGAGAAATAACGGAGGCCCAAATTACGATGGTAGAATATCTTTATAAACTGCTGTGTTTATTCCAAGTTATTCATTTTTGTAGGAAACTAGAATGTGGCTCTGCTTTAGATTTCTTATTAAATCCTAGAAGGGACGAACATATTTGAAAAAGAAATTGTGCTTCAAGTCGTCTCTAACAAAGATTTAGAGCACAGGGATTTGGTCATTCACAATGATGCAGGTGGTACTCCTATCTCTTCATTAGCAGCCATAAACAGTTTTCCAAAGATAGAAAAGCTGGCTCAGCTATTGTATGGTCTGGGCATGCTTGGATTGTGCTTCCTTAGGTTCTTTAGAGCCCTACTTGATAATCATCTTTCCTGCTGTGATCCCCTTGACACCGGGTATGCACTACTACCGTGTTTCCCCGAAAATAAGTCATCCTCCGAAAATAAGACCTACTTACAGGTTTCCTTCTGAATGAAATATAAGGCATCCCCCCGAAAATGAGGCCCCCCTAGGCTAAACATGAGAGATTGGTCCACTGATTCTGAAAGAAATGGAATCACAAGAAATTCACCAGGATATTCAGGAATTGGATTGTTATGATGATGTTCCAGAAGATGATGACATGATTGTCATTGAATAAATGAGTAAATTCTTGATACTGTAGGAGTCACAGTTTGTCTGGCTTGTGTTGACAACTACTGTACTACCGTACCGTATACAGGTAATAAATTCCCTTTATTTTCATTTAACAATAAATGTGTACTGTATTTTTCATGGAAAAATAAGACATCCCCTGAAAATAAGACCTAGCACATTTTTGGGAGCAAAAATCAATATAAGACACTGTTTTATTTTTGGGGAAACAGGGTAGTTAGGACTACATGAGTGAGAAAGCCCTCAGGGAAGTATGCTCCTGTTAGAACATACTACTTTGGCAGTAGTGACTTGAATGGATCAAGCAATGCAAATAATGAAGAATAACAGAAGCTTGAAATATATCCATCATTGAGTTTGTTGTATATTATTCTCACTTTAAACAAATTGAATAACTGCAAATGAATTTTTTGTTCATGAAGAGTTTTAAATGTTATTCCATACTAGGGGCCCAGGGCATGAATTCATGCACCTTGAAAGGAACTGTGGGCCATGAGGCTGTGGTGGGCAGAGGGGCGGGTCTCAGCCCATCCTCTGCGCCCCCTCCCGGCTCCTCTGGCCATGGCCTCCTGTCCTCTCTCTGCTGGCAGCCCCACTCCCATCGCTGCTGCTCCCACGCGCTGATGGTGCTGGCCCCTCTTACACCCACTGATGGTGTGGAGTGATTAGGGCCGGCGCCAGCAGTGGGTGTGAGTGGGGCCGGTGCCTTCAATGGGCGTAAGCAGTGGCTGCTTCCCTGATCGTTCCTCAAGAGCAGGGGGAGGTGGAGAAGCTTTCGGGGGTAATGGGGGCTGGCAGCCCTCGCACCCACTGACGGTGCCTAGTGATTGGGATCGGTGCCAGGCGCCAGCAGCAGAGGTGAGCTGCAGTGCCGGCTGTGGGTGTGAGCGGGACTGGTGCTGCCTGTGGGGTGAGTGGCAGCTCCAGAGTCGGCAGCGGGTGTGAGAGGTGATTGCCAGCCCCATTCACCCCTCAGGAGCAGGGGGAGGTGGAGAAGCCCTGAGGGGCGATCAGGGCTGGCAGCCACCACTCGCACCTGCTGATGTACTGAGCAATTGGGGACAGTGCCAGGTGCCAGCAGCAGATTTGACTGGTGGCTCTAGCACTGGCAACAGGTACGAGTAGGGCCGACTCCAGCAAGAGGTGTGAGTGCCCAGTGGGACTGTGGTTTGCAGGAGGAAAGAATTTTCAGTAACCACCAGAGGCTCTCCTAAGGGCAGTTAGGGGTGACAAGCGATTGGCACCCCACCTTGATCTGGCATCCCATCTCACCTGCTCCACCATTCTGCCATGGCCTATACCTGCCATGTTCCACACTCTGCCTCCTGCTGCCAATGCCTGCTGGGTTCCATGTGTACCCCTGGTGGTCAGCGCATGTCATAGAGACTGGATGTTTGGCTGTTTGGTTAATTTGCATATTAGGGTTTTATATATATATAGTAGTCTTTTTATTCTTAATATTTTTAGTTTCAATCAACTTAGAGGAAACATTTAGTAGAAAAAGTATGTAGTGTATATTGGTAAAACTTCTTTCCTTCATAATTAACTTTTCCTTGTCTTCTGTTATAGCAGAAGACATTTAATTGATTTACTTACAGATGTTAAGTTCAGCGTATTAGATACTGAGTTTTTGAAATAAGTTTTGGCGCTTGGGATTAGTGTAGAGTTTATCTGACAAAAAAGACCAATATAATAAAGACAAAGTTTAAGGGACTCTTCCATTTTTCTCATGGGATAAGAATTTTAAGCTGTCAGATATAGGTATTCCTGCTTTACCGGGTCAGCAGAGGAGGGCAGTTGGGGGCAACTAGGCCAGTAGGGAAGGGCAGTTAGGGGGGACCAGATCTTCAGGGGAAGGCAGTTAGGGGGTACCAGGTCTGCAGGGAGGGTAATTGGGGCGGACCAGGCCTGTAGGGGAAGGCAGTTAAGAGTGACCAGGCAAGCAGGGAAGGGCAGTTAGGAGTAGCAGGTGAGAGTAGTTGTGGGGGGAGGGACCAAGCCTTTGAGGGAGGACAGTTAGGGTGCCTGGGCCAGCAGGGGATGGCTGTTTGGGGCGACCAGGTCGGCAGATGAGGGTAGTTAGGGGTTAACAGTCCAGCAAAGGAGGGCAGTTTGGAGCGACCAGGCCAGTAGGGGAGGGCAGTTAGGGGTGACCAGGCCGGCAGTGGAGGACAGTTGGGGGCAACCAGGCCTGCAGGGGAGGACAGTTAGGGGTGACCAGGCCAGCAGGGGAGGGCAGTTAGGGGCACTCAGGCCAGCAAGGAAGCAGTTAGGCATTGACCAGGCTGGCAGGGGAGTAGTTAGGGGGTAATCAGGCTGGCAGGCAGAGCAGTTCGGGGCAGTCAGGCAGTCAGACAGGTGAGCAGTTGGGAGCCAGCAGTCATTGATTGTGAGAGGGATGTCCAACTGCCCCTTTAGGGCCTGATCCTGGTGGGACTGGGCCTAAACTGCAGTCGAATATCCCTCGAGGGGTCCCAGATTAGAGAGGGTGCAGGCTGGTCTGAGGGACACACCTCCCCCATCCCCACCCCCCTTGCACAAATTTCGTGCACTGGGTCTCTAGATTATAATAAACATAAATTGATAGTACAGTAAGATTCACTATATGAATTGCTGTCTTCCATAGACCTTTGATGATAATTAGTTTACAAAACTTAACTTTTACATAGGATTTCATAGAATATAAATTGGGGGATATCTCTATTAATTTCAGTGACTGCACTTAGAGAACACCTTAGACATTCCTTTTTTAATTTCTTCAGAATTTGTCCTCATTCCTCACATGCACATTTATTTTTCCTTCATAATTTGTAGGCATCATGACCGGAAGATGTGTATAATAGGACTGAGTATCCTCTTGGAATTGCAGAATCGACCTCCTGCAGTAGATGCTGTGGTGGCACAGATTGTGCCCTCAGTTCTCTTCCTTTTCCTTGGCCTGAAGCAGGTCTGTGCTACCAGACAACTGGGAAACCAAGGAGATCGCTTAAAAGCAAAGAAAACTGATATAGAAGAAAATGGTAAAGCCTTCTACTTGCGGTGAATGCTGCAATTGAATTTTGTTTGAGCTTGTATTTTCTTTGAATCTTAGTCTTCTTAAGTTATTAAACAGATTTATATTCTTTGGCCGATTGCACATTTAACAGATAGTTTGGGTTTGGTTGACTTAAATTATATCATGTGATATAAATTTATATTTGTTCACTTTTGACACATGATTTATTATTGAACCTTGTGAATGTTGTTACACCCTGGGAAATACATTTATAACAAGCTTAAATGATCTTGACAACAAGTTAACAACCCAGTATTTATTTATTTATTTGTTTATTTATTTATTCATCCATCCCAATAGTCTCAGTGAAGGCAGCAGTTATGAGTTAAATGAACTATTAGACTTAGAAGTATCAGTATAGCAGATTCATGGTTTTTGAAAAATGACTCTCAGGTAACTCGTCATCAAAAATTATAATTGGAAGAGATTTGTGATTTACATATTATATCTATAATAATAAATAGACTGGATAATTAGACTGGATAGCCAAATGACCTTCCTGATGACCTTCTGGACAAAGCCGAGGCTGTGAGGGTTGAGGCAAGCTGCTGTGGATGCCAGGGCCGAGCCCCTTGCACAAATTTTGTGCATCAGCCTTCTAATATTTAGAATAAAATGCATAAATGAAGGTGATTTACTTACTTGAGTCAGAATAAGATTGTTAAGTCAGGAAAATTAGATCTTGCCCTGTTTGATGCTCAAATGATGAGAGCTTGGATGGAAGGGTTTTGGGTTTGATTTAAGGGCACATACTTGGTTTCAGGTTCAATTCCTGGCCCTGGTCAGACTGGGTGTGGGAGACAACCAATCGATGTATGATATTTCTCTTTTTCTCCCTATCTTTCTCTTCCACTCTCTCTAAAAATTAATGGAAAAGATATCCTCTAGTGAGGATTAACAACAACAACAAAAAAGAAAAAGAATATTAGTTCTTTATTTTAGTTAATGTTTTTGTAAGACTTCTTACAAGGGCCCAGGAAGTAATATTATTCAACTCCAAATGGAATTTTTCCTCTTCTGGTTAAAACCAAAAAAATTTATGGAAAAAATACAATTTTATTTTTGATGCTAAATTCTATGGAACTTCTTTTGCAGTAATGTCCCTTTACTAGAAGTTTTTTTTGTTTTGTTTTGTTTTTCCCCCCAGCTAAGTATATGCCAACAATTATAGAATTTTTTTTTTTTTTTTTACTATTTTTTACTATGTTATGATGCTCTCTTTCTAATTTCTTGTATTGCCCACTTTTTATTGGCTTATAATTGACTAGAGGTCCGGTGCACGAAATTCATGCATGGAGGAGGGGGGTATCCCTCAGCCCAGCCTATACCCTCTCCAATCTGGGACCCCTCGAGGGATGTCTGACTGCCCTCTCACAACCCAGGACTGCTGGCTCCCAACTGCTCACCTGCCTGCCGTCCTCATTGCTCCTAACTGCTTCTGCCTGCCAACCTGATCACCCCTTAACCACTCCCATGCCAGGCTGATTGATGTCTAACTGCTCCCCTGACAGCCTATTTGCCCCCAGCTTCCCTTCTCTGTGGCCTAGTGCCTCCCACCTGCCCTCCCCTGCTTGCCTGAACACTCACAACTGCCCTCCCTTACAGGCCTGGTCAGTCCCAACTGCCCAACCCTGCTGGCCATCTTGTGGTGGCCTTCTTGTGTGTTGGAGTGATGGTCAATCTGCATATTACTCTTTTATTAGATAAGATAGAGGCCTGGTGCATGGGTAAGGGGTCAGCTGGTTTGCCCTGAAGGGTGTCCTGGATCAGGGTGAGGGTTCCCTTGGGGTGTGGGGTGTTCTGGGAGAGGGGCCTGTGGTGGTTTGCAGGCCAGCCACGTCTCACAGCAACCCAAGTGGAGGCCCCTATCTGTTTTTTTTAGTTTTTTTTTTTTAATCTTCTATAATTGAAACTTTGTAGCCTGGAGCAGAGCCAAGCCTTCTGCTTGTTCTGTAGTGACAGCCATTTCTGTTGGGATTTATGTATCTTCTATAATTGAAACTTTGTAGCCTGGAGTAAAGGCCTGAGCTGGCCAGGGCTTCAAAAGGTTGGCTTTCTCCATCTTCTGGGGCAACCCTAGCCTCCTGCTCTTCCAGCTCAGTGGCTGCAGCCATTTCTGTTGGAATTTACTTACCTTCTATAATTGAAACTTTGTACCCTTAGTGGAGGCCTGGGCCCACCAGGGTGTGTGGAAAGCTTGGCTTCTTTCATTGCCAGGGAAGCCCAAGCCTCCCTCCTATTCTCTGTGGCCGCAGCCATTTTGGTTGGGATTAATTTGCATACTCACTCTGATTGACTGGTGGGTGTAGCTTGTGGGTATAGCTCGAATGATGGTTAATTTGCATATTATTCTTTTATTAGATAGGATATGACTTCAGGGAAAATTTTCTGCAGTACTCCAGATTTTCTTGTTGAATTTCTTACTAAAGTATAGAATGATTAACTGGCAAAAGTATTTCTTGCTATCTTTGTAATTACACTTTTGCTATATATACACATGGGGTCAAAACTGTGATTTTTTTGCCTTATTTCTAAAACTACCATGCAGTTTAATCTTGACATTTACTATCTATTGCTTATTTACAATACTGATCTAACTGATTAGAACAGATCAGCACTGAAAACAGAAATAGAGTCCATAGTGATAAACAATTCATCTTCTGACTTTTCAACCCAAATGTAGCTAACTACCTGTTTTATTTTTCCTTTACATTTCTATATTTTTTTCTGTTGCTATTAGCATAAATGACCTCTTCACTCAAACATTTCTGAGCAATTCATAATCAACTTAGTTAATTGTTGAGATTCTCAGTGGGAGCGCATTGTTATTTAAGACACATTATATAGCCAAAACTGGTGTGGCTCAATGGATAGAGCATTGGCCTGCAGACCAAAAGGTCCCAGGTTCGATTCTGGTCAAGGGCATGTACCTTGGTTGCAGGCACATCTCCAGTAGGGCGTGTGCAGGAGGCAGCTGATCAATGTTTCTCTTTCATCAATGTTTCTGACTCTTTCTCCCTCTCCGTTACTCTCTGTAAAAAATCAATAAAATATATTTAAAAAACAAAAAACAAAAACAAAAAAAAAAAACCACACCAAAACACATTAAATACTTAGTCAAGTAATTACACATATCTGTAGAATCACTAGCGGTGTGAAATCTGACTTTTTAATGATACAGATGTTACTCTGTTGTGTTCAGGGAACATCAGCAGCATTGCCATTGGTGACATAATAAAAGTTAAAGTTTCAGATTAAAAAAAGATAAAACATTTACTGACTGCATATTCATTTTATATCTTTTTTTGACAAAAAGTTTATTTGTGTACCTGTAATTAAGTAATATTTTATAATAATGAACATGAGGCTGCCATAACCAAATGCTAGTAATGTTCAGCTGGACCACAGATTTAGGCATAGTTGGAAATTGTTTTCATTGAGGAGGATAAAATCTTTTCAATTTAGCAAGCTACAATTAAGATAAGGTTTATTTTTATAATTTTATGTAAAATTATGTGGTAGTTTTTCTATTTCCAGAATGTCACTTTATAATTTATTTTCTTCTTTGGAATTTTATATTTTGTTTTTATATGCTTTGATTCCTTTTCAATAATGAATGGATTCACAGAGGAGATTTCAAGTGATGAAGAGGAAGCAAATATAACTGCGCAAGCCATGCAGTCTAAGAATGGGCGAGGTGAAGAAGAGGAGGAGGATGATGATGACTGGGATGAAGAGGTCTTAGAGGAAACTGCCCTTGAGGGATTCAGCACTCCACTTGACCTTGACAATAGTGTGGATGAATATCAATTTTTTACCCAAGCTCTGCTGGGTATGTCTTTATTTCCTAAATCTTAAGATATTAAGATATTTTTTCTCAATTATTTCTTCATTCCCCTTTGTTAGAAGTTTTTTTTTTTTTTTTTTTTTTTTACTATGTAAGCAATTTATCAATTTTGTTCATCAAGGGACACTATGCTAGTAAATACATTTAAGGACTTATAAAAGATTGGGATAAAATATTTAGCATATACATATATTATGCTTAAAATCCACACTTAACTTCTACAAATGATTGAGACCAAAAACCCAGTATAAAAATGGGATATGAAAATGGAAAATTTATACAATGTAAATAATAAACCAATGAAAATGTTTAGAAAATTATAAAATCATAATGAAAAAAATTTATTATTATAGATCTTTTTTAAAAAATATATATTTTGTTGATTTTTTACAGAGAAGAAGGGAGAGAAATAGTTAGAAACATCAATGAGAGAGAGTCATTGATCAGCTGCCTCTTGCATGTCCTCTACTGGGGATATGCCCACAACCAAGGTACATGCCCTTGACCGGAATTGAACCCTGGGACCTTTCAGTCCGCAGGCTGACGCTCTGTCCACTGAGCCAAACTGGTTTCGGCTAGATCTTTTTTTTTTATAGTTACACTAGAGGCCTGGTGCATGGATTTGTGCACTGGTGGGGTCCCTCAACCAGGCTGAAACTGGCTCTCCAACATCCCCTTAGGGGTCCCTGATTGCAAGAGGGCGGTTCTTAGGTGACACAGTCCGGAACCTGGCGCTCTCCTCTCTGGTTCTGGGTGCATCACCTGAGAAACACAGCTGCTAAGTCACTGCAGCTTGACAGCTCCTGTCTTGAGCGTCTGCCCCCTAGTGGTCAGTGCGCAACATAGCTACCGGTTGGCTGGTTGAATGGTTGGCCGGTCGCTTACGCTTTTATATATCTAGATAGTATTCCTATGATTATGTCATAATTTATTTCCATTGATGAACATATGAATATTTCTAATTTTTTGTTTTGTTTTGTTTGTTTTTGCTATTTTAAAGCAGTATTACAGTGGGCATTCTTCTGTATAAAATATTATGACCAACAAGGTAATGCTAGCATATGATATATTGGCATTATTTAGTGTTGCTACAAATACTGTTAATGAAAATAAAACCACCTCTATGTTTTGTTGAAATTTAGCAGGAACAAGAGGTAGAGATTCTAGGGAAGGACATTCCGAAGCACAGGGAAAATAAGGGCGTAAGTGTGGAGATGGGAATAGGGCGGGGATGCTCTGAGGGAGTCGCTTCCACACACGGGTGGGCATCATTATGAGCAGAAGCTTTTGGGTCTTGGGTGGGATCTTGGGATATGTGTTTTAAAATGCCCCTCAAGTCATCTTTGGATCAGTATGTGATAGAAAGAAGCACGTAGGTGAAAGACGAAGAAAGCAGCAGAGAGGATTGCGTGTGAGGAGGACCTGGATAAAGATATTGGGGATTTACAGTGGTTGACTAGGAGAATCTTGGAATTCTGATGGAAATAGGGAAGTGAAGAGAGGTTGGGAGGTAAAATGTTAAATTTGTTTTCAGTTGTGCTGAATTTGAGGCAAGTTATCCAAATGGGAAGGTCCAGGAGGCTTAGGGAATGATTTTGCTTAAAGGTACAAGTTTGAGTTCTCGGTACAGGCTTGATGTTGAAGCTGCAGGTAGTTTGAGAATTCTGGAGGACAATGGCAACCAGAGGGTACAGGTGTTTCCCAAGATTTGGATTTTAGGGAGCATTCATAGTTGGTAAAACCCTACGAAGAAGAGGAGATGGTGAAGGAGGCAGAGAACTAGGCAAAACAGAGATTTTTGGTGTTTGATAACACTCACATAGTTGGCTACTGAAAGGGTTCTCAAATAATCCATTGTTGGAATAAGTTACATTACCTTGTGTTTATCTGTACACTTTCCGTCTCTCCCTGTTTGCGGTCAGTTCATTATAATTAGATCTGTCATTATTGTCTGAAATAATAGTCACGGGGCTCCCTTATCTTTTCCCCCTCCACCTACCACCTTCCCTCCAAATGCAACAGCTGTGCAGAATCGGGATGCTGCCTGGTACCAACTGCTGATGGCCCCGCTCAGTGAGGACCAGAGGAGAACGCTGCAGGAGGTGTACACCCTGGCAGAGCACCGGAGGACGGTGGCAGGTAGGCCAGTGTGGATCTCAGATGAGTGTGCATGGCTCAGAGTGCACCTACAATCAGCTTTTTAAATGGTTAGAGGCCAGCCTTTCAGGACAATGAGTTATTATTGTATGGTCTTTTTTTTTTTTTTTTTTTTTTTTTTTAATATTTTATTGATTTTTGTACAGAGAGGAAGGGAGAGAGATAGAGAGTTAGAAACATCAATGATAGAGAGTCATCGATCAGCTGCCTCTTGCACACCCCCTACTGGGGATATGCCCGCAACCAAGGTACATATGCCCTTGACGGGAATTGAACCCAGGGCCTCTCAGTCCCCAAGCCGACGCTCTATCCATTGAGTCAAACTGGTCCTGGCTGTATGGTCTTTTCAAACTCATGGTATCTTAACTTTATAGAACATTGTGTTTTAATATGTGTCTTTTAAAAAAATATTTTATTGATTTTTTAGAGAGGAAGAGAGAGGGATAGAGAGTTAGAAACATCGATGAGAGAGAGACATCGATTGGCTGCCTCTTGCACACCCCCTACTGGGAATGTGCCTGCAACCAAGGTACATGCCCTAGACCGGAATCGAACCCGGGACCTTTCAGTCCACAGGCCAGCGCTCTATCCACTGAGCCAAACTGGTTTCGGCTAATATGTGTCTTCTAATGGTAATGTCATTCGTATCCTCATCCTGTTTTGGAACTAAAGGTAAGACGTAAGGGTTGGAATGAGTCTTGCTGAGGAGAGTGCATCAGCTGGATCACCCTCCTAAACGTCTTAGGCACAGATGACGAGAGGCGCTTTTTGAGTTCTTGCAAGGAGCTGATATTCGTAGAAATGAAACTATTCATTTGGACTTTACATGTTGGTGATTCTTGTTGATTTTCAGTTTTTGAGCTGGAGACATTTTATGTAGATATTATTATGGTCACTACTAGGAAATCAATGGAAAAGATTTTGTAATTACAAAAATATTTTTCTAAGAAACATCATGGAATAGGCATCTAGAGTCTAGAACCCAGGTTTTATTTATTTATTTTTAAAAATATGTTTTTATTGATTTTGAGAGAGAGGAAGGGAGAGGGATAGAGAGATAAAACATCCATCTATCGGCTGCCTCCTGCACTCCCCCTACTGGAGATTGAGCCAGCAATCTGGGCATGTGCCCTGACCGGGGAATGAAATCTGAGACCTCCTGGTTCATGGGTTGAAACTCAACCATTGAGCCACACTAGCTGGGCAGGTACCCAGATTTTCTTCATTGACTGAGATTTTCAGTGCTGCACAGATCCTCTTCCTGGCAGGAGAGTCTGGGGATCCTTTCAGCAGCAGAGATCATAGAGCTGGCAGAACTCAACTTTGAGACTTGTTTTCATTTTGCTCATTGTTAGCAAACAGTTTTTCCATGATGGTAAGCATAATTACTTACTGCCCTGGGTCTGATAAAGCTAATGCCCAGTAGGACACTTAATGCCATGAGCGACATTGCTTCACAGTGCTAAATATACAGAATCTGGCTCCTTTGAGGTGAATTCCAACTTTGCACTTTAAATGCTCTTCTTCTTTCCCCCTTTCTCTTGGCGAATGCTAGAGGCGAAGAAGAAGATTGAACAACAGGGAGGCTTCACCTTTGAAAATAAAGGCGTCCTCTCCGCATTTAACTTTGGGACTGTGCCCAGCAACAACTGAAAGATGGAACAGCCACCGACCAAGACCACGTGTCATCGGGAAATTTCACTTCACCAGGGGAATGCGGAATCAAGGGGAGGAAGGGGTGGGAGCTGCTGTTGGCACCATCTTGCTGTGCCAGTTACTGCCTGGCATAGGGCAGTACTTTTATCCACTTTCCCCTTTGACCTTTCTCACCCTGAAATATATATTTTAAGCAGCTACTGTAATGTATGAAATTAAAAGAAAACAAAATCATTGGACTGAAAAGGACAAATCATATGCTCCAAAGGATAAATGACCAACGTGGGTTTAGAGGATTGGATCAATTGCACGTCTCAGGTTTTCGCCACGCAGAATCAGTGGATTTATGCAGATAACAGTGCCTTCTGTTGTACATGAATTATCTGAAAACATTTTTTTGGAGTGCATTGCAATTTTTTTAAAGCATAAAACATATTTCTAGATATAATGTAAACTTTGGCGCTATGTTGACTTATTCTGCATTTTACTATGTGAAGTTACTGTTAGGCAGTTAGCTCCAACTCACTCTGGTTTCAAAAACGTCACTGCTCCCCTTGCTTACCCAGTGGCCAGGGCTTTCTTCAGGGGCTGTCACGTATGCACTTGCTCTGGGTTTTCCTAAGATATTTTGTGACTGTTCTAAACAGTGTCTTATTCCCTCTCCCATCATGCGTTTCAGCCCTGAAAGGGTGGTATTTCTTTTAGAGGCAGCAAATATGAATATCAGTTTTATTTATAACCTGATCAGTTCAGGACTGAAAAATTTCTTGGTGGCAAGTGGTAGGGACTCTTCAGTCAGTGGAATAAATAAGTCCAAGTATATTCTGAATCATGTACTTAATGATGGAATGAATTGATAGTCATCCTAAAGCACATTGGCCTTGTAGAGAAAAGGAGCATGCTATCTTTCAGGATGGGGCTTGCATTTTTAATAACTCATCATTCCAGCTGTGTTCAACCTGGGTCCAAAGCATTTTGTAACAATGTTTTTTATCTAGGAAGAAAAAGAGACCCAAATCTAACTTGTTGATTTCTCACACATCTGTATTTTCTCCTGCCTAATTCATTCTAGTCTTTATTATAGTTCAGTTTGGCTTCTTATATTTTTCAAGGGTCAGGGCTGTTGGTCAGCTGCACTCTTAGATGGTAATGATGTAAGAAAGCCCGTTGAAAGTATTGCAGATGAAAATGACAGAGAGAGAGAGAGAGAGCTAGAAACGTCGATGAGAGAGAAACATCAGCTGTTTTTCTGAGCTGATTCAAGACCAGAACGTGGGTCATAGTGTTTTCATTCAGTAAAGTGAAAGTGTTTTTTTCAGAACTTAATATATTACTGTATGTGACACAGTTTTCCTCTTTTGTGAAAAGTCTGCAGCTGATATTTGCCATCAGCAACTGGAGGAATTTCTCCAGGTGCTTCTCATTGTACCGTCTCTTATTAACTCTTTTTAGAATTTCAGATTATTTAAGTAGTTTTTATAGAATTGGCCCAAGAGGCCATGTGTTTTGGAGCTAAATGATCTCCTTTTATCCTCTGTCCCTCTCTTCCCCAGACTTTGACGGTGAGTATGCCAGCTGATGGCTACAAGAGAAGGATGGCGTTGGGGGGTGAGAAGGGGAGGAGAAACCCTTCTTATTCTTCTCATGGCCCAAATCCGTGGTCGGCAAACTACAAACTACAGCTCGCGAGCCACACGCGGCTCTTTGGCCCCTTGAGTGTGGCTCTTCCACAAAGTACCACAGCCTGGGCGAGTTTATTTTGAAGAAGTGGCGTTAGAAGAAGTTTAAGTCTAAAAAATTTGGCTCTCAAAAGAAATTTCAATCGTTGTACTGTTGATATTCGGCTCTGCTGACCAATGATTTTGCCGACCACTGCCCCAAATCATTTAATTTTAACGTAAATAATATGCCTTCGCACTGGACTATCAAAGGCATGTGACTACATTTTTGTAATGTGTTGTCTCCTGCAGTATTAAAGGGAAGTACTTGTGAATGTGTATCATCCCATCCTGTTTTTGAAGCCAGGGTAGTTGTATAATTTTGTTACCAGCAGTGCTAACCTAAATGTGATCTGGCTCTCTCGGACATGCAGGAACTTATATGAATGTACTGTAAAGTAAAATGCGGGCTGATCCCCAGGATCCTGAACTTTTCTGTGCGTGATGTTTGCTGAAATGTGGCAGGTCATTCAAACCCCATAGTGTTTTTCCCTGACTCCTGGGGGACCTGGCGCAAGGCGGCTCTCAGTCTGGGAGGTAATCATGGCCCATCAGGAGCAGCTAACGGGTGGGGACACACACACACACACACACACACACACACACACACACACACATACACACACACACGTTGTTGGGACTTGAGAGCCCATCTCCTAACCCAGGATGTGTGCCTGAGTGTGACAGAAGCTCCTGTAAAGCCAAGGTCCCTTCCACGGCAAGACCTGGAGGGAAAGGAGGTGCTCGAACTGGAGCCATTTCCTAATGGGCTGCCATCAAATTGGGAGCCATCGCAACCGAGTGAAATGGTACATGTGGCCCTTTAATTCTAAAATCCTTACCTAGCATGGCCTTGAAAGCGTGGTATTATAGTTCGTTTGGCTCCTTCCCACTTACCTTTTCTGTTAAGACCACACAGAACTAGTAAGTTATTAAGCAGGGAAAATTCTTTTTTTTTTTTTTTTACAGAGAGAAAGGGAGAGAGAGAGAGAGCTAGAAACGTCGATGAGAGAGAAACATCGACCAGCTGCCTCTTGCACACCCCACACTGGGGATGTGCCTGCAACCCAGGTACATGGCCTTGACCGGAATCAAACCTGGGACCTTTCAGTCCGCAGACCGACGCCCTACCACTGAGCCAAACCGGTTTCTGCAAGCAGGGAAAGTTCTTAAGCTAGAAAAACAGTTATTTTAAATTCTGTCATTTAAGTAATATAGTGAATTACAGATCCATTTTCTCTTCAGCAGTTGAGACTGAAAACTGTAATGAGTTCATGGAAGAAATGGGGGGAAATTGGTTTTATGGTCAGGGATCACCAGAGTGTGTGTGTGTGTGTGTGTGTGTGTATGTGTGTGTGTGTGTTTTTGAACCTTACAGGGTAGGTAATCCAGTCTCTGTTAGATGCACTTTATTGAGATGAGTGTGCAAGTGCTGATGGGTGGGTTGGAAGCCGGGCAGACCACTAGTGAATGAGGCCACATAGTCCATGAACAAAGGGTTGGATGAGGCTTTAGGAAGAACACCAACATGAGGGCAACTGTGACCAGGAGAGAGAGGGCCGTTTGCAACAGAAAGCAAGTGGCTGGGCTGTGTTGTGGAGAAAAGGGAGTGCGAGGCTCTGCCATTGGGGCAGGCGGGGAGGTGAGTGAATGCACCTGCGCCCTGGAGGGCACCGAGAGGACCTTCACTTTGGATATATCACCCAACATGAAAACTGCACAAGGAGATGGGTGCCTCAAAAGCCCTAGAAACTGGAGGCTTCCAAAAGGATTTAGAATTTGCAGGGGGCCAAGGGCAACTCACAGAGGAGTGATCTTATGGAGACTTTTCCCCAAAGGATCTCCTTGGGCATGAAGGGAAAAGCCAAGGAGGATGAGAACCTCACAGCAAGGCCTCAGCTGTGGCCCGGTGTCCCACAACAAGCTCTTGTGAGTTAGAGTGGCCCACCATTCCCACCACCCGGCGAGAGGGGGTAGGTAGTGCCCTAATTTCTCTTCCTTGGCAGCCATTCTCCTGGGGGCTTGTGCAGCTTGATCTTCACCCGCTGGCCTCCAGATAGTCTGACTCCGCTGGGCCCTCTTTGGAACGCCTTCAAAGTGGTTAACCTCTGGCTTTGGAATAAGCTGCTGCTGTTGCTGCTGCTCCTCCTCCCCTCCTCCTCCTCTTCCTCCTCCTCTTCCTTTCCTTCTTCCTCCTCCTCCTTTTCCTCTCCTTCCTCTCTCTCCTTCTCCGCTCCCCCTCCCCCTTTTCCTTTTTAATTGATTTTATAGAGGAAGAAAGAGAGAGAAGGAGAGGAACATGGATGAGAGAGAGATACATCGATTGGTTGTCTCCTGTGTGCACCCCTGTGCAACCTAGTTATGTGTCCTGACCGGGAACCTGAAACCTTCCAGTGCAAGGGACAATGCTCCAGCCACCTGAGCCACACGGGCGAGGGCTCCTTCTCTTTCACGGCATGTGTGTGTTTGTTGTTTCACCTTGAGCTGCTCATACCATTGATCTTAAGTTTGAGGGCGGAGACTGCTTTACACAGTATGTTATACACCTTTTGTTTACATACCCTGCTTCTGGTGGTTAAACATAATTAATATGAACGAATGTGTTTGTGAAGTTCTGCCAATGAACTTGGAATTTGGAGGCATCTCGGAGGCCACAGATGGGATCTCAGAGTCAGGTAGCTTCCTGTGGAGGCACCTGGCTTTTAGGAGAAAACAAATTGGCAGCAGCAGCAGCAGCAGCAGCAGCAGCAGCAGCAGCTGGATGGTGAAGTAGATAAGACGCCACTGAAGGTAAGATGTGGTCTGTGGATCACTGTGGTCCCGCTGATCCTCCCATTTCTAAACCCAGCGCCTAGGCCTTATGTGTAGCTGCATCCTGAACAGTGAGGTCCTCTCTTTTCAGACCTCTGGTTTCCATGACAAAGAACCCCTTTTCCTAACACTGGCTGTTTCTTTCCTCTCCCCTATGGGTTCATTAGCCTCTACTTAGTTTTTAAGAACCTATTTATTTATTAATCAGTTAATTACTTTGTAGGAAGCTCTTCTGAGACTGATCCTAGGCGCCCTCCGATAGTTTTGACCTCTTCTCAGGCATTCAGACTTTTAGAACCAATTGCCATCTCTTGAGAGACACATCCTATATCTCAAACTCCACATGTCTACGTAAAAAAAAAAAAAAATCGTTTTTACTCTTTATCTCCAATTCCACCCTCTCCCAGTGTCCCAGTTCTTGTTAGAAAGTTTGGTGTCAATGATGATGACTCCCACTTACTCTTCATA